TACTAACTGCTACCCCAGCATCACCTGAGACCCCTCCCTAGGATAGGACCTTATTGCCCACTTTGGAAACGGACCGATCCACCTTGTCAATTGAAAGGATATTCGAGTTGACTTCTGTGACATTGATCTTAAGGTGTTTGGAGGGGCGGGGGTGGGGGTGTGGAGGGTAGGAGAGGAGTGTTTGGTCCAAACTTGGCAGTGCTCAGGGAGTACTCCTGGCAGTGCTCAGGGAACCATAGAAAGTGCAGGGCAAACCGGCATTGACTGAGTGTACTGTCTCTCTGGCCCCACTCTTAAAGGATTTTAAGCAGTGCAGATAACCTCCTACAGAGCAATAGAAATACAATCTTTATCCTTGTGGTGTAAAGCATCCTTTAAGTGGATCTTCAGATAATGACAACAGGATTCAAATGGGGGCTTACTCTTTGATCCACCAGGAGTTTCAGATGGCAATTATCATTAATTCTTGGAGTTCTCTATCCTGATTTTAAAAAAATCAAGGCAACCAGAATATCTCATTTTGTGAACAGACAGCTATTAAAAGCACATTAATAATCTATAGTGGGTATAGCATATGCCTTTTAAAAAGATTTGCAGCTTGTTTCTCGGTGGTGAAGACACAGGACTTCTCCAACCTAATTACAAAGCAATCAAACAATTTAATTAATCTGGAAATCGCTTTCTTAACAATAACTGCCTCAGAAATGAGGCTCCCCATGCCGAGCCGTTAGGCAGAGTACTATTTTGATAGAAAGCTTGTTTATTATCCAGGCGAGCCTCCCCTTGGGGCTCATGGCGTTAATTACCTACCCTGTACCTGCCCATGACCAAACTTTCCCAGGTCAGAACAGCAGCGGCAGCAGCGGTCTATAAAGTGTCCTAACTCTCAAACATCTACGAGCCAGCAAATCCCTGGGAGCAGCAGGATTTGAGTTATAAGCAAGTGCTGCACATATGGGCAGAGAATTAACTGGCGCCAGTTTTCATTTGAGAGTCTCCCAGGTATTGCTTTGCAGATGGGTGGATGAATTCCGAGAGCAGAGTCGCATGGAGTGAAGGTCATGGATAGGACTCTCCTTTCCATCCATCCTGCTGGCTCATTCTCAAGAGGTGCCAGACTGATCCACGGCCCCCATCTCGGAATGAAGACTAGGCAAGGTCTGCTTTGTGCTTTACGGTGGCTTAAATTGGTCTTGTGATCATTGTATCTCAAAAGAGCGGCCATAGAAACTCCCGAGACACTGTCGCTAACAAATCAAATTTTATTTCAAATCAGAACAGGAATTCAAAGATTGACCTAATGTATTAATCTGGTCCTTTTGCCTTAAAGAGCATTAAGAAGTTTTTGCAATGGAACCAGAGAGATAGCACAGTGGATAAGGTGCTTGCCTTGCTCCAACCAAGCCAGCTTACCCCCCTTGGCACTGTGTGTGTTCCCCGCAGGAGTGTTTCTTGAGTCAGGAGTAAGCCCTGAGCACAAAGACAAGAGTAAACCTCAAGCATACAGGTGAGTGTGACCCAAAAATTAGGAAAGGAAAGAAGGAAGGGAGGAACAGAGGAGAGAAAGCAAATTTCGTAATTTTTTGGCCTACTGTTACCCTCACTCTTTTCTCTCTTAAAATCCCCTTCATAGCCAAGAAAGTAGTGATTCTTCCAGTATTCTACATTGGAAATCCTGTTCACTTTCAGTCTGATCATCTTTTTTCCTCAGTTATGTCTGATCCTGGCTGGAGCGATAGTACAGCGGTAGGGCATTTGCCTTGCGCGAAGCCGGCTCAACCAAGCCAGGTTTGATTCCTCCACCCCTCTCGGAGAGCCCGGCAAGCTACCAAGAGTATCTCTCTTGCACGGCAAAGCATGGCAAGCTACCCGTGATGTATTCAATATGCCAAACACAGTAACAACAAGTCTCACGATGGAGATGTTACTGGGCCCGCTCGAGCAAATCGATGAACAACGGGAGGACCGTGACTGTGATGCCCCATCCATATATGCTTGGCTTGCCTACCAAAATCTTTTTTATTGACTTTCCACATCCAAACCTAGCCCCTTCTCCACTGCCTTTCTCCGGGAATACCCAGTGTAACTCAGGCCTGTTTTGGGTCTCCAGTGTCTCTTCCATCTCTCAGGACCTGCTACCAGTTGGTGCCAATAAATGAAGTTCACAAATCATTGGATTTCTCAGTGTTTCTGGTGTTTCTCATCTGTCTATAGTTCTTTACCTGCCCTATCTTATTGTCTTTATTGTATTTGTTTTCCCCTTCCAGAAATCCCCCTCCATTTCATTTCTTACCTCAATTTACTGAGTTCCCACCAATAAAACGATAATATTTTCATCTAGAAATTACCAGGTATTGGGGATGGGGAGTTGGTACAGAGATAGAGCACATATGTTGCACTCAGCCGATCTGAGTTTGATCCCTGGTACCCCAGAGGTCTCCAAGCCCTTTCATCAGTGATCCCTGAGTTCACAGCCAGGATCCCTGAGCACAGCTCTGTGGCCCAAGACAGAAAATAAAAAATAAGTTATCAGGTATTTTAGTTCACACTCCTTTTCTCTAATAACCCATTTACACTTTAGAGCCTTTGTGATAACAGGGGTGAGGAGTCTGAGGGGGTAAATTTGCATTTCAGCCTAATTCTTCAATCTTACATGAAGCCAAAAAGAAGTTCTATGATGCATAAGATCACATAGGTGACTCCATAGTCATGAAATTGAAGATGTGGGAATTTGGATTTGGTGTTAAATCCAAATTTGCTAGGCTTTCCTAACAAAATATCTCTTTTGCTGACTTTTCTGTTGACTTTCCACATTCAAATCTAACACATAGGGAAGCTTGAGAAGAGAATGAGGAGTAGTTTTAATGGATGGACCTGAACAGGTAGCAGTTTTGGAAAGAGTGCCCAAAGATCAGTAATGGCAGCTTCAGCTTCACTTTTTAAGAGCAGAGTTAAATGAACCTTTACCTGTATCTCAGTTGTGATACATTCATCCTCAGATTTGTAGATCACCAGATCGTATAAAAGGTTGCTTGGGGGGCAGGAGCCATACTACGGAAGGTAGGGCGCTTGCCTTGCATGAAGCTGACTAGATTCAACCAATATGGTCCTCTGAAGGCTTCCAGGAGTCGGAATAAAGAAGCAAGAGTAACCCCTAAGCAACTCCAAGTGTGGCTCCATAAAAGCCAAAAAAAAAAAAAGTCACATGGTTCCCAGTGGATCACACATTAATATCGAAGTGGAAAAGGTTGTAGATTAATTCTGGGCTCTTTTTCAGATTCAAAATGTTTAGTAAGTTTTCTCCAGTTTTTTCTGATCTCATCAGAACTCTTTAGATATACTATACATACAAAAGCAGAAGCAAAAACAACATACAACAAAAATCACACAGGACTAGAATTTGGTGTCAAGTTTCATTGATCTTATATTGTTTTTAGGGGAAAAGGTCAGCAGAGATTGTTCTCATGAAGCATCGGTTTCAAATAAATGAAATGTGTTGTTTCTATTAATAATTTACTGGTAGTCCATGTGGGGTATAAGCAGAGTGATTGGGTATGGGCAGGGGCGGAGGATGAAGCTATTGAGAGAACTTGAACTTAATTTAGTTGTGTAGATAAATGTGTGAGAAGATGGGTTGCTATATGACAAAAGCAGAATGTGTTTCTCCAGGGGCCCAAGGAACAACAGATGCAAAAGCATGATAAATTTCATGGCAGCAGGGGGAAAAATGCTTCTTGATTCTCTAGCCATAAAGAAATGGGCTTTTCAGCGCTTCCCGTTAAGTGGCTTTAATTGTGCTGTCTCTCATAAAGCTAATAGCATCTGTTGAAGACATCACTATAAAATTTGCAACCTTAAGTTAATTGAAAATTTTCAGCAGAGGTGTAGCCTGTCCAGACATCCTCCTGGTGACACTAAACATATCCTTTCCCATATGCGCACAGGCAATAAATTGTTTACCTTTACAGCGAGGTGGTGGCTTTCACGGGCAATCTTGTATCCCTTACACCTAATTACAATGGTCACTTCCATTAAGAAATCAGTAATGTGGTGAGCGGCTCGCTGTTCAGGATTAGACGTCCCTTCCTCATTTATTTTCATTTAGTTTCAAGAACATGCAGGATTAGTGTGCAGCTCTTGCTCACCTCTGTGGTTAAGCCAGCTCGCCTCACCTGGGACCTCAGACAATTCAGCGGGTCTAATTAAACATGCAGAGGGAGGCACGGGTGGTCTGGAGTGTCCAGAGCCACCCCCTCACCAGCTGCCTGCCAAGTGCTGTCAGTGATGAGCAGCAGGCAGCGTGTTCTTGGGCAGAAAGGAGGACTCCCTCAGGAGCTGCCCTCCTTCCAGGGAGCCCTCGTGCCCTGCGCCTCTGAAGGACTCTCCCTGCCTCTGCTCAGCTGAGGCTTTTAAAGGCTGCCTGGCCAGTTGCAGCCCAGCTCCTTGGGAGCAGAGGACCGTTGAAGAGGAGACAGGAAAGGCTCCTCCTGCTTTGATGATGAGCCACTCTGGTCGAGATGAGACAGATCTGGGTCATTCAAGAAATAGGTCTGAACTGCTGGCTGCTCGGCAGTATTTGATGACAAGTTCTGACTTCTCTACCTTTCAAATGTAGACTTTGGAATGCGAGAGTTTCTGGTTGAGGATTCTGACTGTCTTTGTTTCCTGTAAATGACAAGAAAGCTACTCCTACCCTCCACATACTCACAACTGGAAAGCACCCCTCCTTCGCCTCCCCATTCATCTTGCAGTTCGGAATGCGAGCATCTGGAGGGGTAGAACTGGAATAGTTCCTTGAGAGATGAGAGATTGGCTCGCTGGTGATAGGGGTGAATGTGCTTGAACACCAAACTCCCAATTCCCTGATTCTAGTGAAACTAAAGGAGTGCTGGGGAGATGGACATTTTACGCAAGCAGCTTGCCCAAAGAAGATTTTGAAGGTGACTAATGATATAAAAGCATAATCAGGTTGTCACGTTTTTTTCCCTTTCTCTCTACAGGAAATAGCCCTCAAGATAGCCCAAGAAATTTCTCCCCCAGTGCTTCAGCCCATTTTTCATTTGCAAGGAGGTAAGGTCTTGTGGGAATGGAATATTCTTGGGAGTGGAATGCTACAGTGTCACTTAGAGAACCTTACCCTCAAGACATCCCTGCCTCAGGCCCCCTGTTCTTCCCCCCCACCTCTCTAAACCCCTGCCCTCTGCCATATCAGACTTATTAATACACAGGCGGCTACTCCTTGGCCTGGCCATAGTAGTGTTTAGCAAACTAGAACTTGGTTGTACCCAACCCATGGTGACAGTTTGAACAATGAAATCTGCCTCATGTTAGAGATCATGTCCTTCTTGGTCCCCCACAGCTCAGGGCTCCCATGGAGAACAGAGTCAGCAACTTTTGCTCCATGCCTGAGGGACCTCAGGTTTCTTACACACTTCTCCCATTTTTGATTTGAGGGGCTTAATTCATTTCTGTGTCCTAGTGTAATGTTTGCCATATATATTTCTTTAGAATATACATCCTACAGAATGACTTTTATATATTCATTTATTCGCAATTCATTCATATGTATAATATTATTCATTTATAGATATTAATATATAAATATATATGCACTACATAAAATAAAGATATTCTATAGAAATGACTTTAAGATATAAACTCAAAAATGCCCCTTACCTGAAGAGCACCAGACCAGCAATATAGTGATTCCTAGGTATGAAGCCAGGTGAGAGAACTGCAGGATGTTTTGTGTCTTCTCTTGTTTTGGTTAGCAGTAGGAGTCGACTATAGTCGTTCATTTTATTGCTGACTCATTGAGTCAAGGGGAACTATGACTGTGCCTGGGGTGGTGGGACTGTGATGTCATGTTTTAATTCAGCCTCTGGTTTTGAGACCTAAGAAGGGTCAGAACAGTGGCCCGTTGGCTGTTCTGGATTGAGAGTCCCTCACCCCTCCCGGCTTCCATCTGTCCGTCCCTCTCAGTCTGTGGTGCTCACAGGCATTTCCTCTCCCCTCTCCATCCAAAGAAGAGGCCCAGAAAACAAAAGGCTCCCACAGCCACAGCTCAGAATATTCCAGATTGGTGTGGTTTCTGGTCTGAGTGCCTCAGATATGTGCTGATATTTCCTCAGAGACCAAGCCATGCCCCAAAGTCTATTAGAGAAACACCTCCCAAAAGAGCACAGTTAGGTAAAGAAAAGCAAATCCATTCAACACAGTCCCTTTCCAGCAAATCTTGCAGTGTCTTCGGAGCTGTTTGCCAGCATGTCCTGCATTTTGTCTCCCTAAATTCAGAGGCTGGGCTCTGTTTGCAGAGCTTCAGAAATCTCCCTAATTAAGATTCCCCTGTAAATGCCCTGCATTCTCGCCATATGTTTAGTGGCCCTGTGTGGGTTCCTGGGCTTTCTCACCCACCAGGGGACACACAAGTAATTAAGCTGTGATCTCCAAGGAATTCTTGACACCCGAACCCTGATTCTCCCCCACTCCCAACTTTATTTTCTTTTTTAGCTTCTCAATTTAAATGCTGCAAAGAAAAGGTGGAAATGAATGGGCTCCACCAAGTGTGTGCTTGTCCAGTGAATATAAATTCATGAGGCAGCTGCTGTTAGGTGAAAAAAAAAACTCTTTAAAAAATTTATAAACAAGGACTTGCCATCGTCCCACCTCTGAGAAGAAAGGGAATGCATTTAATTACTTTAAGTAATATGAAAAATGCAAATCTCATTACAGCACGCATTTAAACATGGCAGAAAGCATCGTCTCTTAATCCTGCCAGATTTATAAAAATGAAGAGAATCTAATAATTAAGTGGGTGACTGGAGGAGAGATGAATCTGGTTTCTGTGCTATAAAAAATACACAAACCTCCAGGCATGTTAATTTTTGACAAATAAACCATAAACCGTGACAGAAGATTATCACAAGAGACCTCTAGTTCATTTTGCGTGAATTTCCAGATGGAACTCCCTCCACACTCTTCAGAAAGTATTAATTTAGATTAGGACATGAGTGATCATCTTTTTAAACTTTTATTCAAGTAAATAAGACCTGTGTTTACCATGCAAATTCAAATCAGGGTATTTTTATTTAACAGTTGGGTCTCTGTCTTCAATTTCAAAGATGGTTTTCACAGGGGCCGGGGAGATGGACAGGTAGAGCACTTGCCTCGCATATAACCGATTCTAGTTTGATCCCAACCACCACATATGGTCTCCTGAACCCCCTCGCACCCAAGAGTTGTTCCTGAGTGCAGTGAAAGGAATCTGCTCTGAGAACTGCCTAAAAACCAGAAATAGAATAATAAAATTTTGGATCTGGAGGTAGTGCAGGAGTAAGTGCTTTCCTTCCATGTTGCCAACTCAAATTCGATCCCTGGCACCACATATGGTTTCTTGAGTGCCTCCCTGAGCACAGAACCAGAAAAAAGCCCTGAGCACCACTGTGTGTGGCCCCCAAAAGCAGATAAGCAAGTAACTAAAATTAAGTGGATTTTCATTTAAGGAACCTGGAAACTCCACTAGTGAAATTCCACTCCCTTTGTTGTGCATTTCTAAACCTTGAATTAATACCATTTGGAAATCTCCACATTTAAACATTTTATGAGTTTAGTCCCACAAAGATTGCCTTGTTTGTAAAGTTATTATTGCATAAAAGGCTAAAGATCAGACTTAGTAATCATTCTTACACCTGGTGATAAACTGCCACAATGCTGTAATGTTCAATTTAAGGCAGAAAAATATGATGCACATCTACATTCTATATTACCTAATACATTTGATATACTTTTGAAAGTAACATGGTCAAAGTTAGTTTTAGCTAAAATAGAAGGATAAAACCAAGTTTGGAGTGTAGTGGATTTTGTCTGGACGGGGGGAAAAATGTTTTCATTTTGTAACTTGACTTTATAATCCAGCAATTTTGGAGTTGCCTGTATCTTTCTTTCTTTCCTTTTAATCCACAACAGGGAAATGTCCCATAGTCCAAAGTGCTTGAGGTCTAAGCATAGGCCCCTAAATGAGTATGATGCTAAGTTTTTATTCACTGAGTTCAATCGCAGGTGAATTATTAGAAAAAAATCACAGCCCAAGTTTAGATCACTGGCTCCGTGAACACTCATGGGCAAAGCCGCCTCCTCCTTACTCTTCCAGAATTTCTCTAGGAGGGAATTTTGTTTGGTTGCATTATATTATTGGTTAACTTGAACTTGTGTATTTTATGACTAAAATATGAAACACATCAGGCCAAAAGTGTCTAATAATTAAACAAATCAAGAAGCCTGTTTCCTCCCCATACAGTGATAGCCAGGCTGATGTTAGAACTTTTAATTCTTTCTTAGTTATGCTCCATGTTAACCTAAATTTTGTGAATGATGTTGAAATAGTATTTTTTTTTACATTCTGAGGTTTTGATTTTTATTTGTTGAGCCTTCCCTCCCATCCCCCCAATTTCTCTGCATCTTGTTTACCTGTCATACCCTCCTCCTCTGTTCCTTTCTGAATTTTTGAGATTTCTTCCCACAAAGAAAACCTCTTTTCAAAATAAAACCTTGTTGCTATCTTGTCTTCTGATAACATTGATTGGTGGCTACACTGAGAGAAGACAGCATTGTTAGGAGGGTCCAGCTTGCACTTGTGTGATAGCTTTCTTGGGAAGGGGCATGCCCCCCCTCAGTGCTGTATCGAGTCTGTTGTAACTTCTGCTGAGCGGTTGTCATGGTAATGAGAATGCACTGGTCCTTTGTGCTCCATTCGAGTAAATAGATGCGGACAACTTAAGGAACTTTATGAGACATAAATTATTTCTGGTCCGTGACTACACAAAGTACGGAGCCCGTTCTTGTTTAAACATCTTTCTGGCTGTGTGTTTTCCAGAGTAAGCAAATGTAATTTATGCCTCAGAACTAATAAGAACATGTCTCCTCTTGGAATTGTTCATTCATCTGAAATATGTTCATTGATACCTGAGGGAAAAGAGAGTTAATGAATCACAAAACAAAACCATGGTGGGGGAAATTGTGTCCCTCACTCTTTCCAGAGACCAGTTTCTGATAATTGCTATTAAATGGACTGAATAATTCTTTTAAAATTGTATCCTTTTCTTTTCAAAAATTTATGTTAAAATATAAATTACAGGCATTTTCTTAAGTCTTTAATATTTAGCCAAATAAAATAGAACCAATATTTATTCCTTTAGTGAATATCTTCGTAAGCATGTTATAATTATTTTCTTAATTTTTTAACATTTCATTGGTTTATCATATGTTTAAATGAAAAGAATATCTGGCTAATTCTCTCCAATATTTCATCTGATATATTTACAATATTTACAACATCTTATTTTGCTTCTTTTTTTTAACATACTTGATTCAATTGTGCTCCACTCATGGTCACAGAAATGACAGGTAAATTTTACCAGAATCTAACATACTTCTGTGATTTGTCCACTTGAATTTCTCCATCTTGTCTTTGTGGACCATTTGCATTTTTTGGAGGCAACATCTATGATAGCTGATAATGCTATTTTCCTCTTAATATAATTTAGGCTAAAATGTTCTATGTTTTAAAAACATGGTCATTTAGTTGTGATGTTTCTCAAGTTAAAATGTAATGCTGCTGAATTTGTCCATTTCATTTTCCTGTGACTTTGTGGAAAATCTTTTCTTTCATTTGATAAATTGACGTAAACATAAACTATGAGAAATTCCCACTGAATCAGTACTCCATCTCAGAAGGCAATAGCACTTTTTAGAAGAGTATTTCACTTTCCTCCCTGAGCTATTGTGCCTATATGTTTTCACAATTTTATGTCATTTTAAAGGTACAGTTGTTCTGTAGTGAAGACTCAAATGCCAGGGATTTTAGAAAACTGGCTTTTTTTAGTGACCCTCGTCTTAGCGACAGCATTGTCTCTCCTACTTCATTAACTCCTGCAAGACGTCTGCAGCGACCATAACTTGTAACCAATGTTCAACCTTGAAATTCCATGGAATCACAAGAGAAAGTCCTCAAATCTCCTGACGTATTTGCCTGTGCGACATGGTTAGCAGACAGCCCTGCTCTTTGCTTTGGTTCTATGACGAGTGGAAAATTTCCCTTCTGCCCATACTGTCCCTGGCCAGAGCTGGCCTGCACGCTCATTAACTCTGGAAGAGCCCTTTTGCTGTAGCACTTTCTGAAGCCAGCGCTTGTCATTGTCAGAAGGCTCATCAGAGATTCTGACCACAAAGCTAGTCACTTTCTTAACACTTTATTTATTTGCCACCAAAGACTCCCCCCCAGCACTGAGTGCACAGATCCCTTCTTCCCTAGGTGTGATAAGCAAAGAAAAGCCACGTAGTTTTGTGGTTCAGTGAAGGTCCCTGTAGGCTCTTGGGCCACGCTGAAATTCCGGCTCTTCCAAAGATCAGGGCCCCAGTGATCCGTTTTCAGATAAGGCCTTTTTCTTCCACATTTTCTGTTTTTATTCATTTGAATCTGCTGAGTCTGACCATTGTAATTATCCCCAGTATTCATATTGTCAAAGTGTATTAGTGAGAGATCAATAATATGGATCAACCCATTCACTTTCTACTTGTTTGGGTGTATTGATTGCGTTTAAATAAAAGTCAACCTGCTGTATAATGTTTGTTTACTCTGGCCCTCGCTGAACGTTTCCACATCCTCACTGACTGTGTTTGTGTCATCGGTTGGACTAAAAATACTTGGTTTCCCTGGGGTTCCCATGTAACAGTACTCCAGGGCTGGCCTAAACTAAACTCACTTTCTCAATAGGACTGATGGACGCCGCTGGTCCTTGGCTTCTCTCCCCTCCTCTGGCTATGGGACGAATACGCCCAGCTCCACAGTCTCCGTAAGTACTTGACTTTCTTCCCTCTGCCCCACAACCACACAGCTCTTCCGTGACACTGTTTCCTGGAAGGGGGAACAATTCTGCATGCCCGCTACTCTGAGTAGGTTGCATATCCACCATAAAAAGGGCATAACCTTTCTCTGCAAGCTTTTAAAATGTGGTGTACAAAATGCCTAAATTCCAAGATCAGTGGGTTTGGAGGAGGTGGAAGAGCTTTTAATACCATTTGGTGTAGTGAGGGTGTCTTCAGAGGGAAGACAAGGACACAGAATTCGGTTTTATTGCTTTGGTTCCACCCCAGTGATAATTATACTGAAAATGCCATTAGGTTTTGATGGCCTGGGTCTTTTTTTTTCTTGTGTGGCTAAGATGTAGAGATTGGTTTGTTGGTTTTGGCTTGTTGGCTTTTCTTCTTCAAGGGAGGAGAAAATTGCAAACCTTAAATTTGTCTGTCTCCTAGGCAGGCACTTATTTCAATGAGAGAAAGAAATTAGTGGGAAGTAAAGTTAAATAGACAAGATAAAACCAGAAAATAGTGAAGAAGACGGAACACTCTTGCCCAAAATGTTAACATTGCAATGAGAAGCCTGGCACTTACTGTTGATTGATTGGTTCAGTTCCGTACTTTCTCAGTGAGCTGTATCCTGGGCTGTGTGTTTTAGCAGAGCTTGAGAAACTTTGTAAATGTAGCAAGACCCGTTACTTTATAGTGTTAACTGAGTGCAAATGGAGCTGGCTAAGAGTGCTTGCACTAGCCACAAAAGAGAAACCAGTGATTTTAAGTCCTTTCTGATTCATTTGCCTCTCTTATTTTTGGGGTATTTTGGGGGGGGGGGGGGGGTCAAAATATGGTTTTCTTGGCTGTCCATCCTTTTTTTGTCTGTCTTTGCATGGACCCTAGCACTGTGCTGAGCACACAGATCAAGCTTCTTAATACTCGGAAAGGTTCTACAGTTAAATTATTAAGTTCCAACTGGCATGTCAAACTGCTGCCTGTTACGTGCTTTCAGAATTCCAGGTGCAAAAGAAGATGATTTCCTGGAGCACCTTTAAGACAGACTTACTGAAATCTGTTGGATCATCTTGACCACTTCCTTATAGTATTTTATTCATGAGATCATTTATCTTCCTTTGTGGTAGATGAGTTGGTTATCCATTTTCATTTTTGTGTGTTTGTTTGTTTGTTATGGGGCCACACCCAACTGTGCTCAGGACTTACTCCTGCCTCTGCACTAGGAGTCACTCCTGATAGTCTCAGGGACCATATGTATTGCTTGTTCATTTTGATTGTTTTCATCATTTTGATTGCATTTGGAGAACCTGCGATTCTTTCAGGGGCACATTAACCTCACATCTGCTCTGTCACAGACAGTAGACACCCAGGTTACTTGTGTCAGTGACTTTCATAGGTTTTATTCCTGTAGTTTAGGTGTTGAAGCCTTGAACAGCCAAAGTGCTATAGTTGACTGACTGAAAAGAAAAAGTAATTTCCTCAAGTTTCAGTGTTCTCCGCCCAGAATCTTTAGTATCTTCTCTTAGAACCCAGTCACCAACAGGATGTGGCCTTCTGTTCTGTGACTTTCCCATACAGAAATTCACTGAATCCCTCACACCCCACACTTTATGTCATGCCTCTGGACTCCAAATTCTGGTTTCTTTCAGTGATTTCACATTGTTTTACACTTGACTCAAGTTTTATTATGGTTTTGATACTGACATTTCTCTTGTGCAAAAAAAAAAATTAAGGGTGTAGAATCTTTTTGTCTCTAGTAAATCATGCAGTTTTCAAAGCAAATTATTATTATTTTTAAAGGGTAAACAGTATAGAATTGGACCCCACTTGGCATAAATAGTTTAGGAACATTTTGCATAAGCATGTACTATGTGCTAGACTCTAGTCTGACTGTTCCCCATGCATCGCTCCTTTAATCCTCACAGCATGTCTTATAATACAGTTGCCATTGCTTTCTTCGATTTAATGGATCAAAATGTGAGCCATAGAGAGTGAACTAAGAGGCTGTATACTAATGCCCTTGTTTTATCAGTGAGAAAACACAAAGTGATCAAAACCCCATAACTTGGGTTTATTTTAAGGAATTAACATGATATTTCTTGGGGGCGGGGGACCCTTATAATTAATAAGACTGACCCAGCCATCTGTCAGTACAGGGTCAGAATGGTCCCTGACTTCCATCTGCTTAGAGACATATTGAGACAGTTGCTAGACACTAGACGCACACACACACACACACACACACACACACACACACACACACACACAGATTCTCTCAACCTCTGGCCAGAAGTAGGATGGTTTTTCTCTAAAGCACTTTCTAGTAAAGAAGGTAGATCCATCCTATCATTGTTGAGCTAATATTTCCAATTTTTCTTCAAAATAAAAATCTGCCTTTAAAGTCTCTTGTTTTGCCCCAAATTCATTAAATTTGTGGCTTTGGGGTACTGTTGTCCAGAAGTTTGGCTCTCTTTTCCCCCTATTGGTTATTTATCAAAATGAGTGAAAATTAGAAGAGATACTTCTCATTTCCATTAATGTGTGTTTCTTTTGTTTTGCTTTGGGGGCCATACCAGGCAGTAATCAGAGCTTACACCTGCCTCTGCTCCAGGTTCCGTCCTGGCAGTTCTCGGCAGACCATATGCAGTGCTGGGGATTAAAATGGGGTTGGCCCACGCAAGGAAAGCGCCTTCACCCAAGTACTGTCTCACCAGTCCTTGCTTATATTCTTGTCTTTTAAATATTAGGGCAGATATTGTGCAAAATGGGTAGTTGTCACAATTTTTGAGAGACTAGTCTGAATCATTCCGATTCTAATTTTCTTAACTATGTCTTAGTCATTCAGCAATCAAGTAAACACTTTGATTCTACAGGGTTAAGATACTTGCCTAGCACATATCTGACCTAGGTTCAGTCACTACTACTCCGTGTAATCCCCCGAGCCCTGCCCGGAGTGATCCCTGAATGCAGAGCCAGGGGTAAGCCCTGAGCACCATTGAGTGTGGTCCCCTTCAAAAAATTAATTTTAGTGCCTGGGATGGGGCTGGAGCGATAGCACAGCGGTAGGGCGTTTGCCTTACAAGCGGCCAACATGGCCGACCCGAGTTCGATTCCTCCGCCCCTCTCGGAGAGCCCGGCAAGCTACCGAGAGTATTCGATATGCCAGACACAGTAACAACAAAGTCTCCAATGGAGACGTTACTGGGCCCGCTCGAGCAAATCGACGATCAACGGGAGGGCCTTTACCTTTACCTTTAGTGCCTGGGATATAGCCTAGTGGTAAGAAAACTTGCCTTGCACCTGTGAGACCCTAGATTCAATTCCAGACACCACCCCAAAATACATTTCAGTTGTTTTTAGAATATATGTAGTTATGTATATGTGTGTGTGTGTGTGTGTGTGTGTGTGTGTGTGTGTATACACATCGAGTTGCTCTAGCGGGGCCCAGTAACGTCTCCATTGTGAGACTTGTTACTGTGTTCGGCATATCGAATACATCACGGGTAGCTTGCCAGGCTCTGCCGTGTGGGCAAGATACTCTCAGTAGCTTTCCAGGCTCTCCGAGAGGGGCGGAAGAATCGAACCCAGCTTGGCAAGGGCAGACACATGCAAGGCAAATGCCCTACCACTGTGTGCTATATATATATATTTATATATATAAATTGTGGATACTTTGAAACTATAGCCTAAGTAAAGGTAAAAGGTAAAGGCCCTCCCGTTGATCGTCGATTTGCTCGAGCGGGCCCAGTAACGTCTCCATTGGAGACTTTGTTGTTACTGTGTCTGGCATATTGAATACTCTCGGTAGCTTGCCGGGCTCTCCGAGAGGGGCGGAGGAATCGAACTCGGGTCGGCCATGTTGGCCGCTTGTAAGGCGAACGCCCTACCCGCTGTGCTATCGCTCCAGCACCATAGCCTAAGTATCTATAGATAAATCCTTTATTAACTGAGTTTCTGAGGTGCATATGCTGAAATAAAAATACATGTCTTTATTCTCAGGATACATTATGGAAATTGAAAAATTGGCAATGTTAAATATACACTTTTGAGCCTGGGAAGATAGTGCAGGGATTAAGGTACTTGACTGGCACCTTGTCTTGCTGGTACTGCACACTGGTCCCCTTAAGCACCACCCTGAATAGTCCCTGAGCACCACTGGGTGTTGCCTGAAAGCAGAACAAAAATGACATACGGGGGAAAGATTTTGTCCTGATCAGTTCTTCCATACATTATTTAGTATATAATTTCTTGTTAAAATTAATTTGAGGGATTTTTACTGTATGATTGCATTTTATTCCGTTAAGATTTTCTATATTTTGAAGATATCCTTTTAGTATTTAAAATACTAGGAAAAATTTTAAGATAACGCTCAGGTCCAAATTTTAAGATAAATAGTAAGGTATTTGAATGGAAGGAAAATGGTCCTCCATACATTTTCTCTTCTTTTTAAAATAAATGTTTAGCGACATGAATTATTTTGTGCTGAGAGAAAGAATGCAGGTGTGAGCAGAAGCACCTGTAAATACAGGGTTTGGCTGTAAAATTACTTTTAATAAATAAATAGGTAAAGGTAAAGGTAAAGGCCCTCCCGTTGATCGTCGATTTGCTCGAGCGGGCCCAGTAACGTCTCCATTGGAGACTTTGTTGTTACTGTGTCTGGCATATCGAATACTCTCGGTAGCTTGCCGGGCTCTCCGAGAGGGGCGGAGGAATCGAACTCGGGTCGGCCATGTTGGCCGCGTGTAAGGCGAACGCCCTACCCGCTGTGCTATAAATAGCAAGTGGCAAAATTATACGAGCATATGAATACTGTCTCTTGCAAAAGTGGTTACTTTGGAAAACTGAATGATAAATGAACTAAAACTAAAAACTAAATGAACATGGAACTCTTAATGCCTGTGAGCAATTTTTTATGTTTTTTAAGGGGGTAAATCTTCATTCTTTGAAAGAAGATTTGATTTATAGTTTAGTTAAAGGTCATATGCAAACTAGTTAGCTGATAAGACTCTCTGACATCATTTAGAGAACACTCAGGAAATATACAGCAGTGAGATCCATGCATCGGGAAACTTCCAGACTAATTCTGGAAACTCTTGTAAAAGAAATATTCCAAAGATGTTCTGCCCATTGGAGGTAACTTCTCAGTAAGTGAATGAAGGCCTTGGCGACCACTGCACCCTCTGTTCGCTTGCTGCCTCTTTCCTCTGGCTCTGCGTGATTTCTCCTCCAGGCACTCTACTAGAACAGGACCTTGAGCTTTCCAACAGAAACTCTTCTCGGGGGGCCCTCTTTGGTACCTCTTGAGTTCTCAGGTGACTGTGCTGGTATCTAGCTAATCCTCTGGCTGTAGACTTACTTTGCTGTCATTGGGTTTGGTGTCACCTTGCTCCCATCATTACCTTCCTTCTTGGGAAACTTCTGCTGCCTCATTCAGTTGACTATATTCCCCACCCAGCACACACTCCTAATAAAGTTCAGTAGACTGTTACACTTGTTGTTACGCATATGATATGACCCAGAAAAAGTTTTTGGAGTGAACAGTGGTTAACATGGTGCTATATTTTGTATAGTTATCATTATTTTAATTTTTTTAATTTTTGCTTTTTGGGTCACATCTGGCAATGTACATGGGTTACTCCTGGTTCATGCATTCAGGAATTACTCCTGGCGGTGCTCGGGGGACCATATATGATGCTGGGAATCAAATCCGGGTCAGCCGCATACAAGGCAAATGCCCTACCCTCTGTGCTATCGCTCCAGCCCCATGGTATAGTTGTTTTTAAATGCATTGTTTCATTTATCGAACACAGTGTCAATGATCCTAGCAAAGCTCTACCATCTAGAGCCCCTCTCTTTCCTCCCAAGAAAGTCATTCAGTGTCACTATCATGTAAATACAGGTTCGTGGTATCTTATATGAAACTCTTTGACCTGGTTTGTCTTGGAATTAATTTTCACATTTCAGAAAGGCAACATGATCTCTGCACTGTACATAATACCCAGTAGCAACTGGGCCAACCACTCATAATCATAATTATTAACATTTCTACAGGCAACTTGAGTCAATATTCTCACTAAGTAGATTAAATGCATATTTCAAATAGTTCCCCATCAGTACAGTGGGTGTTTTGCCACCCAAAAGGATTACTACAAATGTATGAATAATATTCTAGGCTTGGAGGTTTTGAAATCTTGGATACAGGATTGTGGCCGTTGATTTGCCTTTGAGATACATGTGCAAATCCTTAGTTCTGTTTTTTTTTTTCTTGTACTTGCTTCGCTCACTGCTGTTTCTCTCCTACTTACTTAGGATTTTATAGTTTTTTCCCCTGATTTCTCCTGCTGACCCAGTTGGTATATTTGACTTTTTTTTTGTAGGAAAGTATTTAAGACTATGATTCTACTTTCTGCGGGAGTGCTTTCGTTTATCTCATAAATCTTGCTCTTTTATGGTTTATCAAATAATCTCATCATATTCTAAAGATTTCTCTCTGTCTCTGTGTGTACTTAGTGTAACGTGCTTTATAATTTCAAGGTGTAAGGATATTTTTAAGTTTTAGTCATTAATTTTTAGTGTTTACTGCATGGCAGAACTTCAGTATTTATGAAGTGTGTTCTTACCATAATGACAGATTTTTTTTTCTTTCCAAATGAAAGAAGTCTACTGCAACCGAATTTTCAATTGAGTAGTATTTTTTAAAACAGGCTCTTTCTAACCATGTTTTCATTACTAAAAATTTCTCAACCTCTTATGTTAGAGCTGCTCACAGAACTCACCTCCTGTAGAAAACAAAGATACTTACCCCTTTATTTTATAGTTGCATTTCTCAGGTTAAGTAAAAGTAATTTCTTTTTCACTGACCCTTTTTATCTTACCTTGCTTTAGTGTAGAGTGAAACATTTCAAAAATAAATCTGTATGCAAGGAATTAAACAAAGAAACTTTTATTACATAAAGAAGGGGGGGGGAGATCCCAACATTTCAAATAATGAATGGCATTTTAAAAGAAGCTTGTATTAAATGAAGAAGAGGGGGGGAAATCCAATTTTTCAAACAATAATGGCATTATGGAGAAGAGCAGCTTCTTCATTTCTTCCCCTTTCCACCTAGAAGGGCATGTGATGGATAATGATTGCACCAAAAAACAGAACCTTTTGTAAAAAAGATCTTCCCTTATTTATGATCTTACATCACTTTCTGTTACTTGTCTAAGAGTCAGTGTTTGCAGTGATAGTAAAAGTGAGAGTAACATATCCAACTGAGATCTAGTGTATTATTTAGTGCACCCAAAATTCTTACTCCAATTGTCATATTTTGCTTTGGCTTCCACTGAGCACTATTCATTTTAGCATGTGGGTTCTCTTCACTGGGAGCAGGTGAGGGTGAAGAATGCTTTGGGGAGATAGTCTTATGAAAACAAATGGAGATGGAATGTGAGTACTATTTTGACCTCCCAGAAAAAAGCATCAAGGTATTCATTTAGATATTCGCTGTTATAATGGTAACATGAACGCATGTATTTATAACAGAAAAGAAACTATAAAATGGTGATATTATCCCAGCATGTACTTTATAATCTCTTCGTTGTTGAAAAAATTTCTTTTTTCAGGTAATCATATAACCTTCCTTGGTTTTGTTTTTAGTCATCCTGTTCCTCCCAGGAGAAGTTGCATCAGTTACCATACCAACCAACACCAGATGAATTACACTTCTTATCAAAACACTTTTGTACCACCGAAAGTATCGCCACTGAGAACAGATGCAGGAACACACCCATGCGCCCCCGTTCCCGAAGTCTGAGGTGCGTGGATCTGATCCAGAAAATGTTCATTATTTCATTGGAATATCTCTCTTCACCCATTTCAAAGGAAACTTTGGGGTCACTGATTTATACTTGTGTTCACTGATTTGTGAATACAAATGGAGAGTTATATTTTCCTTTTACACATGCTATCTTTAATTGCCATTGCAAAGCATCTTTTGTTTTGTTTGGGGGGAGGGTCACACCTGCAGTGCCCACAGGTTACTCCTGGCTCTGTGTTCAGAAATCACTCCTGACAGTGCTTGCAGGAATGTATGGAATGCTGGGGACTGAACCGAAGCTGGCCACATGCAAGGCAAGCACCTTTCCCACTGTACTGTCTGGTTCCGAAAGACATCTTATATTTTTTTTTGTAAATTTTCATAATATGCCAATTGCTAAAGGAGCAATTATCATGATAGCCTGAATTTACCTCCTGTGTAACTTTGGCCATTAACTCTTGCTAGGCAATCATCTAATCATGGTACAAGAACAGTTGATGTTCTAGTTCAAGAGGGAGAGAGAACCTTGGCCAAAAGAGGAAGGACAGCAAAAATAAAAGTGTTCTTCCATATTTCTTATTATAAAGTCTTCCAGATCATTCTTCTTTTCTTCCTATCCTAAGTCTTATTTTTATCTAGGATTATGAGCAAATTGTTAGGAGTTTATATTGCTTGAGTTTCATGGAGCCCCTGTGTCAAGCCAGTTCTTTTTTGTCCTTCTTTCTGAAAATTCAGTTGTCACAGTTTGGTTATGTATATCCATTTGGTTCTTCAGGAAATGGACCCAGGGACAGAGGGGGTGGGCTGTTAGTTAGGAAGTGTCTTTGGTATCCACACCACTGGAAGGGGTGAGGACACAGTGTGTGCAGAAGTCAAATTACCGCAGGGCTGCCTGACAGAGACAGTGGCAATATGACCTATCACCATTGTCTCTCAGGACCAGATGACCCTGGCTTTAGAACCCTCAAGTCTTGGATGAGGCCCTGAGGGAGGGATGTGGCCCAGGGCATGGTATTTCTCTGCAGCTGGAACCACACATGCTGCTACTGACAACTGTAGGCGCATTTGCAGTCGATGCAACTGTAGCAGGCACTGCTTCTCTGAAGCAGGATTAGAGCTTTCCCCAGAGAAGAACTTCATGTCACAGAATTGGTCTCCTAGTTGATATAAAGCTCTTGTTAAAATAGTTTATCTGAGTATGTAAGGATAGCACAGTGGGTATTGCACTTACCTTGAATGCAGCTGCAATGGTTATAACTCTGGTTAAGGTCCCCGGTACCACCTCTGGTCTTCAGAGCACTGCCGGGAGTCACTCTTGAGCACAGAGTTAGGAGTAGTTCTTGATCACCTCTGAGTGGGGGGCCAACACCGTCCCCCAAAGTCAGGCACTCATTTGAATAGAAGAATTCACTGAGAAGTGTTTTCCATTTGGAGTTTGCTTCTTTTATATCAAACAGAAAATAACAGAAATAGCCATATTGTGTACCCATGGAATGTGTCAAATTATTCTCAGCAATGGAATAAAAGACTAGTTTTATGAACGCAGTGAGAGGCATTGCCTTTACCACACTGGGTCTCTTTGTGGTGTGATGAAAGGAGTTTCTTGGTGATGGAGTGTGAGCTATGTTGTCCAGGGTTCCTGAGGCAGTGCACTCAGATACCCCTCAGCCCACACACCTCAGAACCAGAGAGAAACTCTCCCCAGGGTGCACCTCTGTCTCCTGCTGTACAAAGTGCTGACTTCAGCAACCCAAATAAACATTTGCTCGGCCAGAAAATGGATTTCAGTGGTGACACCGGAGCTGTGGAGGACTCTCCAGCCTCTCCTGTGGTCTGCAACAGAATGTAGGATAAAAGTGTGAAATTACATTGTTGGACGTGTCAGAGCTGAGGCTGTTTTGCAGCCACCCTAGTTTGGTTTCATATTGCGTGAGTTACTTTTCAGAATGATACAAGTGCACGCTACCTGCAGAATATAATCTCAATTTAAGAACCGTCTCTGATCTAATTTTATATTGTAGCTGTAATTATTTTCTGACATTCCTGTTCTTGAGCTTTCTTTTTGAATCCTGTTCAGGGTTTCTCTTCAGGGGTATGTATGTGCCCATGTGAGCTAATGACTGATTTTGCAGTCTATTGCCTAATACACTTTTCTTACAAAGGCTCATAGTGCATTTGATGCAACCAATTGTTGATAAATAAAAAGCTTATTTTCATTTCATGCGGTGGCAAGTTTAAAAGGGTAATTTGCTTTGCTTGCAGCCCTGGACGTTCTCCCGCCTGCTGTGACCATGAAATAATTATGATGAACCATGTCTACAAAGAAAGGTTCCCAAAGGTAATGAATGGAATTGAAGATGCCTAGCATCTAAATGAACAGGCAACATAGGTTTAGCATCTGGAAGGGGGTTTTGTGATGGGAAGTAATGGTCCAATCCATAATGACTTGCATAAAATAGCACCTTACCCTACTTAGAAAGATTAAAAAGGCACTGAATGTTTTTAGAACAGCTGAGAGCCAGCCAAGTTCTCCATGTATTAAACTGGCTCCAAAGTGCATGCCTGGTTGTATCACCCTCTGGTTGGGAGTGGGGAGGTATTAAGGGGAGGGTTGGCTTTGAAAACCTTGATACCCTTGTTCCCTTGTGTTCGTGTCCTGGGTCTACTGTTGTTTTGTCAAGAACACACTGTTTTTCTCTTCTTCAGGAATCTGTGGACTGGTATGTCATCACTGTTGTTTGATTTGGGATCTGATATTTAGGTGACCTCACCTTTCTATTATGAGACTTGTCTCTGTAGCAATTATATGTCTGATCCTGTGCATTGGAGGGAAAGGGACAGTTGCAGTTACCCTAGTTAGGCAAAAGGAAGTTGAAGGCCCCAGAGAAGACTCGGTGCAGGGGGCAGCCGTATGCCTGGCAGCAAAGAACTATGGTCTGATAAACCCTGTCACCTCGCCGCGACATCTTTGGTTTCAAAGTCTTCACACATTTGGGAGAAGGCAGGCCCTGCATTTTATTTCTGCTTTTCCTCAACAGGCTCTGTAGCCCTAGGCCAGAGAACAAAAGGAAATCTTTGGTTTCATAAATCAGGAGTAGAGTACTTATTATTTGTAATGAACCCAACATTGATGCCATTGATTAAAGCCGTTTTAGCTATTTATCACATGTCACTTGTTCACCAGGGAAGCAGATACTGATCCTCCTAGTCAATGCTGGTTAGGATGTTAGAGGGAGCAAGAGGCCCAGGGATCTCCTTGCATATACATCAGTGGATGGTAGGGGATCGATTAAGCTATAGGATCACAGAGAGTGAAAGAAAAGTTGGGAAGGAGGTTTTAGATTTATTTACCAATGGGCTCCTCCTGGCCTTTTGCATATGATGTAGCTTTTTGAAAAATAGATGAAGGTGAAGTCCAGAGAGATAGTGTAGTGGTTAAGGTTGAGGCATTTACCTTGTATGCAGCTGACCCTGGTTCGATCTCCAGCTATACATGGTCCCTGGAAAACTCCAAGAGTGACCTCCTCAGTGGAAAAAAAAAAAAAACAAGGACTAGCTTCTGAGTTTTCTTGGGTGTGGCCCAAACCCTGTCACCACCACCACCACCAAATTTATTTTTAAAAATAAGAATGGTAAAAGATTTTTATTCCTGGTACCTTAAAACCTACCCAGGAAAATTAACTCTATGGGCTGAATATGAATTCTAACAGCAGTTCTGATTTATGAATAGGTAAAGGGGTACTTTTTGCTATTTTTGACAAGTTATTTGAAAGAACTCAGGATATGAAATGTAAACCCAACAGTTCACCAATATTTCTCACTTAATTTGAGGAAATTTACATGGACTCTTTAACCTTTGCTAGAACAGAAAAAGCGATTATCCCCTTTGGATATTCATTTCTCCTTATATACTCAAATCTTTATCTTTTCCGAGTAGCAAGGCTTCTTCTCTTTTTTTTTTAATTTGATTTTGGTGGTTTTGGGTCACACCTAGCAACAGTCCTGGGGGTAGGAATGGTGGGGCAGAGGGCTTGGGGAGGTGGAGAGGGTACCTGCCAGTTCGGTGCTTAGGAAACCATCTGAGGTGCTGGGGATACAGTCAGGCTTGGGCCACATGCAAGGCAAGCGCCTTACCCCTATACTGTCTCTCTGACCCCTAGACTCTTATTTAATAAGATGTGGAGGTCTGAATGTGCCTGGTAAGTGTGATGATTGAGTTGTCTGCTTGTGTGTCTTTGTCACACATCTGTGTTTGTGTGTCTTTCCAACTAGGCTACAGCTCAGATGGAAGAGCGTCTAAGAGAAATTATCACCAGCTACTCTCCTGACCACGTTCTTCCTCTCGCGGATGGAGTGCTTAGTTTTACTCACCATCAGATTATTGAACTGGCACGGGATTGCCTGGATAAATCCCACCAGGGTCTCATCACTTCCCGATACTTCCTTGAATTACAGCACAAATTAGATAAATTGCTTCAGGAGGTAAGAATCCTATATCCAAATAGGATTTAGCTTTTTGCCTGGGGGGAAAAAAAGGGAAAATATGATGTGAGTATTTGCTTAAAAATTATCATTAGCTAGTGTGCATATTTCAGGGAAAAAGAAAAAAAGGAGGAAAAACTGATTTCTCCTTGCATTCATTCTGGTCATCATTTATCGTAATAGAAAGTTAATGTAATAACCTTTACAGGAACCTTGGAACCTGACAATCTCCATGACTCCAGCATAAGTGGATCATGAGGAATTTTGAAGCCGTGATTCCCCCTCACCCTCCGTCCTTAACCATAAAGTTATAAATGGCCTGAATATATGTTTTTTGATGATGCTATCTCCTTCTAATATCTGGAAAAGCTAAATGGGAAATTGCTAGTGTGTCCTATTAATTAACCTGCATGTGGTGTTGGCAACTTATATTTTCATTAGTGCCTTCTTCTAACAAAATATCCAATTTCCAAAAGGAGAGATAAACACAGGCCCCGTCTAGGCCTAACACTTGCATGCGGTGCTCCTGATAATACGCAGGGCAGGAAGGATGTTGGTGGTGGAATGGAATTAGTGACTGATATTACTATGCTGATTGAAATTGATCAGCCGCAGCCTACTAGTGAAATCCAGTTAGCCTATATATTTGAATACATTGTATTTCTGGGCAAAAAAAAATGATGCCCCAGTAAACATAACAACAGTGATGGTTTTCTCTAAACAGGAATATGCTAGTAAGTGCCTGAAACTGAAGGGAAATATTAGCATCCTTATTTTCTAGAAATCCCTTTGTCCTTGGACCTGCTGCATTTAATTCAGAGAAGATGAGAAGATCCCTCTCTGTGAGTCAGGTGTTCTGCCCCTTCTCTCCATGTTTCCCAACAGCACTTTGCTACCCTGTTCCTAGTTCTTACATTTCAAATCCTCCCCCACCCCCTTATGCCCCAAGGAGACCATGTTTCTCTACCTTTGGGGACAACACGCTATTTTTGGTTTTTGTTGTTAATTTCTTATTTGTCATGGACCATTTCTCCTGTAAGTAAAGATGAAAATTAATTTCTAGAAGTGACCATGCACCTGGGCATTTCTGGCAGTGTTGAATTGCTGCAAGAGCCGCCCAAGGCTTACTCTTGAGGATTGAGCAAAGTACTCCCCCCCCAGACACCCCCAACCTGTGTGTGCTGGCCTCCACATTTGGACCGCCCTTTGGAACTCAGTCTGTGTGCACTCACTGGGTCTGTCCTGTTCCCCTAGGATGGTGTGTGCTGTGTAACCGGAGTCAGTAAATGTATCGTAAATGAATCAGCTACTGAACTCTCTCAGTAATCTCACTGATGTCCTTTTCTGCCACGTTCTCAGGGTATTTTCCTGGAATAAGTTTCTTTTACTGGAACGTGACTGACTGCATTGGGCAACATTAAAGCCCTCTCCTTTCCCCTGTCCCCTTTTTAAGGCACTGTCTTCCTCTTTCTTGCTCCTTTACCATTTCCTCTCTGCCTCTTCCAAAAGCATCCCATCCAATGCATGTTTTCTGAAATATGAATTTTCCCACAGTCAGTCCTCATCCTCTGGTCTTTCTCACTCTCTCAGTGACCTTGTTGGCTGCCTTGGATTAAAGACCCATGCAGTGGACAGAGTTCTAATCCTAATCCATATCTCAGACTGGGAGATCTTTCTCTGATTTCAGAGGCCTGTGTTCTCTTGCCTACCAAGTAGCTTTCTAATTAGACAGCTCCCCCAAAACATACCCCACATAAGATGGATTCAGCATTCTATCAGCTGAACATGGTTTCCTATTCTTGGCTTTCATCTTTGTCAGCCAAAACGTACCAAGCCATATCCTAACCCTCAGGATACCATTAAACCCTCAGTTTACTTCCAAATATTCCTCCAGTTCTTCCCTCCAAGTCTGTCACCACCATCCAACTTAGGCCCCCTCCAGTCCTAGCTCCTCAAATTCGAGCTTCTGTGTAAAAGCTGGGATCTCTATTTGTCTTCAGGGGCTGCAGTCTGCCTGTAAGTGCTGGCATGCGTTTAACCACACTGCACAGTAGTGCTTGTAGGGGACAAGGGGAATCTCCCCTCATCAATATTTGAGTGGCCTCTGCAAGGAATGAGGATCATATCCAGATCACCATTAACTCCTTATGCTCAGCACCAAGCCTGCTTTTATTTATTTATTTATTTTTTAATGATGAAAGAGGGAAGAGGAAAGCATTTATATGTGCATGCCAAAATCTTGGTCTATTATGACTTTTTCATCAAGCACTCTTTCTTTGTTGTTCCTTGTAATCAAATCAATTTCCAGAAAATGCTGGAAACACAGTGTGTTTGGTTTTCACAAGTACCTTGAAAATTGTATTTGTTAAAGGGTGTGTTTTGAAACAAAAGAGACAGATGAGAGAAGAACGCTGTAGTCAGCCTCTGTGAGGTACGCCTTCCTTAATTCCACATTTCTGTCCCAGGATATCACTATAATTACCAGTTTTAGACCTGTGCTTTTCACTCCTTCACAGACATTACCTGAAAAGGGTAGAATCCATATCCAAAGCTATTTATATTGAAATCCCCCACTTAATTTTGTTTCTGTCTGACAGACTTGGCAGACTGATATTTCATGGAAATTACAAAAATCTTAGGGTGGCAAAGATCATCTGAATAGGTCCTGTAATAGATGAAAATTGTGTATTTTTTAGAGAAATTTCTCTTTGGGCTAGCCCGCCACCTATACTTGTGACATAAAGGGCATTGACGGATGGTGAGTAAGATTGCTTTCTGGTTGCAGACAAACCTTTTCTTCAGTTCTCTTGTGAAAATTAAAACTATCTTCAGAATCACGTCTACAAAGTGCTCCCCGAGTTTGGAGCTAAATGGTCACAGGGAAACTGGCCCCTTTTACATAGAGCCCCATTGTGGGAACTTGCTTCGCTTTGCCTGTGATGCAATTGTTGTTGGTTCCCTGCTGTGCCATTGTGTGCCTGTCCACTTGTCTTTTTCCCATTGTCAATCTCCTACAGGCCCAGGCACCGTCCCCCTGAGGTTTGAGCAGCCTGATTTAAACTGATGCCTTTTTAAAGTCCCAAGGTCTAGGTCAATTCTAGATGAATGCTTTTATGTCTCTATTCTTTTCCTTCGCGTCAGTGTATTTAGCCAAAGAAAATAAAATACATAGGAAGTGCTAACCTAGTTTCAGATCGGGGGCTCCCTGTGTTTGAGTGGCCACGGCTTCAAATCCAAACACAGGGTATCCATGAGTGTCAGCGCTTGTAGCTGACAATGGTGAAACGATTTCTCTCCTGCGTGGTGCATGGTTGTGTTTGCTATTGTTTTTAACAGAACTTCTCCCTTACCCCTAACTCCAGCAGTTAGCAGATAGAATGCTATCTGAGTAAATATAACTGAAATGTCTTGGTCTTGTTTGTGACTGATCATTCTTAGAAGAACGTAGGAGAAAGAACTTCGAACAAAGGACTGCTTGCTTTTACAATATTTGAATTGGGATATGTGTTGTGCAAACTTTTCTTGGCTAAGATATAGAGGTTATGTTTCCTTTCAAAGGGGCCACCCAAACATATTCAAGCTTTTTAGATTTTCTTTTAGTTCCCGAGTTTATAAAGCAGTAATTATTAAAGAAAATGTCCGTGTCTGGCCTATTCAATATCAGTGTCCTTGGCAATTTGAAATTTCAGTGTTTGGGGTGGGGGTGGAGGTGTTGTTTGTTTGTCTGCTTTAAGTTTTTCTGTCTAATTTTGGTTAAGGATAAACTATAAAGAAATCATATAACTGTATTTCTTGACATTCATTATAGTTCCCAGAATAAAAAAATTACAGTTTACATTACACACACACACACACACACACACACACACACACACACTCATTCTCCACACCACCCTGGCTTCTCCTGCTTACTGGACTTAAAGTCCTATTTGCCAGTTAGTTTTCTTTTAACTTTATTCTGTAATTATTCACCAGTAGTAATTTTCTGTGTGTTTTTCTTTTTAAAAGTTGATTGTCTTTCCTTTGTCTCTCTCAATTTTTTTCTCTACATTTTGGAACATAGCCTTTGATTTCGTGGCTTCAGTTTACTTGCCATATTATTGCTAATTATAATCATTTTTATAGATTCAGTCTGCTGATTCTTTTTATGTTACCACTAGTGATTTTTAGGATAAAACACTTTTTGAAGTGATGTTAAATGCTTATTACTGTTTCTATAAAATGTAACAGATGCAAAAACATCATCATGATTTGTTTGAATTTTTAAAAAACAGTAAATCATAAGCACCTCAAAATTAAGCCCAAAAGTGAGCATGCACAGTTACTTTGAAGTATTTATTTTATTTTATTTTTTTTAATTTTTATTAGTGAGACATCATGAGGTACAGTTGTAGACTTACAAATTTTTGTGCTTGGGTTTCAATTATACAGTGATCAAATACCCATCCCTCCACTACTTTGAAATATTTTTAATGAAGTAGTTTTATACCTCATTTGATATACCTCTCATTTTTTAATCATAAAAATTAAAATGATTATTAAAAAACTTAGCTTTGTTCTCAGGGTTTTACTTTTTGCCTGTATTTTACACATAAAACCAAAGTTTACAAGATCATAAGTGCGTTAAATGTTACTGAGTTGAGTTCCTGGGTATTATTTATTCAGCATGTGAAATGGAATCAATATGTATCTATCCAAGTATAAGCATTATTCACCTTGAATTTGAAGTAAGCATTACACTCCTCTTACATGTTATGAATAACTAATATATGTACTTATGGTATTGCATGTGTAAAATCTGTTTCATGACTATATTAAATGCCCGGGATAACAAAAGCAGTTCATTATGTTAGTCATTTCATGCATTTAAGATGTTCCTAGAAGCTCAAGACTCCTCATCATTCTCCACTCTTACTTGTACTATGTATTTAATATGTCATAAACATTTAATATCTCCTTCATTCATGGCTCACATTTAAGGCCCTAACATTTGATTCTTAACACAGAATAAATCAAGGTTTTGCAATTAAAATTTGGCTAATAAAGTCATTTTGCAGATAGAAAAGCTTAATAGTGTCCATTTACATAGATAATATAATATCTGCATATCAATCTTGTAAAAGCATTTTCAAAATCTCGTTTTAAATATTTGCAGTCATCTAATTAGCATGCTTTGCTGATTTTGCCTTCCAGTTAATGGGGTGGCCTTGTATCATCATTCTTCGCCTTGTTTCCTTACAGGCTCATGATCGTTCAGAAAGCGGAGAGTTGGCGTTTATTAAACAACTTGTGCGAAAGATCCTAATTGTGATTGCCCGCCCAGCTCGGTTATTAGAGTGCCTGGTAAGTAGCGCCTCAATCAGATTCTATTATTTATTGTTAAATGTAAGGAAGCAGTGATTGTCAGAAAACTCTAGTTTAGTTGACTTCAAAGATCAACACTAAATAGAAAGAGTTAGGAGGAATTACAACTTGTTCGTCAGTAATGACAGCCAAGTAGCACCTACCTTTTCTGGTTTTCATGAAGAATTATAGACTTTGGGGCCAGAGTGATAGTATAGGGGACAGGGTGCTTACCTTGCATGTAGAGACCACCTGTGCAAGGGAATTGCAAGGTGTCAGCTGTGCTTCTAATGAGGTGTTTATGATTTACTTTTTTCTCTCCCGGGAACCCCATATGGTCCCCTGATCGCAGAGCCAGAAGTAAGCCCTGACCACTGCCCAAGAATTATAGAACCTGTGCTATATTAAGTGATAGTCAGATCACAGTCTGGTCAAACTGTATAGAAATGTAATATTATCTTTAAACCATCACAATTTGGAGATATTGGTCTTGGAGATGATCTTGAAATTATGTAGTTGACCTTATCTCAACATAATTGCTATGCTACAGCTAAATTAAAGCACTGTGCCTTTTTATTTAAAAAGTGCCAAATGAGGGAACAAGAGATATATAATATTTGAAACTTTTGTTCAGAGTCATAGTTCAGGATCTCCTTAGACCTGAAGAAATCAGAGCTTTAAAGATGAATGTATACTATCAACTTTATTTTCTTTGTTCATACAATATGGCCCAAAGTGATTATTTTCCTGCTTCAAAATTTTTTATGTATTTTGAGATTCAAGCAATATGGTGAACAGATATGAAATTCCGAATGTAGTATTTTAAGGAGCATAAACAGAAACTCATAGCTCATTTTTAAAGTATTTATAACCTGACACACAGAACAGCATTTCAGAACCATACATTGTGTTGTTTTGATTTTGCCCTTGGTGTTTTTTTTTGGCACACATAGCTTTATATGCTAGTGAAATGCCCATAGCCCCATAAAGATATAGATGTGACTGTGAAGAGGGAAACTCCTGAGGAAAAAGATAGGGTAGGGAGGAATGGACTCTCCATCAACGGCCAGTATCCTGCAAATCCAAACACTATTTGGGAAGGATAAAGTAAGGAAACACCTTGTGCCCACCAGGAGAAAAAGGCAGAGGAGATAGATGGAAGGAAGACTTGTTCTTTGCTGTGTCTCTCATTGAACTTTTTTTTGTTTTTCTTTCTCTTAATTGAGTCACCATGAGATGCACAGTTTCAAAGCTGTTCATGGTCAGGTTTCAGTCATGCAGTGTTCCAGCACACATCCTTCCACCAGTTGTACATTTCCCACCACCAGTGTCCCCCCATGTCCTTCCCACCACCCTGCCCCCAAGTCTGCCTCTATGGCAGACACTTTTCTCATTGAACTTTTGAATTGAACACCATATGTGTGTTCTCCTGCAGCTTAATTTCAGGAAAATGCCGATATTTTTTTCTGAAAAGCAGCATATAACTTAGCGAAGACCTTACCTTTAGAGAGGAAATCAGTGTTTATCCTGATCGTTACTAAGTAAAATAGAAAGAAGTGAAAGCAGAGGTTCTCCAAGACAGAAAGAGTTTTACAAGATTGACAGTATTGCTGCTTTCCCCAAAATTCGCTTGAAAGTGGAGCTCAGAGCTTGCGGTGCTTGAGTTTCCCCACCATGTCTACCATGCCCCTAAACAGTCTTTGCTGCTATTGTAGATTTCTCTAAAGGCCACTGCAGTAACACTGGTTTGACTTTTTTCCGTGTGCAGCAAGTTTTCTTTGGGGCCTCGGCTCTGCTGAAATGCTGAAATACCACCATTGCCCATTTGGGCAGCATTCACCAGAATGGGGAAACACTTGGAAAATAATCTAGAAACTGAAAAAAGCAGCTTTTCTTTAAATCTCTAAGCATAGTCATTTTTTAAAAATTTTTATTAGTGAGATATCATGAGGTACATTTGTAGACTTACAGATTTTTGTGCTTGGGTTTCAATTATACAATGATCAAATACCCATCCCTCCACCAGTGCCCATTTCCCACCACCACGGATCCCAGTATCCCTCCCACCCCCCCATCCCCCCCATCCCACCCTGCCTCTGTGGCAGGGCATTCCCTTTTGTTCTCTCCCTCTTATTGGATGTTGTGTTCTGTAAAAGAGGCAATAGTCATTTTTTAATGCACAAATCCACTGCATGCATTTAGGATGATTACGAGTTTAAGGATTCATATTTCTTTAAAAAGCAGACAACCCATAAGAGTAAAATACTTAAGAAATATGTACTACCAACTCTTAAATTATAGGGGTCATTGGAAGCATTTATTTTATATTCCCTGTTCTTATTCTTTATAGTATATGAATATTAGTAGCACTTAGAATTCATCAATAATTTTGAGAGCTTTTTTCTTCCTAGTTTTTTGGATTCCTTTGTATAAAGAGAGTTTCTTGAAAAACCTTTGAAGAAACATAGTCTGACTTAACTTCTTCTGTAGCTGTTTCTACAGAGAGAATATGGAATCTGCTGGTGAGATTCCTATACTTTAAAGACTTTGATTAAAAGTTTTATAAACTATCTGTTCATTTCCATTAAGATAGATAGCCATCCATTGAGTTGTCAGACTTTAGCGTTGCATTGCAAGTAAATTGGAAGGCGCCATCCAAGGGGCTTACCAGGTACATAATTGTATTGCCTTCAACTCTGAATAGACTTTGAACCTGAAGGGAAATGATGTGTTTTTTAAAAAAGCTGTTTGCCTTCTTTCTTCATAAGTAACCCACAACTGTGTACCTCCAGCAATTTCATTGTGAATCAAATTTATGTAATAAAACGGCAGACAGATCATTTGGCTCAAGAAGTGTCTGTGTTTGTCTTCTGCTAGGAATTTGATCCTGAAGAATTTTACTATCTCTTGGAAGCAGCAGAAGGCCATGCGAAAGAAGGGCAGGGTATCAAGACTGACATTCCCAGGTACATCATCAGTCAGCTGGGACTCAACAAGGATCCCCTGGAAGGTGAGTGTCTGGTTGACTGACCTTTACATGCCTGCCCTAAGGCCTAATAGAAGATCTGTGTGCAGCAAGTCTTTGTTTCTTCATGTGCTGTTGCTCTGCTGAAAGTCATACATGTGGAAAACTAGTTGTAATTGGAAGGAAAGAGTTGTAAATTGAGTCTTAAGGAGCCAGAAGACATGCCCCACTCTGTGTTTACCTGTGGGAAGGGGCGAGCCTTGAAATCCCAGCCGCCTGGTCCTTGATCCTGTCAACATGTCCTGGAGAGGCTTAGGTTTCTGCCTCTAAGGAGTTTTTCTCTTGCAAAGTTCAGTAGAGCCCTTTACAAGGCTACTTTTTATTCTGAAAAGTTACTAATACAAATTATTAATTTAGAAGTGCCATTTACATTTAAATTGGTAGAAGAGGAATATAACTGATGGTAGATTACTTTGAAGGTTAAATTAGACACAGCTTGGGTACAAAGATTTTTTTCTTTGCTTACTTGTCCCCCTGAAAGAATAAAAAAGAGTAATAGGGCTAGTAGGGAGAAGAATATTCTAAAGCTTATACGAGGACTTACAGTTGATTGAAATTTTAAAGAGAGTCTAATGTTTAAAATGCAGAGAAGAGTACTTGCAAGGGATTTTCTAAAAATCTATTTTTGGTAAACAGTTCCCTACCCCATCTCCTCCCTCCTACTCCCCCCCGCCCCATGCTCATTATAGTTTGGGATTATCATTTAAAACACTGAGGTTATGGACTGCCAAGAAAAACTCAAAATCTCTCATTCAAAATTGTCTCCCTAGTTCATTAAATTGAACTCCCCAATAGTGTTTATCTTGCTAAATTGTTTGTAATGATGGCCACTGTTGGCTGAGATCGTTCCCATCTAAAATTAGAGAACCTGCCACTCTCTGCCCTGCGCTTCCCACTTTGCTCCTCTGGCCTCCGTCTCTTTGCTGCCAGTGAAATGATGCATGCCTTACGAGAGATAATGCCAGATAAATGGAGACTGTACTGAAAGCAATGCCGCCACGGATTCATCACTTATCAGAGACTGGTGGCTGCTTTTCTGAAAAGTTCCCTGGGGAGAGATTTTTCCCCCCATGGCTTTTAAATTACCATCTTTACCTTTTTGAATCATGAGTCTTCAGAAATGGTTTAAATCAATGAAATAAAAAGGGCAGATGCTTAATGGTATTTAGATGAGTTTTAAAAATCTCTTCAGGCATTACAAAATGATGCCTTAGCTTCCTGCTTCAAAAGCTGACTCTTGGTTCCATTCCATTACTACCCACTGCTCACAAATAATATGTATTTCCCAGATAATAGTTATTTAGCAGAAATTCTATTTAAAACAGAACCATCTTTTAATTTGTTTTTTTATGAGAATAATTGGAACGGGGGAGGCTGTCAAAGCATATTAGGGTGACTCTTCACGCTGGTGTAGTTGAAGTTGTGTCAGCCCCTGCAGGCAGCTGGCTGAGGGCTTCCTGGCTTTCCCACTTGGCACTGAGGCCAGGAATGCTGTGGATGGAACTTCAGAGGTGAATCATCCATGGCCCTCCTTCTACCTTCACACGTTCTTTAAAAAAAATGCATAGGCATCCTTGACAAGTTAAGTGGTAAAGTGGTACAGAATTAGCTCTGGGCCTTCTTGTAACCCCCTTTTTTTTGCTTTTTGGGTCACACCCAGTGACGCATAGGGGTTATTCCTGGCTCTGCACTCAGGAATTACTCCTGGCGGTGCTCAGGGGACCTTATGGGATGCTGGGAATCGAACCCATGTTGGCTGCATGCAAGGCAAACGCCCTATCTGCTGTGCTATCACTACTCCAGCCCCAGGCCTGAGACTTTGATTAAAAGTTTTATAAACTATCTGTTCATTTTCATTAAGATAGATAGCCATCCATTGAGTTGGCAGATGGATGAGGACTGCAGGTCCTCATGCAGGTCTGACAATAGTCACTAAACCGTTTGTTGTTGTTGTTGTTGTTGTTATCATTATGGGACTCTAACAACAAAAATTCTCATCTGAGTCTCTTTCCTTCTCTTATCAACCTTTCCACTCATTTCCTGTGACCTGAGGTTTGGAGGCTAGGAGCAAGTGTCTGAAGGGAGTCTGGGGCTGCCCAAGAGTGCACAAGGGACTTGCCTTGGAGCCTTGCCTCAGTATTCTTGGTATGAAAATGGGGCCATAAAGATACCACTTCACAGGACTATTATCAGGATTATATGAGCTTGTCTCCATTACCTAGCATAGAGGAATACTTAATACATTATAATTGCTGAAATTGTTTTATTTAAACATTATTAAAAGTGTCTTGCCCTTGGAGACACCTCCAAAAAGGAAGATATTTAGCTTATATCTTGGTTCATAAGCCTAAAATGCTGATTTTACAGGATATTGAAATCGCTTAACAAAGTGAAGAAAGTGCATAATTTGCCCTGAGCTGGCTTTTCATTCTTGCATTTTCTCTGGGAAAATCAAGTAAACTGAGAAAGTCAGGGTCACCTGTTATTTTCCAACCTAGAGCTTGCTGATTTTTACTTAAAGGCAATCCAAGGTTGTTTTGCTTTTTTTTCATGTAATTCCCCCCAAATATTATATGTACACGAGACGAATATATAATTCAAAATTTTAATAAACATTTTCAGATGCAAAAAATATATATAACTGAATGCTTTAACTTGTTATTGTACATATTCCATTTTGAAAAAAAATCCCACAAGAATCAACCTATAAATAAACCTTACTAGGCAGGGGTATCCCCTATCTAACTGTCAAATAAATGCCTTTTTCCTTTTTTCGAAAACCTGTCTCTTTTTATTTATTTTTTTACTCCCCATGCTTAGCAGTGCTCAAGGCTTATTCCTTGCCCAGTACTCACTACTGGTGGTGCTCAGGGAACCGTGTGGGGTGTGGGGGAATGAACCCAGGTTGGTTGTGTGAAAGGCCATCACCCTCCCTATCTACTGTCCTATCTCTTCAGCCTCAGCACATCTCTTCTCAAGAGCTATAATAATCATAACAAATAGCAAAATGGATTGGGTGTCTCATTTCCTTATATAGACTCATAGGCTCATTCTCCTCTAAGGTGAACATTAAATGCCATAGTCTTTATGACCAGATGACCAGAGCAATGCCTCAGTAAGTGTGAAGCATCCAGTCCAGGATTGACTATACGAACTAAGTATTCATAATAGTCCTAAGTTGTGACTTAGCAATGAAGTGCCTGTATTTAATGTGTAATCTCTGGGTTTGGTACCTGGATCCCCACTCCTGACAAATCCACACAAAATTACAAAGCCAACATTCAATGAGTACTTCATTTCTATTACTCAGCGTGCTAAGTACTTTATATAAATTGTTAAATATGACCTTCAAGAAAAATTTGAGATAAATATTTATTCATCTCCCATAGTTCTTTGGAAGAGGTAAGTTTTTAAGGTCATTGGAAAGATATAGTAACCAAAGTTTTATTCTATAAGTGAACTACTACTGCACTTGCTTTTTCGATCTATTTTAAGTTCTTAGTGTACTAGGCAGGGTTTCTCTTAGGGAGCAAGGATGGTTCGCCAAAGGGATGGTTACAACAACTTGGGAATTGTCACTAAGCTGAAGTTGGTGCATTCCCTTTTAAATAAGATACCCACCATAATAACAGGACATTGTATTAGTTTCAGATACCTAACATGAATGACTCTATATTTGTCTATATTGCAAAATGACCATCACACTAATTCTGGTTGATATGCTTTGATGAGTTTTTTTAATTACCTTAATTTTACAGGAACTCCCTAGCAGTGTTCAGTCCCAGGCACCACTCTCCTAAGGGATACTTGGTGCAAGCCTGACCGTGCTCAGGCAGATGCTGTAATGTTGCTCAGACCCAGTGGGATTAAGGGTCTCCAAGGCTGTGCTAGTGGTTTGAGTGGTGCTGGGGATTGATCTCTAGCCCTCACCCCTGTGAACTGTCTTTCCACTTTTTAGGTCTCAGCAGCTTGAACATCTTGCAAGACAGTCCAGCTGGCCCTAAACAGATTTGAACTGAGCAGTACCTTTGAGATAGTATTTTTGTTTGTTTGTTTTTTTAACACATCCCAAGATGGATTCAGTTAACTACACATGTTGTATAGTAGAATCCTGGATATAGAACTCCTAAAATTTGAAAGGCTGTCTATTAGTAACATATGGATTTTCAGTTTGGAGAAATGAGCAAATGTCCCTAACATCTGAGCTTCTCATGAGTTACCTCTGTTAATATAGTCTCATTCTGTAAGCCCCGTGATTTACTATTGCAGGTTTCTTTTCTCTTCTTGGCAGGGTGGGGGCTTGGGTGCTGATGGGATCACACTGGCCTTCTCAGGATCCACTTCTGGCTTGATGATCTAGCATCAGTCCCTGTGGTACTAGGGATGAAGCCCAGGCCTACTGCATGCAAAGCTTCTGCTCCAGCCTCTTGTGCTATCTCTATGGCCCCCCGACTTAGTAAACTCAAAATTTGTACCTTCACCCATCTTACCCATTCCCCTCTTCCCACCACAGCCTGCTATCGCCACTCCAGCCTTTACTCTGTGAACTCTGTTTTGTGGGTCCCCGCTACCACCACCACTACCACAAGTGCTATCATTTGCAGTTTGTCTTCCTCTGTATCAGTGCCACTTCTGTTATAGAATTAAAGAGCTGGGAAGACTTACCTCACTTTAACACAAGCAGTCGTTGCACCCACGAGTCCTCGATGAGCTGTGCTGAGATGAACAGTTTTAAACTCTTTAAAATGTTTGGTCATTTTTATTTAATATTGCTCCTTGAAAATGCTGTGTCCAATGTCCATCAGTATCTGGGAGGCGTTGGTTCCAGAAATCACCCCCTGCTCTGCCACTGTAATATTTGCATACAACCTCATTTATCCTCTCATATTCTTGAAATCATCATTCGATTGCTCAGAATACCTCATGCTATATGAATGATATGTGGATAGTTGCAATAACCTATATTGTCGAGGAAATGAAAACGAGAAGAGGTACCCGCGCATGCTTAGTATTGTGCAGCTATGGTAGACCTCACCCTACTGTGTGACACTTAGGTCTTTGGATGACTATATCTCCCTGTACAAAAACTTAAATACCGAGGCTGAACGTTAGAAATATTTCCTCTCTTTTTAAATATAAGATGATTTTCTTGTTTTAGCACTGTAGTCTTTTCTCATAATTGAAGCTGGCCTGTTTTCTGTAGTTGTTTAACTTTTCTTTTTTTCTCTAAATTTAGAAATGGCTCAGTTGGGGAACTATGATAGCGGGTCAGCAGAAACCCCAGAAACGGATGAATCAGTGAGTGTAAGTCTCTTTTGTGATGAAATATGATGTTGACTTTTCTGGGTAACAGCATCTGGAGATTTGGGGCTGTGTTAATTACTTAATTCAACAAATATTTATTGTGCTTTTGTGTGGAAAGCACTAGGCATACAACATTAGTTTCTCCCTTCAGAAAGGAACACATTAGTAAAAAGAAATCATGCACAGACAATGAAAGTGATAACAGTTGAATGAGATCGTTGAAGAAAAAGAATGTGTGCGGCTAGAACATGACATAGAACCACCTTCATCTTGATGGGCCAGAAGGACCAGTCAAGGAAATGATGCTGGAATTAAGGTGGGAGAAGTTGCCAGAACAAGGAAAAGCAGAGGAAACATTCCAGGCCAAGGAGACAGTGTGGGCCAAGACTGACAGTGGAAAGCAGATGCATAGGGAACTAATGAATAGGAGGCCAGAGAGGCGGTCTTGGATAAAAACTGGGCACAGTTTTTACTTAGTCACTCACTTTCTCATTTTATTTTGATTTAAAAAGAAATGGGAGGTGATTGGACTGAGGGGAAAGTATACATGTGAGTTGGAATGTTGGTGGGGGAAGCTAACCTCTCAGAGATCTGCTTAAAAAACAGGTTTCTAATTGCAGTGTAAAAAGTTGATGGGGAGAGGGGAGCAGGCGGGGTGCCCATAGGGAATCTTGTTAGGAGGCTGCTTCAGGGGCTGGAGCCGCCATAAGTGGGTAGGGCACTTACCTGGCATGTGGAAGACTCATATTCCATCCCCAGAACCACATAACCCCACCCGGAGAGATCTGTGAGTACTGAGCAAGGAGTAAGCCCTGAGCATCATCCCAAAACAAAAACAAAGACAAGTTCAGTGGTTCAGGATCAGAGAAGCAGTTTTGGATCTGATGCTATTTTCCCTGATTGTGACCCAAAAGGGACCCCAGAAAGGAGTGGGCTGGAGGTGTTCAGGAAGAGCTGTGGCTCTGGAGACTAAGAACATGGCTGTGTAGTCATGTGGCCGGGATTGCCCTCGTGGCTCCACCTTTTATGAGCTGTTGGAATCCTTTTCCTCGGTTTCCTCATCTCTCAGAGTACATATAAAATATTATAGAGGGATTGAAGAGATATTGCAGCAGGTAAAATGCTTTCCCTGCAAGTGATCATCTCATGTTCGATCCCTAGAATCCCATTTGGTCCCCTGAACCCACCAGGAGTGATCCCTGAGTACCACCAGGTGTGACCCATAATTCAAAAGAAGTAAAAGAAAAGATTCTTGAAGGGCAAATGAGTTCGTCTGTGAGAACTGACAGTATTAAGGAGAGCACTGCATGATGAGCACTAACACTTGACAGCTATGTTTGTTCACTATATCAGCATCACTGTCATAATTTTAAATGTGTTGAAATTGCCATTCTTTTGAGACAACCAGAAAGAGCCATCCAGCTGCTCGTTGTTAGGAAGATGTGAGGGGGAGGTCTGTATGACTTCTGTCGGCAGAAATGAGATCATTTAGGAAGGGAGGAGTTCGAGAATTGAGAAGGCTGTGTGCCTGGCCTTGTTGGTCCAACTGTAGAGTATAATCATAGTGAGGTTAGTTGAAGAAGTGCCCAGTCATGAGTTGGATTTTCTGTGACAAGATCAGGGCAGGTGATGAATAGGTCCAGAAGCCTAGCACAAATAGAGGAGTAGGATGGTTGTCTGGGCTGAGGAGGTTGGCTGGCCCAGAGGCCCATGTGCTGGGCAAGTTGTTTGTGTGGATACTGAGGTCAGTCAGGATGGTGAGAGAATGTGGGCAGACAGTGGGGCCCTACGTGGGTGCTCCAGTCATTCAAGGAAGAGCAGGAGGACAGGTAAGAGCATGAGGGAGATGACACACATCTTTGAGGCCTGGGGCTACGTCCTAAGTTACATGAAGGGTATCCTGGACCGTATAGGGTGTGCTTGGGGACTGTTACCTATGCAGTACAGTGACTTATGGAGCATGAGAGAAGGTGGTTTGTTCGATTATTTATTTTTTAAGTGACGCAGAATAGTTTTTATTGAACAAAGTTTATAAAGATGTGAAAAGAGGGGCCAGAGAATAGTACAGCAGGTAGAGCGCTTGCTGCCTTGCACGCAGCTGACCCAGGTTTGGTTCTCAGTGCCAGTACAGTCCCCTGAGCCTGCCAGAATTGATCCCTGAGTGCAGAGCTAGGAGTAAGCCCTGAGCATTGCTGAATATGGCCCCAAAACAAAGAAAGAGAGGAATACATGTTGAGGAGAGAACATAGGTGGAGGAAGCAGAGAGAGACAGAGGCAGAGAGATCAAGAAAGAACATGGGCTTGAGAGAGCAAAGGATTGAAATTTTTTTTTAATTATTTCTTTGTTTCTTGTTATCCTTTGAGAGCTAGACTTTCAAAAGTACCTACTGAAATGTTAACCGTAGTTTCTATTTGAAAAGGTTTGTTGAAACCATGGTAAGACTTATGTGTGAAGTGAAGAAAGCAGGAGTTCTGTGTTGGTGGTGTCACTCTTGACCTTTCCCAAGCCAGGAGGGTGGCTGTAGGAATGAAAAGTAGCTGTGGCTGGGGCAGGGAGGCCTTGTCCTCCACCAGACCAGGTGCGAGACTCCAGCCCATTCTTTTCTGAAAACCTGGAACCAAAAGGATATGTTAGCATTCATGAGACTGACATTGCAAATATTTACTAAGATGATATTCACTTGAGTTCGCTTCAGAGGTAAATTATAAAATTTGGAACTTTCAAAAGCCGGGCACCTTCATAGCCTGGAAATGTAGGTTCCTGTAGATGAGTCTGGGGCTGTGTCAGTAACAGTGGGGGAACATGTCCCGCCTGCCCTGGGACATTGATCTTACAGACTCTCTCTCTCGGATGTCTTTGCTGGAATCCTGCATTTCAGTATGTTCAACAGCAGAGCTCATACTTCAGATTTTATTTATCTTGGTATTAAAATAATTTTCTTGGATCTCAGAGGTTTTTAACACTTCCTTATTTTGTTTCCAAGAGCTCTAATGCTTCCCTGAAACTTCGAAGAAAACCTCGGGAAAGTGACTTTGAAACAATTAAATTGATCAGCAATGGAGCCTATGGGTGAGTAATTCAGGAAAACTCCATACTGCATCTTAGCACCTCTGATGAGTCTGAGGAATCAGGCCTTCACATTTTTCCTGTATCGAATAGCTGTTGCCAGAGACTTTAGTTTGCAAATCTCTGCTCCATCATTGACAGGCATAATGTGTGGCCATGCTAATTTCTTCACTGGATGCTCCATCGGGATACTTATAAGTGACCTGGTAGTTACTGCAGAGGGCCATGGAGGGCGATTTCTACAGGAAAGAAAATTTATTTCATGTCTGTTTCAGCCTCTTTTATTCTGAGCTTTTGGGTTCAGAACTACCTGACTTTTGGTTCCATACACAAACACACTTAGAGATTTGCATATGTGTGTGTGTTTGTGTGTGTATGTGTATAATGTATGCATATATTATAAATATATATGATCATTATACTACTGAAGTAACATTACTACTTTAGGATGAGCCAGTATTTTTCAGTCTGACCATATAACTATCAGTCAACCATGTAGAGAAGAATTTTAACTATGGGGGGGGTGGAAAAGCTGGTGTGACACATTTCTTTGCAGTTTTTGATGACAGCGGAATTGCTTCTCTGTTGAACTCTGTGCTCTCACCCGATCACATTAGTGGTATCCCCTTCCTTCGTCCATTGTTCATAGGCCCCTGAGTTTCTTTTCTTGGCACAGGATCACACTGACAGAATCCTTCTGAGTTGTTAAGAAAAAGTTTGAAAGAGTAATTAGTACCCAAACTAAGTCCCAATTCTTTGCAGGCAACCCCAAAACTCCAGTTTAATTAAATATTAATCCCAAATCCATCTGTCTATGAGGAGCTATAAACAATGCCAGAGACATTTAGTGCACATTTATCACACATCTGAGCAGATCAGATAAAAGCAATATTTGTCGTTCCACAGGGGATGTCTCCCCTTACATTTTTGTAACCTTTAATATTTTCCATGCCATTAATTTAGTGAGGAACTTAAATATTTGTGAGTCTTTCTCATGCCTCACTGATTTGTTTTAGGTTATGTCAAATGACAAACTACTTGCTGTGACTTCTGTGTGCGTTCTGATGTTTTATTTATACAATGTTTTATTTTCTTCAAAGATCTCCTTGAAACACTTCTACCAAAGAAAATTGTTTTATATTCTATAGTTGTTTGTGGGTTTAATTTTATTATTAATGTTTTTTTTTCTGATTGCCTGTTTTTAGTTATTTCTAGTTTTTCAGGTTTTCTGAGCATTTCTTTCTTAGGTGAAAAAGAGCAAACCTTAATTTTAGAGGGTCTCTGGATTTGAGCACTAACTAGGAGATATTATTGGGGGCAAAATTTCTGAAATAGGACATTCTGTGAAGCACCACTTTTATAAAACTTAGGCATATATCTTTGCAGTATTTGGAGTTCTAATTGGTTGTGTAAACTCATTTGTAGTGCAATTAAACCACTGTATAGTAGATGAGGTATATCACACTTTGGGGAATGGTTGGGAATATACAAGAAGTTAAACAAGCTGTGAATCAGTAAACACCCAGGATGCAGGCCAAGTCATTAATGGGCCCACAAGCTGCCTCCTGTAGGCTCTGCCAGTCTGCCAAAACTTCTTCACCACCCCCCCACCCTTTTGCTCTTCTCAGATTTAATTTCTCATTACACTTGTGACAGATTTTTTTCCAACATTTTAATTATTTTTAATTTGGAATTTCAGTGGAGCTACAGCTTTCCATCTACCCATTGCAGGCTTTGTGAATTGGCTGAGAAATAGATCCCTTCATGAGCAGCTAAGCCAGAGCTATGTGATGCTCTAGTGGGCGTCTGTGTCCCTGAGTCCCCTGCTCATGTCAGAGGCTTAGAGTGGTGCCACTTCGGTACCTCCTCCAACCCTGGCCATGCAGGGCACTGACCCGCTCTTTCAGAAGAGTGTCTGCCTCTCACAGTCTAACTTTTCATGCTTTTCTCCACATTGTACTCTTGACAGTTTGTGTTGTAAAATCAGTGTGCTGATTTAATGAACGATTTCCATACTCTGTTGGACATAGGTTGGGTTCTTACTTGGCTTGAAGTTAGACCTCCGTCATTCTTTTTTTTTCCTTTTTGAGGTCACACCTGGTGATGCACAGGGGTTACTCCTGGCCCATGCACTTAAGAGTTACTCCTGGCGGTGCTGGGAGGACCATATGGGATGCTGGGAATCGAACCCCAGTCGGCCGCAAGCAAGGCGAATGCCCTACTCACTGTACTATTGCTCCAGCCCCCAGACCTCCTTCATTCTGACTTAGCACTTTGTGGAAAACGAACACTGTGTGCTCAGCACCATGGGCAGTCTGTGTTCCATTGCATGTTCTCTTCTCACCATAATAATATCACTGTATGATATTACATCCACTTAACTACTAGTAGAAAAAAGGCATTGGACTCTCAGATCCATGCATAATTTGATGTGCATTAGTCTCTGGGGTCACTCCTGGCAGTGCTGAGAAACCATGTAGTGCCAACATGGGCCCCGGGCTTCCTGCATGTGAAACAAACATACTATCCTTTGAACTCTCTCTCTCTCCCCTTTCTCTCTCTCTCTCTCTCTCTCTCTCCATATATATATATATATATATGTGTGTCTTTCTCTCATACACCTTTTACTCTGACTTTCACCATCTCCATTGAGATAGGTACTTTTCTGGTAAGGACTTTCTCCTCTTGAATATTTTGGGAGATGGGGATGGGGGGACGGTTACCTGTGTCAGTACTCAGGGATTACTCCTGGCTCTGTGGTCAGGGATCATCCCTGATGGTGCCCTGGGAACCATATGGAGTGCTGAGACTCAAGCCCCGGTCAGCAGCATGCAAGGCAAGTGCCTTAACCCCCTTTATGATTACTCCAGTCCCATCCTGGATTTTAAATGACAACTTTGGATATTTTCAAAACGAAAGAATAAAATTGATTTAAAGTTTTCAGAATTTCAAAAACCATTTATTGAGGCAGGAGAAGTAGTGCAGGGTTAGCAGATTACTTGTACAATCTCGGACCCCGGTTCGATCCCTGGCACCCCATATTATTTCCTGGGCTCTGCCAGGAATGATCTCTGAGCGCGAAGCCAGGAATAAGCCCCAAGAACCACCAGGTTTGGCCCAAAAACTAGAGTAAAAACAAAACAATAAAAAAAGAGGAAACCCTTTAAATGTGATGGGCACACTCTTCCACTTTCTTTTTCTTTCCCTCCTTGATGAACATTGTCCTTCCTATCCCTCGAGGGGAGGGGTGGTCATTTTCCAGAGGCACTCGTGCTTGCACCTTGAGAGAGATCCCTCCTCCCACCCCTCCCCTTCCTTCCTCTCAGCTTTCCTCTGACACGCAGGCACAGCTCTCATTCCCACATGCAGATGTGCTCACACAGATCGTGCAGTGGGCTCTCATATCCATGCATAATTTTATGTGCATTAGACATTCATACTCCCGGAAGGACAGATTCATTCTGCTCCTGCTCCTGACAGTGTCTGACTCCGTTTCTCCCCACACATGCCTCAGTTCTGCATGGCTGAATGAAGCTTGGCTCGGTGAGAGCCCGGTTCCCTGGGTATCTGTCCCCCTGCATTACTTTTCCACCCGTGGCTTTTCCCGCTTCACAGGGAAGTCTGTGTAAGTAAATGAGACAGGAGCAGCTTTTTCGGAAGGAAGCAGAGAAATGTGCAGCTGACTGTTCAGTGTTACAGCCTAGGGAGGCTCAGTTCTGCCGAACAGGGCTAAATGTTCTGTTGGATGCTGTCTGTCTTTTTCTCTTTCCGAATGTTTACGTATGTGTGCATGTTTGCACACTGACTTAAGTCCGTTTGGAACATTTATTTAAAGGGATGGAAGAAAGGCCTATGTGAGGGACACAGTTATTACTAAATAAGCAGTTATCAACCTGACACAATACTATAAACCCCAGGAATGCTATTCCCAATGCAGTAGAAAAATGCAGAAAATGAAGGATATAACAGTAAACAAATAAAAATCCAATTATAGGACATTTAGATGAAAATGACTAGTTGACTTTTGCAGCTCAATCAAGATACGTATCTCCAAGGCAGTTCTATATCTCAAGTTACCTATAGGATTAATTTCATTTGGTTGAAGTATATGTCCTCAAGGATGAAGTGATTGCCTTAAGTGCAAGTCAAATCAAATTTTATGACCTGAATATCTGAAAATAACCACTGGAGCCATTTTTTACTTGCAAAGTGACATCTAGTCCTTATGCTGGACTTATTAAACTTGAAACATCTTTCTCTTTTGTTCTTTCATAAAATATGTATGTCTTTTCTTCCTTCATTTTGTATTCTCAGAAATTTTCTGAAAATTTATTCATAGAAGAAATGGCTATGCCCACATACCTAAAGAAAGGCTAATAGCTAAGAACTATAAGGCATTTATAGAACATAACATCACAAAACAGAGCCTTGAGCTGGAGAGATAGTACAGCAGGCAGGGCATTTGCCTTGCATGTGGCCAACTTGGGTTCAGTCCCCAGAATCCCATATGTACCCCCAAGCACTGCCAGGAGTGATTCCAAGTGATTCCAAGTACAGAGCCAGGAGTTACCCCTGAGCCTCAATGGGTATGGCCCCCAAACAAACAAAAACCCAAACCCCAGTCAATAAAATTTGGGGTGAAACTTGCTAAACAAATCTTTCCTCAAAGAAATGCTGATCAAACTTCCAAAGTTTTTCAAATTTCAAAAATATTGTGTTTTTTTTTTTGAAAAGTGCTCTCATTCACTTTGTCATGAAGGAAGTGAAAATGGCAATGCATTCTCACCTCACACCAGTGAGACTGGCACAAATCAAATAGACTAGAACACCAGTGCTGTTAAGGATGATAGGAAAAAAGAAGCTTTATCCATTGTTAGTGAGCATGTTGTTGGTTCAGCCTTGATAGAAAACAGCGTAGACACTTCTCCAAAATTTATGAACTAAGCTTCCAATGACCCAGAAGTTCCACTTCTAGACATCTACCCTAAGTGAGCATACATAGCACATGATAATGTCAAAAGTTGCAATGCTATTCACATTGGAAAAAATCTGGAAACAGTCCACAGACCCCAAAACAGATGGACAGATAAAGAAATTGTGATGTAAATATATACACAAAGGAATGCTAGTCTGTAAGAAAAAGATTCACTGCCGCAAGGCAGGAACTAGAGGATTATCATGCCCAGTGAAGTTAGTCTGCAGGAGAGGAAAAAGATACAGAGTGATATGTCTCATATTAAGACACAGTAAGGAAGTTAAAAAGGACCCATGGTAACTGTCCCTGAGAGTTGGGCTGCAGACCTGAATGTGCCCCGAGAGTACATAGTGGGAGTGACAGAGGCCTGGGAACACTGGTGGCTGACACTGGCTCTTTGGATGTGGGTGTGGTGTGGAAACACTGAACACCTGAAGCACTGCTATTAGCAGAATTATAAATCACTGTCACTGTCCTCTTGTTGTTCATCTTGTTCATTGATTTGCTCGAGCAGGCCCAGCAACGTCTCCATCATGAGACGTTGTTGTTACTGGGTTTGGCATATCGAACACGTCATGAGTAGTTTGCCAGGCTTTGCTGTGTGGGCAAGATACTTTCGGTAGCTTGCCGGGCTCTCTGAGAGGGGCGGAGGAATCGAACTCGGGTCGGCTGGGTCAGCCACATGCAAGGCAAATACCCTACCCGCTGTGCTATCACTCCATCCCAAATATGAAAGTATCAAAGGAAAAATGAAATGAAAAAATAAGTTAATGCTCGATTTAAAAAATGGCAACTTTATTGCTGTCTAAAGTCAGGGTGGAGTTCTTCAACTCATATGTGTAAAGAACCTCAGCACTGATGTTAAAATTTTAATATTAAATATATTTATAACAAGCTATTGAGAGAATTCGATATGCCAAACACAGTAACAACAAAGTCTCCAATGGAGACGTTACTGGGCCCGCTCGAGCAAATCGACGATCAACGGGAGGGCCTTTACCTCGAGCAAATACATAAAACATATTTTAATGTTAAACTTTTTAAGAAAGATGGAAACTATGCTGTATTTTAATTGAGTCAAGAATAGGCGGTTACTTTTTTAAAAAAATTTGCTTTATTTTTTCTTTTTAACAGTGTAAATTTTAAATTTTATTTGCAAATGATACTCTTTGTCGAAAAATGTCCTCTCCATAACACTTTCCCCCCAATGTTGAAGTTGTATTTAAGGAGAGATCAGGTTACTTCCTGTGTTTCTTTCCCACTGTCTTCCTTGGAGAAGCACACATTTTCTTTGGATCCTGACTTGGTCTAGTCAGCAATTGGAAAAAGAAAAGAAATTTGTAAAGGTCTCTAATCTGATTCAGAAGTAAATGACTGAGCTGGTTAATTACAAAGTCAGTCAGAGTAGAAAAATCATTTAAAAAATGTACTTTCAACATTTTAATTTAGCATAAGTATATATGTACATATATAGGTTAAATTACATATATGTATACATATATAAGTATATATTTAAGCTAAGTACATATCCACATTTATAAGTCCTTTGATGCATTGCCTTTTTAAAACAGCTGTACAAACCGTACTTACAGTAAGTCGTTTATGTTTTCCACGTTCAGCTTCTTTATACGTGGAAACATCTAAATACAGAAATCTAGATTTTTATTATTTTCTCTACTTTTGGACACCTCCCCCATTCTAAATTTTTAGGTGACCAATTCCTCTGATAACCTTTGGGGGTTGGGGGGGCTGATTTCTTCGTTTTCAAAGATCCCTAAGGTACCATAACAGGAAACTGTCGCCTTAGTCACTCAGAGAAAAAAAGTATGTCACCTGTAGCTGATGATAGAAAGGATTGAGCCCATGATATTTGTGGCTAATGGTAGACAGGATTGAGCCTGTGATATGTATGTGCTTTTCTTAATTCTTTCCTATTTTGAATTCTGTATCGAATTTTATTTATGGAAACGTTGAATGTATCAGCTACCTATTGGCAAATAGCTCTCTCTGAACATTGTCTCTTTCCTTCCTCTGTCATGAAGGGAAATTTGATGTCCTCTCTGTGGACTGTGAACTTTACTGACAGAGTTTAAAATAATCAATCTTGGACCAGAGAGGTAGTATAAGAACCAAGGCTGTCTTTGCCTGCCGCTGCTCTGGTCCACACATGGTCCCCCAAGCACTGCCAAGACTGATTGCTGAGCACAGACTCAGGAGTATGTCTTGAGCTGTGCTAGGGATTATAAACCCCCTTCATCTACTCCCTGGAGAATCAATTTAGCTAAATGTCTGTGTGATATAATCGGGTCCTGATGTCCACCATTGTCAGTTGTTGAGCTGAATTCTGGCTGCCATTGGAACTTTAATGGTCTCATGCTTTACTGTACCTCGAAGCTTCCTTTCTTCCCATCAAGCCCCTCTCGTGCTCTTTTTCAGGGCTGTCTACTTTGTTCGGCATAAGGAATCCCGGCAGAGGTTTGCCATGAAGAAGATTAATAAGCAGAACCTCATCCTCCGAAATCAGATCCAGCAGGCCTTTGTGGAACGAGACATCCTAACCTTTGCAGAGAATCCCTTTGTTGTCAGCATGTACTGCTCCTTCGAAACCAGGCGCCATCTGTGCATGGTTATGGAATATGTGGAAGGTAAGTCCATGTCACACCAGAGAACATGACACCCATGCCAGAAACGCTCGCTCCATTGTGTACCTGAAGCTCCTTCTCTCCATGAGAGTCTGGTTCCACCTAGGAACTGCAGTCGGGCAATGAGATGGCTATATTCCAGTCATTATCTGCTGGTAATTGCTCGTAAAGAGCTTGTTCTCCTCTAACAAAGGGAAAATTAGTGCTATTTGAAAAAAGAGGTTGTTTTTCTTTTTTAAATAGCTTTTAATCCTAACTAGGTCCTCTCAATTGGCCATTAAAGTTAGAACATAGGTGATGAGATTTTTCCCAACTTCTTTTTATCACAGGTAACAAAAACTTCATTACAGTTGATCATCATTTAGTGTTGGATGGGGGCTCCCATGGTGATAATCAACCAACTGGGCAGGACTGTTCAATGCAACAGTGGTCATGCGGTGTCAAGTATCGAACTCAGCCTCAAGCATATAAGACATGTACCTCTGACCCCTGAGCCATCTCCCTGGCCCTGCAATTGATCTTGTAGAATGAATTTAAAATAGGCCCTTTAGGCTTTACAGTATGAAATTAAGACTTAGGAGAAAAAAGATACAGTCAGGAAAATTTTGCTCTTTGGGGTTTGTAGTCTACATTTTAAATGTTCTAGGCAATTCTTATTTTCATCCCTTTAACTTCACATTTGTAACTTACTCATAAAGCCAAGGTGAATAAAGTAAAAAGGTTAGCAAGAACCAAAAAAGAAAAAAAATGGGATTCGAGTGATAGCACATCGGGTAGGGCATTTGCCTTGCATGCGGCCAACCCGGTTTTGATTCCCAGCATCCCATATGGTCCCCTGAGCACTGCAAGGAGTGATTCCAGAGTGCAAAGCCAGGAGTAACCCCTGAGCATCGCCAAAGCAAAAAAAAAAACACCAAAAAATGTCAAAGCATCTGATTTAAATTCTTATAATTTTTTCAACAGCATCACCCCAAATTGTAAAGCCCTAAGGCCCATCAACAGTCATTTACTTTGACCTTTTCATTTTGCAGATGAGTGAACTGAAACCCAAGAACCCAAGAAGGGTTGGGGGCTGACTAGACATTTTTTTCTTAGATGAGTCAGCCATATTCCTCTAAAAAAAGGGTGGGGGGCTGGAGTCACTCCCACCAACCCTTTCCCCTACTGTGGAAGTCTGTAAGTTCTCTGCTTGGGCCCTTCAGTACAGTTCTTTTGTCTGGCACTTCTTGGTGTGGGATGAGGAGTGCACATTTTGTGGTGCTTGAGCCTCCGTGGGATTAAGTCCCCCCAGGGATGGAATTGGGAGCTTTGTTCTTGTCCGTGCTCTCTCTTGAGCCACATTCCCAGTCCGACTAGATATTACTTAACGTAGATAGAAAACAAGATAAAGGTTGTCTGCTTTCTACCCATCATTTTTCTAACCACACTAATACTTTTTTTTTACTGATTCTCCTTGTGTTTATAAGCATTTGTCACATCTTTCATAAACATTGGCACTAGGCTAAATTCTTTGTGGAGATATCCTCATTCAATCGTTGCAACATGCTTTTATGATACAAAGAAAAGACCAAGACCAATTTACTTGAGATCTGTCTCGAACCATCTGAGATAGAATTTCGACTTCTGCAGACTTCTGATTCCATAATCTGTGTTTTGTATTGGTCTACTTCACATTGTTACCATGTGTGAAAGTTTTCCTGAGAATTCTTCAAATCTAAGTTCCATATCAGAACCAAACATGCCCTCCTTAACGGGGAAAGCAAGAAGAGAAGGTCTTGTGGTAACAGGGGGGTAAGGGTTGGGGGCTCAGCTCCCTCTATAGTATAGAAGTGAAATACCTATATTTCACTAAACTGCTAGATCCAACTCTACTGTTGGCACCAACAACTAAACTTAAATGATAAGAGTGATGGAGTCAGGTTGGGGGGGCAGGGGAAGTGGGAGGGAATCTGAGGTCACTAGTATTTGTAGAGGTGGGAACATCATATGCCTGTAAACTACCATGTACATCACAGTGTCTAGATAAAAGGAGTAATAAATTAAATGAATACTACTTATTTTTTCCCCTCTAGGTGTTAGCTTTATTCTTTTCTGGTAATCATTCTTTCTTTTTTTACTTTAATTTTTTTAATTTTAATGAATCAACCATGAGATACAATTATAGACTTACAAACTTGCATGCTCGAGTGGGCCCAGTAACGTCTCCATTGGAGACTTTGTTGTTACTGTGTCTGGCATATCGAATACGTCACGGGGAGCTTGCCAGGCTCTGCCGTGCGGGCGAGATCCTCTCGGTAGCTTGCCGGGCTCTCCGAGAGGGGCGGAGGAATCGAACTCGGGTCGGCCATGTTGGCTGCGTGCAAGGCAAACGCCCTACCCACTGTGCTATCGCTCCATACGTTTCAGTCATACAATGTTTGAGTACCCTCTACCCTTGCCCATTCTCCACCACCAATGTTTCCAGTAAATACTACTTCTTAAATACAATGCCTATACGTTTGCCTGGTGACAATTTTGTGAGGGTGTCTCCCCATCCAGCAATGCTCAGCAGCGTAGGGTTTACTCCCGACCATGTGAGCCTGACTGTTTTGGTACTTGGGTTTGGCAGTGAGTATTGGGGGCCCCAAGGACCACATCCAGCAGCAGCAATGCAGTGGGGTGTCATATCAGAGTCGGGCCATGTGCATGCTAGGTATGAGCCCCAGCTCCTTACACTGTCTACTGGCCCCAGTGCCGACACGCCTTAGAAACATAATCACTTCCCATGCAGCCTCTCTGTATAAATATGAGAGACCATGTCTGTGGGGAGATGCCTTTCTGCTATGAGATGCTGCCGTGGAGGCTGGTGGACATCTTGCTCCCTGAGTGATGGGGCATGTCCTTGTCTTTTTCCTGTGTTCTGCTTAGGGGGCGACTGCGCAACGCTGATGAAGAACATGGGTCCTCTTCCTGTCGATATGGCCAGGATGTACTTTGCCGAAACAGTTCTGGCCTTGGAATATCTGCATAATTATGGAATTGTGCACAGGGATTTGAAACCAGACAAGTATGTATGCTAATGAAACACATGGCTTCTAAAATGTAATACAAAAGGCTTTCTTCGGTGTATTAAAAATTCTTTTTAATGCTGCTTTGGCACATTTCTCTGGATGAATTCTTATTATTTTATTTTTTTAGTGTGGTAATTTTTATGGATTGTTTTATCAGTAGCAATTCTTCTAAAAATATTTTACGAAAAGTCAAAAACATGCTTATAATTCTGGAGATAGAAAATTTTTGTTTTATTTTGTTTATTTGATGGGGGGTCAGTTTGGTTTTGGTTTTGGGGCCACATCTGTGGTGCTAAGGATTTACTCATGACTCTGTTCTCTGACATCATTCCTGGCAAGTGATGGGGGTAGGGATAGCATTTGTGGTACAGGAGATTAAACCTGGGTCTGCAGCCTACAAGGCAAGCCAAGTGCCTTACCTGCTGTGTTATCTCACTGGTCCTAATCTTATAGATATGTTTGGTATACAAAGTGTTTTAAATATCTGTAGGATGCTAGTTGTTCTCCAGCCAGATTTTGTATTTGGATGTTACTTAGATAATCTATCTAGATGCCATAATGTTATACTAGTTACGAAAGTCTATTTAACTCAGAGCCTAACTTTTTCTCTTTGTGGACTTCATTTTCTCTGATTTGTGATACAGATAACCTATTTTCCTTCATCCTTACACCATTTATTGAACATTTCACATTTCCTCCAATTTGAGACATCATAAAAGCATTTTGCATGTTAATATGTAAAGATGTCAAGTATGTGGAAATTTTATAAAATTAATTCATGCTCATTCCAGAAAATTTGGAAAGTACAGAACAACATAAAGAAAATTTTCAGTCACAACATTACCAAACAAAGCAGCTATTAAAAAATTTGGCATGTGTCCTTCCAGTCACTCTAAAAAAATGTTAAAAACCCACTCCTTTTAAATTTATAATTACACTTATCTTTTTTTCCTGTAAAATAAAATTTGCTGTCAGTGTGGGGCTCCCATGTGGTGCACAGGAGGCAGGGGGCCACTGCTGATGATTTGTGGCATATCAGAGTCACCCAGAGGGTGAGGGGAAGATGTGTGTTGAGTATCAAAGCCCCTTCATCATCTTCCCAGCCCTGAACTTAAAATATATATATATGTATATATATGTATATATGTCAATTCATAAAACTGTCAAAGGTGATTTTTTTCCTCCCCAAGTATGAAAAATGTAAGTTTGGTGACTAATGAGTAGAAATTTAAATTCAGTTTAGAAGTTGAAATCTCAGGCAGCACTATATTTTTCTCAAGTTCTTTCTCTTCAGTCTTGTCTGAGTCACAGATGGGTTGCTTGTCTTAGTTCTTGCGGGTGAGTGGAATTATGGGTAGCCCCTTTCTTATTTTCAGAATGGAGAGATGTGAGAGCTGAATTTTCTCTAAGATTTTCAAATTGCAGATGATACTCTGTGTGGCTCCATCACAATAATCAACTGGAGGACTGAAATACAGTGGGCAGTGGTCAGGGTGCTTGCCTTATAACCAGATGGTCCAGGTTCAATCCCCAGCACTGCAGACGGTCACAAGCCTCATCAGGAGTGATCCCTGAGCACCCGAGATGTGCCCTGATAAACAAAATGAGCAAAGCCCCAATTCAGCTGGGCTTCATTGCCAGCCCTCCATGGTGAATTGCACTTCGTTACCAGATACCAGAAAATAATGTTAGATTTTATTGTGACTTTTTACCTTTGGGGCTAGGTTTGGTAATCAGATGGATACGGTGGATACGAGTAGTTCATTAAAACCTCTTACAGATCGGCAGGGGTGGGAAGCTAACTAGGAACTAGAATATCCAAAGTGAATATTGTCATCTGTTCATCTGCTTCATAGCTTGCTGGTCACCTCCATGGGGCATATAAAGCTGACAGATTTTGGATTATCCAAGGTGGGCCTGATGAGCATGACTACCAACCTTTATGAGGGACATATTGAGAAGGATGCTCGAGAGTTCCTGGACAAGCAGGTAAGCCTGCATGCTGTTCACTTCCAGAGAGAAATTCAAAGTACCGTATTGCTAGTGAAACAGGGATTCAACTTGTGTCGGCCACCTTCACCTTGGGACTGTGGGTTTAGATGTCTGTATAAGCCTTACATTTAATAAAGTGCAAATTGCTTCCATTTTTCTCTCTGGGCCTCTTTCAACTGTCCGCTCATCCACATTCCTCCCCCACCATTATGGTCTATTAGCAAGACGAACGATCTAATTGCACACAAGTGAGAGTGTGAGAGAGACAAATGGAGAACTGTTTTCATGAGGAACTCCAGAGTCTCGGTAGAGTACTCGTGAAACTCATGATGCATCGTACAATCATGGGTGCTAAAATCCAAGCCATGGCCCATTTCCCTTTAAGCATGCCTCATTACCATGCGCCCACAATCTGCTCATTGTAAAGTTACTTAAGGTAAACACATCTCAACTGCCATGCTTGTATGAAGTAACCAAGAGGGGAATATGTTTTGATCAGATAAGCTCTTGAACTATCTCTGCTAGGGACAGATTATAAAAATACATTATTATTTTGAATTTAAGGGCAACAATGTTTTTTAATGCTGTAAAATTAGTGAAACAGCCAGTCAGGTTCAGGTCGTTGATTTGAAATTACACATCCTTTAACGTTGGGGCAGCATTTTATACTTGACCTTTTTTTAGAAGTGAAGTAATTCAATTCTTTTGATATTAGAGACACTGACTGAGAGTTACTGTTCATTCTTATCCCAGTGGTTCCATGTGGTTGAGCAGGTGCATTCTGATCAAAATAATTGGTGTTTAACCATCTTGCTCATTGTAATTCATGTCTAATATTTTAATTATTCTAATATTGCAATCATCTCTTAGGTCTGTGGCACACCTGAATACATTGCACCAGAAGTGATTCTGAGGCAGGGCTACGGGAAGCCAGTGGACTGGTGGGCCATGGGAATTATCCTCTATGAATTTCTGGTTGGATGCGTGCCATTCTTTGGGGACACTCCAGAAGAGCTATTTGGACAAGTCATCAGTGGTAAATATCATCAGTCATTTATCTTTAAGCCACTATTGGGAAGAAAGTATTTTATGCAATTCTGTGGTGTATTGCAGTTTTGACTACTAAAATGTTAACCTGTATCACATGGCTTAGCCAACAAATTAAAAGAACTCACTCTTCATAGCACATAACTGACTTTCAGAATCTCCAGAGAACAATTTGTGCTGAAAATTGATCTGAGGAAGTTTTGTTAACATGGAATTTGGAAGTGTACTAGCAGTGTAACCAACTTTTATGGTGTGCTTTTTCTGCAAAAGAAATTGGTGTGGGATTTGCAAATGATTGCACTGCCATCCAGTCAACTCCCTTTCCATAAGAGGAAAGTTGCACCCGGGAAGAAAAGGTTAATGTGGGTAACATTTACATAAATGGGGAAAATGGCTAATGGTACAATGAAGAAATGAACAAAAATGTAATAAACCCTAAAACAAATGTCTACCAAATAATAAATAATGAGAATGGGAAGGAAGCAAATTTAATCCACAGATTGTTAATGATTTCATTGGTAGTGGTTATGGTGTAATGTTATTTCTGTAACAGCTGTTCATCTTTCATTTAAAATTCAATAACCTTTAGATTTTAACCTGCATGCTGACCCCAACTATTGTTATGTGGCTTGTGGCAAAACTAAATGATAATTAAATAGACTCTATTACTACCCTACCTGCTGTTTTTATAAATTTCCCTGAAGCATAGATCAAAAGAGCCTCTGCTCCCTAGAGTTGGAGAGGCCCCTGTGCCAGCTCCGTCACCCACCTCTGGTCCATTCTGCACTGCGCTTCCCTGATCTGGCAGTTGAAAGAGGGGGCAGTTCATTCTGGAAGGAGGAGTTCCTTAATCACTGCATTGTTTTCTGTCAGTGACTAGACAGGCAGACATATTTGTAAACTTGAACAAAATAGATTGGTAAGTTGCCTGCAGTGTATAACCCCTCATACAGTATCTGAGCTGTTTATGGATTTATAACTAGGCTGTTTTCTGATATACCAAGGCCTGAATGGCAAGAGGAATCAACTGTTTAATTAACACAAGCAGCAAATGCTGGCTTTGTTCGCCATGCCTTACGGCTCAGATGCATATTCATGTTTTATTTTCCAAATCAGATTTAAACGGCAGCCGAGGAAGCTAGAGGCAGGCGCACATGGAAATAACTCATGTTTTTATTGCATTTCCATGGCACAAGCATGCACACCTCTCTTCAGGCAAACTCCTTTAGAATGTAGAACATATTGTAATATTTATGGCAGATTTTAAATACTTGTATTACTGTGATGACTTGTGGTTTATTTTACCCCCTTCTTTGGTTTTAGCATTTTGACCTTTCCTTTGTCTCTGAAAAGGGTTATGTGCCCAGAATTATTTCTTGCTCCTGGGAGATGAGGAGCACAATGACTTTAAGAAAATTCTGAGCTGCGGAGAGCAGGAGAGGAAGTGTTACTCTCAGATGATTCCTGGAAGGGTGGGCTCCCGGAATGCAGGTGTTTGGCATTTTCAGTCTCAAGTCTTCTTAATAACTGGCAGGAATGCTTTGTTGTGAGACAAATCCATCAAAGAAGAAAATTAACCCAGAAACCAAAAAACAAGTGAAAAATCGTGGCTTATTAATAAAATAACCTCTCTTGGGTTTGTTGGCTGTCCCTAGAAATCAGCTGAAATTCTTACTAAAATGCAAGCTGTGATTCAGTGAGTCAAGTGGGGCGTAAAATTCTGCATTCTTAACAGAATCCCAGGTGATGTCCACACTCTGCCACTGAGACCATTCTTAGGCTGATAAGATGGCAAATGACTTTTCTTCCTTTTAGATGAGATCAACTGGCCTGAAAAGGATGAGGCTCCACCCCCTGATGCTCAGGACCTGATCACCTTGCTCCTCCGGCAGAACCCCCTGGAGAGACTGGGAACAGGTTAGCTGGCTTGTGCTTGCCTTTTGCTAATAGGCAAGAAATAATGTTGTATGTGGAGCACTTGGAGGGTTTTGTTTGTGTGAGTGTGTGTGTGTTTTTTTAGAGGAAACATCTGTTCATTGTTGTAGAACATGATTGCAACATGGTATAACAATAATTTGGAAGTTTTTTTCTGGTTCAGAGCAATATGTATACTACAAGGATTGTCGAGTTTGGTTTTGTTTTTGTCTTTTCATTGCTGTTGTTGCTTTTGCTTTCTGTAAAGCAGAAGTGACTCTTAATTTGTTTCAATAAATAGAATTTCTCTGGGGGGCAGGGAGCCTTGCGGCCCATATATTTCTTCTGTCCAGAAAAGCATATGCCTTAACTAATTTGAGACAGAAGTTATAGAGCGTTTCTGAGGTTTTCGGAAAGGGGATCACAGCGCCTCCCTGATTAGGCGTAGAGGGGCCATTCCTGGAAGGCCGAGGGATCAAAGTGGTGCTGCTCTTAGACCAAGCTGTGGCTGGGATGCAGGGATTCGACTCTGGCAGTGTGCGTGCATTCCAGCACTTGGCACTTTAGCCTCAGCTCTATTTGGGGCTTTAAAGCATTGAAGTGTTTAAAATACTCCCATACAGATTTAACCTAGCACGCTACTAACTACCAAATGAGTACCAGGGGTTGAACCATTTGGCTTTTATCTAATCAGCACCGTGGCACAAAAAAAGGAGATTAAAAACTGTTAGCTTTCCAAAATAAAAATAAAAACTGTTAGCTTTTAAGATTAAGGAGATTGTAGACTGGGGATATAGCTCACTGGCATTGTGTTTACATGTGAGAAGCCCTGGGTTCTGTTTCTGGCACTGAAAAAGAGGCTTTGTTTTTAAGGGGTTTTTTTGTGCTTATTAATTTTTTTCTGATGGTTCTACCATTTTTTTTTTGGTTCATGCCCTCTTCTTCCTTTCCTTCTTTCCATTCTAAATATGACTTAAATTGCCTCCAATATAGGAATCCCAACAAGTTTCAGTTGTTAAATTTTTCTAGATTGGATTAAATATAGGCATACCTACACATTCACTGCAGACACTAGCCATAATGTTCATCTGTTAAAATTGTTGACTTCATGGGTTGTTTACTTTATTTCATTCTATCATATTTTGGTAGAAATAACAGAAAATACTGAAGAAAAAATCTCACCCCTTATTTCCAAAACAAAAAGCATTTGCAAAAGCTCCAAATATTAATCATGAGTATTCTTCGCATTTTCCAACCATTCTTTATTGGCGGACTCTATTCATGGTTAAGAATAGAACGCCATATTACCAGCGCTTAAGGTGGCACATTAAAACCCACAGGCTAAATCTTTATTCTGTAAACAGAGATTCATTGAACATAGCAGTGGCACTCATTCACATATTTATTGTCTGTGGCTGCTCTCATGCTACAGTGGCAGAACAGTGAAGAGTCAAGACTGTGTGGCCCACAAAGCCTTAAGTATTTACCTCTCGGCTCTTTACAGAAAAGTCTTGAATACTTCCAAGAAACTAAAAAATTTGGACTTCTTGGGGCCAGAGAGATAGTACAGCAGACAAGGTGCATCTTTTGCACATGGCCAATGCAGGTTCAATCCCTGGCATCCCATATGGTCGCTGAGCACCGCCAGGAGTATTCCTAAGTGCAGAGCCAGGAGCAACCTCTGAGCATGACTGGATATGACCCCAAAACAAGCCCAAAATTGTTTCACTTCTAAATAAGTCAAAGAAATCAGGGTGTAGTGATTTCACACCTTCGCCCTAGAATAGGAACACATCAATCCCAATAACGGGAAAATATTAATTTGAAAAGATATACACAGGCCTATGTTCTTTGCAGCCCTATTTAGAATAGCAAGATCTAGGAACCGTTTGGATGCCCAGATGAGTAGATAAAGAATATGTGGTATATATACATGATGGCGTACTCTCAACTATGAGAAAACATGAGGTCTTGCCTTTTACTTTAACATGGAGTAATCTAAAGGGGGTCGTGTTAAACAATCTCTGTCAGAGAAGGACAAACTCAAGATGACCTCATTCTTATGGGGTATATGAAGAAGCAAAGGAAGGGAATGGCTAATGGCCAAAACAAACCATTTTTGTTTTGAAAACAAATCCTTAGATTCTGACAACAGAACTGAAGTTACCACCCAAGGGAGGAAAGGGGAAGGGAGGTTGGGGCAGACTTAGAAGGGTGTACAGGCAGTGATAGAGGGGTTTTGGCATTTTGGTCCAGGTTGGGTGCAGTGACTTTGCACATCAAAAGCACCAACATTATTGTAAAAAAAATATTTCTGAAACTCAGGACTTAAATGAAAAATCGTTTGACTGAGCCCCTTGTTCAGGTACCATGTGCCTTTTTGTGCCTTCTCACAGTAGATGACTGTGCCTTTATCTAGGAGACAGTGCAAGGGGAAGTTGGGGCACAGCCACTACAGTCACTTTGTCAGAATCTAAAGGTATGAACAGGTGCGTTTTGTTTTCCTTTCCACAACTCATTTCTTCTTCTGTAAATTGGAGCTCATGGTAGGACCATTAAACAGGACAATTAGCTGGAGACTATGCCTGTTAGGTAAGATGTTAAAAACCAGGTGTGACTGCTGTCTTATCTCTATTTGTGCTGCATGCCTCTCTTAACAGAGGAGATCCCAAAATAGTGGAGGTGCTCTCACTTAGGAGCAGAGTGCAGCCAGGTCCTGGAAGACCATCCTTTCCCATGGGCTTGTGTCTGTATCACATGGAGCAGAAGAAAACAGCCCCAGTTGATGCTGAATGAAATGAAAGGATAATCTTCAAGGACCTGCCTTTGTTAGAAGTCATTTCACTTAGTGTCACTATTTCCTACAATCTCGTCCGCATTAGACAAGGCGCGGCTGCTTCATATTTCTTCCCTCTCTATTGGTTTTCTTCTCTTCTGTGGTGACTAGAAAATTTGTTCTTCCCTGCCCTCTGTGACCTGCCGTCAGATTTACTTTATGGGCCAAGAGAGATGAGTAGTTGACAGAAAAAAATGTGTGTCAAGGCTCTGGATGGGATTGAATTGAGAGGAATGGTTTTTACTCACTTGAGTCAAGAAATGAAACGCAACAGCATTGTCAGACTCTAAGGATGCTTGTATCTATCCAGATACCCAGCTATCCCTGAAATAGGTCCTAATGTCTGACATAAGATACTGGCATAGGTGCTTTCTTCCCGTCTTTTTCCCATTGGTGTTCAAGGGTCAGTTTAAAGAATTTATCCCACTTATAAGTTTCTCCATTTCCCTCCTGAGAATTCTTGGCTCCTTCATTGGATGTGACTTCAGGAGACAAGGCCAAGACGAGAGTTAGCGATCCTTGTTTCTATGTTAGTTGCCGTAAGATCTCTCTGCACATTTTCTCTTTGACTGTGACTTTTGGTCTTTTCAGGGTTTGACAGTTCGAGAAGCAAATTGCCCAACAGAAGTTCAAAAGAGACATTTATAAGGACCCTGCCCAAGCACTTAGCATTGTCAAGAAGTGCTTGCCAAACAGGCAGGTCCCCTGTGACAGGTCCCAGTAGGGCCCAGATACTGAAGCTGGGAGTCCCGCAGGCCTGCCATGCCGTTTCTAGTGACAGCGTTTTGGATTTAATGCATACTTAGCGGGCAAAATAATGCACCGTGAAAATGTGCGAATGCACATTTGCCCGAGAGACTAGAGAGGCTGAGAAAAGGGGTGTGAAGAACATAATGGATGTTTAAGAAACTTCCATGAAAGGAGAGAAACACTCTAGGGAGAACATTAGTGCCAAAGCATAACTTGCAATTTGGGAACTTGTCGTTCTGGAACTAGACTTTTGAACTTGCAAAGTGTTGAGTGGCAGGCTAGCTCACTGGACTTTAGAGCTGCTCAGATGTGACTGACTTCTACCCATGTACCAGCTGGGAGATCCTGAGTCCTTTCTTCATTATCCTGAATCTCAGTTTCCTAACCTGTGACAGTAGGAATGGCTTATACTTCACAGGTTCAAGTTCTCTGTGAGGAATAAATGCAGGTATGTTCAGGAAGGCCTCCAGTGCAGTAACCTATGCAGTGACATATACAGGAGCTAGTGATCTCCCTCCCATCCCTTCACAAGGAATTCTGACCCTGAGTGCTATCCTTTGCATAGGTTCCTGTGTCTAATGAATTGCATTTCCATCACAGTAACATTGTGCTGTGCTCCTTTAATTCTTCTGTTCCCAGTTCTCAATCTTTGTAAAACTGCTTGAGAAATAGGATCCAGTGACAAGCTAGCCCTTCTCAGTGGGATGTGGAAGGCAAGGGGTAAAGAAATGGGAGTTGTATCCCCTGTGTTCTTTGACTTTTTAGGGAGGATTTGTTTGTCATTTTTCAGAAGTGAATGCTTCTCACCACCTTGGGTCCCAATGGGTGGAGGGCAAGAGAGTGAAAAAAGATTTTAAAAAAAGACACCCACAAAGCATTTGATCTGGGCATGTTGTTCCATTCTAAATAACTGTGTTTTTCTGGGTGAAGTTGAATGATCTCAGCACCTCAAAACTGTTGTTTGGCCCCCAAAACAGACACTGAAGGGCTAGTCTGCTCTAGTTTGCTGTGTAGCATGTGGACCTTAAGTAGGGCTGGACTCTTGGACTCTTTAACCATTAGGGTGAGAGAGTTGGATGTATGAATATGCAGTCCCTTTGACTTGTCAAAGAGAAGAACCCTAGAAGACAGTGCTGCTGGCAGCTGTGTTTGGGCTGGGGAGTTGTAGTTTTGATGAGTTTAGAGCCAGAGGACTGGAGTACGGCCTCCATAACAGGGTCAAGAGATTACCAGATTTGGTGTTAAGATTGGGTCCCTAGGAGTGGCAGTTCAGAATCCATTTACAGATTGAGAGATGGCAGGGTAGCATCTAAATTAAATATGCTTCCCTCTTCCCTGGCACATGGAATTAGGATACTGAAGATGGGCATGGGTGTTTTGACCCCTTGGGAGTTTAGATTCCCCACCGATCTATAAAGCAAGAGCTGATTTTACCCAGGGAGGCTTTATTTGCTTATCCTTAGTTTCTCCACTCACAAATGGCGCTGGTAATGCCAGTGTTACATCATGGCATTACTTTTAATGAATCAGTGGAAGGCAACGCTGCTCCTAGCATCTAGAGAAATGTTCATCCACATCCACCTCAAATCCCAGCTGCTATTGCAATTGCCATTGTGATCAACACGTACCTCAGCATGATGCCAGAAATGTGGAGAAACTTGGACAGAGATTCTCATCAAGCACTGTGTAAATAAGAATCCGTTCTCCCTTCGGGGAGAATTCCATTGTTTTCAGATTACCAGTTGTCTGGTTGGGCTTGGAGCTCCAGGCAGTACACACCCTGAGTTAGCCTGCTGGGACCGAGCTCCATGTTTGAAGCAGACAGTTCTCTTGCTCGAAGATCCAATCCCGTTTTCCAGTCAGCATACATTTCTTCTTTGTTTCTTTCATACCCCACCCTACTGGACAAGATAAAAAATTGGGTAACAAGTATATGAGGCATTTACATCCCAGCTGATTAGACCCTGATATCAGTCAGGGGAGAAATCCCTCTTCCTCAGGATTACTGTAATTATTTTTATTTCAGTGTAATCTTCTTCGTCAATGGTGTGTCTGTGTTTATCAGGACACGGGCCTGATTTTATGATTTTATAACATGTGTATCATCTCTTACTGTGGAGGATAATAAAATATGTTTGAGGGATCTTGCCCTTCAGAAATTACTCTCTGTAAACACAAACTAAATTAATAACATTATTTCCCTGTCATGCTGACTTGGCAAAAAGGTGTGTAAAACTCTGGAATTGTGATTGATTTTCACCACATGTGTGATCAATCTATCCAACGGGCTTGCCAGTTCTTACCTAAGAAGAATTAGTAATCCAGGGAATCGAATTCCTCCCAATGCTAATGAGCAGTCCAATAAAATTGAATACTAACCATTATATGTTACTCAGGAAAATTCATCTTTATTACCCTAACCCCTCTGGAAGGAAGTATTGCTGTGAATACATTTTGTACCTTGTTTGGATTTCTTTGGGGATTGTCCTGAGCAAACCCGCTTTGGGCCAACACACACCCACGTCCCAGGTTCAGCATAATGTGATTTTAAGTAGCCACATCATTAGCCCTTAAAAAATGGAGGAAGTCATGGAAAAATTAACAAAGAAAAAGTGTGTCCTAGCAACTGCTGTTAATCAGATCAGCTCCCCTTCTGGTAAATGGTGGGGAAAATTGGGGAAGGTATAGGCTTGTGGGATAAAAGAGTGAGAGGACCCTGACGGCTCCATTTCCCTACTGTTAAATATTGGAGGGTTGTTGTTCTTAAAAACAAGCATTTACCTTTGCGTAAAGGGTTGGTTTAATACTTTGGTTCTGTCCTTCTCCTCTCAGGGGGTGCATATGAAGTCAAGCAGCATCGATTCTTTCGCTCTTTAGACTGGAACAGTTTGCTGAGACAGAAGGCGGAATTCATTCCCCAACTGGAATCCGAAGATGACACAAGTTATTTTGATAGTATGTGCATTATCTGACATACAGTCATTGTTTTTGGCTTTTATTTGGGAGGAAATTTTCTTCCTCTGTGGTAGAATTTTTCCATCTCAAACCATTAAGTTCTTAAATAGAACGTTGCTTTGCTGTAGAAATGCAGAGTTCAAATATTAACACAAAAAGCTGAAATTGAGAGTAATTACAATGGTGCCTGAATGTTTCTCTGCAGCTCGGTCAGAGAAGTATCATCATATGGAGACTGAGGAAGAAGATGACACAAATGATGAAGATTTTAATGTGGAAATAAGGCAGTTTTCTTCATGTTCACATCGGTTTTCAAAGGTAGGTAGATTATGGCTTTAAAAAAATACATTCTCTCTGATGTCATTCCCCCCCCCCCCCCCCCACCACCACCACCTGGACCTAGAGTTGGTACCCTTACACAGCTGGGCAGGATGAGAAGAACCACAACTATTTCGGGGTCTCCTGCATATAAAATTCTTTGCTCTTGGAATGTTACCCCATCACCTTGATAACCCAGAATCCCCACCCACTGTGCCAGAGTCTGTTTCCTCCTCTCTGGGTGAGTTTCCTCTTTTTCTTGGAGGCTTTGCCTTATGCTCAATGCCATGTCTGTGGGGAAGTGATATCCGGTGCATCTCTGGCCATCACTCTGCCAAAGATATGATAAGGGGTGCCAGACTGAGGAGGAATCCCCCCTTTTTTTTCACTTCACAAGGAATAACCCTGACCTTGGCGTGAGGTGCCTGCTAGCCCAGAGCAGAATCCAGTGCAAAGGAGAGGGTTCCAACTAGCCCTCAGCAAAGCCCACTGGAAGCAGCTGACTATGGAATAAGTGGTCAGAGATGTTAGAAATTTCAACAAAGGGTCAGTGAGAGGTCAGGCTGGGATTTTGAAAATGGTAGACAGCATTCAAGTGGGTGCTTAAGAGAGAAACTCTTTTATGGATAGTGGTAGAACTCAAACAAGCAAATCCACAAGACCTGATAGTCCTGAGCCAGAGTCGGGCCCAAGGAGGATGGAAATGAGCCCAGAGCCCTCCCTGTCTCCGTTTCGCTATTTTTAGTAGCTCTATATATCTGCTGTTGCCATGGCATTTTGCATGATGATTGTTTAGCATTTCTATAGCATTTGGTGATTTGAAAGTGTTCAGTACCTTTCTCCAAGCAATTGGTTCGACTGCATCTGCCAGTCATCCAGCCAGGTTTGTGTTGATAGGAAGTGCACTGGGAGGTTGGGGTTTCCCTGGTGGGGTCCATGGAAAGTCTGACCCCAAGTCAGATTTTGGACACACGGAGCATGGCTTCGACCACTACCACTTTCTGGACTGTCACCAGCCTTTGGACACTTTCCTTCCAGCGGTGACCTGTTCTTGAACCTAGCTGCTCTTCCTTCTACTAGATCATAGGTAGATGGTCTCTGGGCCCACCCAAAGGGCGGAAAGCTTCCTACATGGTGCTATGGGCCTTCCTTCTTTCCTGTGGGGTAGTCAGGATTCTGAGGTCGACCTGTGTTTTTCTTGAGTTCTGATCCCTTCGAATTCCTTTCCATAGAAAAGCTGTCTGGAATAAGCCAAACAAAACATCTGATTTATTAGCCAAGCAAAAATCTGATTTATTACCAAATATGTGTCACATTTTTGTTCCCTCCCCATATGCATTTATACGTGCATAAGTCATCATACAGGTGATTTATTCTTCCCTTTGTGTCCAATTCGACTTTCTCCTTTCTACCTCTGACTGGTGGCCATTAACTCTTCTTCTGAAATTTTCTTTCTCTGATTGACTGTTTGCTTACAAAAAAAATCTAAAGTTTACATTGTTCCAACACTGGAAACCCCAATGTACCATGCATTTTGTTTGCAGATACAGAGTCTATAAGTAAATGTGGTGAGAAGGTCATGAATTTGTGGCTCCCCACTGCAAAAGAAAAGAATATATATTGACTCCACTCAATGGCATTGAAATGGTCTTTCTGAATACCCAGTCCCAACTCAAACATTACTCTCAGGTTTTCCTCCTAAGACTTGATTTGGTTTTTCCTTCCTGACAAACTCTTTCAAGAAGATATAATAAAGCACTGACTCCCTGCCTTCCAGGTTTTCAGCAGCATTGACCGAATAACTCAGAATTCAGAAGAGAAGGAAGAGCCCGGGGACAAAACCAAAAGCACAGCCTTGCCATCCACAGAAACGCTAAGCTGGAGTTCGGAATATTCAGAAATGTATGTGAGATGCCTGCTCAGGAAACTCGGAGGTAGCAGCCACTCCGGGGGGTTGTTGCACTGGAGTTCCCCGGAGGGCTGTGAAACACAGCTGCTCAGCTTATTCAGTTTCCAGCCCTGTAGATGCAGGCCAGGGGTGGGGATGTGCATTCCTACCAACCACCCAGCGCTCGTGGTTCGGGTATCACAGAGCATGAGGCAGGTCTTGCTGAGGCTCACCCAAGTCCCATTTTCACCTGGTTTCTTCTGAAATGTGTGCCTGGAACTCCGGTTCCTAGGGTGTCTGTCTGACTTGGCTTTTGCTTTCCATGAAGGCAACAGTTGTCCACATCCAACTCTTCGGACACTGAAAGCAACAGGCATAAACTCAGCTCTGGGCTGCTTCCCAAACTGGCTATTTCAGCAGAGGTAGAGCATGATGAAGCAACCCCCTGTCCCCGGGACCCACACGAGGAGCCAGAGAAGCCAGCCCTGCCTCCTGCAGAGTGTACCCAGGAAGAGCCCGAGGTCACCACCCCCGCAAGCACCATCAGCAGCTCCACCTTGTCAGGTAAGAGCCTGGCCTGGTGCCTGCTGTCCAGCCCTTAAGCACCATGGCGAAGTGACTGTGGGTGGGCACTAGGCCGCCAGGGCTCCCCAGCCTGGCAGAGATGACACGTGCTGTATGTTACTAGTCTCCCTCTATAGACCCACTTCCTGGGGGCCAAGCTCCTGAGAGCTAAGACTGATTCCTCTGACATCTCCTTTGTTATGGCAAGGCAGCAGTTTGATAGAAAGGCCCACAGCTTTCAGAGCTAGGTCTCTTGTTGCATCCTTGTTTGGCAATCAGAAAATACCCAGGAAGGGGCCAAAGATATAGTTAAGTGGGTAGGGCACTTGGCTTGCATGCCGCCAACCCAGGTTTGGTCCCCAGCACATCACAGGGCCCCTAAGCCCCACCAGAAGTGATCTTGAGCACAGAGCCAAAAGTAAGCTGTGAATACTGCTGGAGGTAGCCCCCAAACCAGCATCTGTCACTGATGGGCAGCCGTGGGACTTGGCCCCTTACTGTTTTGGTTTGTTTGGGGGCACACTTGGCAGTGCTCAGGGCTTACTCCTGACTCTGTGCTCAGGAATCACTCCTGGCAGGGCTCAGCGGGACCAGGTGTGGTGCTGGGGATTGAACCCAGGTACAGCCACATGCGAAACAAGCAACCTATCTGCTGTACTATCACTCTAGCTCTTTTCTTTTGTGTCACAGGAGCTTTTCAATAATAGATATGAACTGTGTCTTCACAGGTCTGCTTTCGGTTTGGGGCCATGCCTGGTGGTTCTCAGGGACTATTCCCAGCCTGATGCCCAGGGCTCACCCTAGCCTTGCTCAGGGGACCAGGTGGTGCCAATTGTCAAGCTGGGCCTTCTGCCTCAGTGCCTGCACTCGACTCTCTGAGCACTTTCACCTTTCCTCAGGCACTTGAAACGTTCCCTGTGCTGTGCCAGGGGTCCTTGCTGCCCTCAGTGGTGCAGGATCCACATTTGATCATCATCCTGGCACTTCCCCTGCACAAACCTTTCAGTGGGTTTCAAATACTTGGTTTATAAAAATGTTCCGTACAGCATGTCCTCCTTCTGAGCCATGTATATTTGTCAGCTTTTGTTTTTTCTACTAAGACACGACTATGACTTAGGGTTACTGTAATAAATGTTTTCATTAAGCCATATGCAGTATGCTCTATTGATAACCATATTTGTTTAATGAATTCTATAGCTACTTGAATGTTTGCAGCTTAAAATTTTTTTTCAGGGAAACAAATTTCACTGTCTGGTTTATTTCAGCTTCACTAAGATATTTTGTTCTGCGCAGCTTCACATGTGTGCAGAGCTTTTCATACGGATCTTTTCTTTGTTCCCTTTCTATGTTATACCATTCCCCTTGTCCTATGTCTAGAAAACTCAGGAAAGTGTAGGAGTGTTGGGACAATTTTATAGACTCCTGGTTGCCCTTAGTTCATCTTGCTAATCACATGTAAACCTCTCCATATTATCTATTTCTGATCAGCTAAGTCTCTGTGTTAATACAATTCTTAATTTATTATGTTTTTCTGAACGGCAGATCTTTACCTCCATTTGGAAATACATTCTTATTAGGGTGAATTGTTTATCATCTCATGGTCTCTGCAGCCCACTCACTATCAGAAAGGTGGGAGGGAAGACAGGGAGATGGTGTCTACAGATTTGATTGATTACTTTCATAATTAAAAAAAAATCTGCCTAGGTCCTGCCATGCATTTTGATTAATAGATTCAAACCACCGTTCTCTCTGTCTCCCCCATACACACACTAAAAATAATCAAAGACCTTGGGGGCTATACGGAATAGAGAGATGAGCTGATTTGCTCATAGCCAAGGGTAATTAGGGAATCTGAAAACCATGACTGTAGTAAAATTAAATTTGTTGATTTTTATATCGCTTCACCATCAAAAAGAAAGAACCCTTGACATTTACAGAACATTAAGGTGACATTATCCACCATTGGCAGTAATGAAACACAAACTTAGGCATAGTGCTGTGGAGTTGCGCGCGACAGGCACGAAGAAGGGAGGAGAAAGAGAACATTGTGCTGTCCTGCTGCATTTAGGGAGTGCAAGTTCAGACCCACTCCTCATGTTTTCCTGACTTCATTGGACTTGAATCACTAAAATGTGAAAATCTTCAAGTCTCTTAGATGGGATGTGATTTAGGAGGTAGAACACATGCCTGACTTGTTTAATCCATACCTCCTGAGACACACACACCCACACACACACACACACACACACACACACACACACGGTATTTAGCTCTAGGGACACCCACACAATGTCAGGCTTGTCTTGCACAACTAATCCAAAAAAGTCTAACAGTATTAGATGTAATATGGAATGCACCCAGAAGTTGACTCTGATGAGTCTCATTATACTCAATCATGTTCCCATCCAAACTAGATCAGAAAGGAGGTGGAGGAGTAACTGAATAGCTCATACTGTAACAAGCCAATCCCCATTTTTTAAGGTACTTGATTTGTAAGTCACTTTTTATCACCTTTTAGTGGTTTCCTCTCTTTCTCTAGCATGAATGGGATAGACAGGCCGCTCCGTGAGGTGGAGTAGAAGGGTGTGTGGATAGTGTTGAGAGGTGATTTGACAGTCCACTTCCTCTGGAGGTCGGACACCCAATAGAAGTCTGGCTCTGTCCCTTTTTGCACAGTGCATCGGCTGTCCATGGTATGTACTATGTCCATGCCCATGCTCCCTCACCCCTGCCTTCCCTTAGCATGGACACCGCCCTCAGCACATGTGTCCCCCCAGGAGAACTCAAACTGACACACAGGAAACAGTGGGGCAGAGATATCAGCTAAGCCAAATTCGGTGCAGTTCCTTCCTGAGCAAAGGATGTCTGTCCTCTAGTCCTCATTGTAGGGGCTCATCTATATCACTGTGAAATACTCTGGGTGGATTGTTAATCTTAAGAGGATGATCCTGTTGATGATTTTTAAAACACAGGCTTCTCAGAGAGGTTTTCTATGTGAACATGAGAGAAGCCTTGTTTCTGGATGAATGAAGATGTATTACCTTCATGATTAAAAACAGAAGGAAAACAGGAAATTGGCAGCCTGACAGTGAAGGACAGGGCAGGAGGAACCCAAAGGGGCAGCCATTCACCTTTCCCCGGGGGATTCAGTATGTTACTTCTGCTCAAGAATTTTCTTTCCTCTTGCCCGTGTGGTCCCCACACTGGCAGTGGTGATCTGGTCTGCCCTGTCAACACCCCCATCCCTTTGCCCTCCTGCCCATTTGGAACTCTCCCACTTCCTTAGATTCTTCTCTGATATTCTGTTGAGAAAGTCGACATTTTCATAACTTAGAAGAAATAGAGTAGTCAACACACACCAACACCAATACCAACTCCCCTCCCCCCACCACGTATGCACACACCAACACAAATCACTATTTCTGGGAAGGGTTTATAAAATTAAGAAATAAAGGAAAGGAGAGCCAGAGAGTGAGAATATAGCAGATAAGACCTTGCACGCAACTCACCTGAGTACAATATCTGACACTTTATGTGGTCTCTCCAGCCATGCCTGGAGAGATCCCTGAGCACAGCCGTGTACTCCTGAAAGGAAAGGCATGAATTAGAGTTAGGGAGGAACCTAATTCGATGCATCACAGTGCTTCCCCTACATCCCAACACACAGGTGTAGCCCTGGGTGACTCCGCCAGGTGTGGCCACAGGTGCCCACAAACAGCAGCTTCTGCGTAGGCTGAGCTCTGCCAGGCAGAACAGGAATCTCCCAAAAGGCAACACCTTCCCACTGGTGCAGTTGCTTCAGATTAGATGAGTATATGGTACTTTTTCCAGACCTGGGGAACTGGACAGCCACTGAATTGATGTCAAGAGTAATACATGTGACATGAACACAGAGCCGGAGTGAAAGAAACCCCATGTGGACTCTATTAGAGACCCTTAAACCCCTTTTCTGAGGGTGACATGCCTGAATCTAGTGTCTGATGAGGTCTAAGAAGGTGGCAGGAGGTGATAGAGTCTTGAGTCTACCTGAGTGCTTAGCTGATACCCCCTGGTCAAGAAGCATCCATGGCATGGGTGACGATGGCCTTCTGTGTCACTGGGCACTCCTGAAGTGTTAACTGCACTTGTCACCAGTGGGTGCTGGCTCAGAGCCTTTCAGGGAGTTTCAGGGGAGAGCTCGCCAACAAGGTTTACAAAATAGAGATTTCCTAAGGTGACCTCAACTTCCACAGTGTCAGTCTTGGAGAATCACTGGGCTTGTTTAAAGGTAGAGCGAAATCTGAACAGTCTCTGTTGTCTCTTCCTCCTCCACGTCACCTTCCTGACCAATCATGTGTGCGTGTTAATGTTGATGTTTGCCTGGAGGTGGATGGACTCATTCACCAGGTCTGTCCATTTGCCAGTGTCTGTCCTTCCTTCTCTCTCTCTTCCCTGCTCCCGTCCCGGATTTTCCTGAACGTGTTTATTATCCCTTCTCCTTTGTACAGTCGGCAGTTTTTCAGAGCATTTGGATCAGATAAATGGACGCAGCGAGTGTGTGGACAGTACAGACAATTCCTCCAAACCGTCCAGTGAAGCCGCTTCCCACATGGCTCGGCAGCGCTTAGAAAGCACAGAAAAAAAGAAAATCTCGGGGAAAGTCACAAAGTCCCTTTCTGCCAGTGCTCTGTCCCTCATGATCCCAGGAGGTAGAGAGTCGTCTACTCGCATGAACTTGTGTGCTCTGCATGTGCTCCCAGGGCTTGCAAAGCTGAGATGCAGAATTGCTTGAAGCAAGGAGGGGTGGTCCTGGTGCCGTGCTCTGCAGCGCCCCCTGCAGGCCTCCAGGGCGACTATGTGGCCTCCTGGGTCCTCTCTGGGCCTGGAGATTTGCTGAATTGCCTTCTCACCCAGCTTTCTCCTAAGACTTGTTTTCGCTCCTTTTACTCCACCCAAGTGAAGCGATAAATTCCCATTCTCTAAAATAAATTTTCTTCCCTTAACCTATGCATCATTTTATACTTTACAGAGCTGTTCACAGTGTCTGTGTTGGAAAACTAAGTATAGTTTTCCCCACCTAATTAATGAGGAAATAAAATGTTAAGTTTTTCATTTCTGGGGGTGCAGAGCATCACAGACAACGCTGAAGTGACGTGTTAGTGGGTTTTTCTTTTTCCCCCAGCCCTGTCTGTTGAGCTCTGCTTCCTCCTACTGGTCGTGAAATCATCTTCCTCCCTCTTTTAGAAAGCTGGGCCTAATTATGGGTTTGGGAAATGGCAGTGTTTTTCCACAACCTGGTCGTGCCTCTGCTAATCACTGAGTCTGTAGTAATTCTACTGGCACAGAGGAAGCACTTCTACTGGCAGCTCTGACTTGTCCCTCAAATGACAGCCAGGGAGCGGAAGTGGCAATTGAATTATATCGCAGATGGCTTGCATCTGGAAGAATAGAGACTATGTCTAAAAGTGACTGTTTACAGTTTTCAAATTTCATATTTGTGCTGAAAGAAACGTGAGCTACTGAAATGCTCATTTGGGAGTTAGTGTTCTAGAACATTCTTATGGGGGTGGGGGGGAAGCTGTACTTTTAGCACCGTGAAACAAATGCCCATCTCCCTAGTAACTGATTGCTCCTCAAGGGCCATGGTGTGGCTGCAGCTGTGGTGTGGCAGGGGAGAGTGGGGCTGCCCACTGAGATCTGGGGCGCAAGACTGCACGGGGTGAAAGCGGCTCATTACCCCATTTGGAGAGATAAAGGACACGGGGTGGCAGTTAGGCAGTGTGGATCCTCACGTATGCATGCTGCCCGCTGCTCGCATGTGTGGGTCAAGTCTGCCGGCCAGCATGGCCTGGCCTCCTTGGTAGGCAGAAGGTCGCCAGCCAGGGTGCCCGGTGGCATCATAGCATGAAGGAGCATGGATAAGTGGTACATTTTGCCATTTCTGCTTAGGACAGATACTGGCACCAGAACAAACGACTAAATGGACATTTCCAGCCTGCTCTGTTCACCATGATCCTCAGTGGTGTCTGAGTCCACTTAGAAAGCTCAGCCTCTTCTGCAGATTATTCATATGCACACTCTCTCCTCCTTTCTCTTTCCCTCTCTCCTCCTCCATATTCTGTCTCCCTCTCTCCAGTTTCTCTCTTTTTTTCCTTCTCTTTCCTCCCCCCCCACACTCAACCTTCCCTCTCGCACAATTTCACATGGCCAATCTACATCATAGATTTGTAGAGATAGAGATAAATGGAAGTTTACCTATAAAACAAACAAACAAAAATGACATCAGATTTATACCCTGAAATACAAATTAAGCTTTAGCTTTAAATCCCTCAATTTTTCCCTAATGGTCTTCTCAGAAACATGGTTGAAGCGGTAGGTAATGTGTGGAGAGAATCTGTTATAATAACTATGAGGAATAATTCTTTGATTGAAAAGTGGCCTTTCAGTGATTTCTTGATCAAAGACCTTTAATCAGTGCTATAATCACTGTAATCACTGTCCTCCCGTTGTTCACTGATTTTCTCGAGCGGGCCCAGTAACTTCTCCATTGGAGACTTTGTTGTTACTGTGTCTGGCATATCGAATACGTCACGGGGAGCTTGCCAGGCTCTGCCGTGCGGGCGAGATACTCTCGGTAGCTTGCCGGGCTCTCCGAGAGGGGCGGAGGAATCGAACTCGGGTCGGTCATGTTGGCTGCGTGCAAGGCAAACGCCCTACCGCTGTGCTAGTTCAGTGAAATTGTCAAAAGCGGCTGATGAATTGTTGTCCTGACCACGTGTGTTTGAAAAAGACCATGTCAAGACTGTGTAATATGCAATTTGGAGTCTTACTATAATCCATGCCTCCTTTGCTATGAGAAGGGTTGCTTGAAATGTGTGCATCAATGATTTTCTTACGTTTATTAAATAAAAATATCACAGATAAAAGCTAAGTTGTGTGTTTTAACATAAAGAACTATAAAATAGTAACTTAGAAAGTAACTGAAAGACATGTTGAAGTTCCTTGACTGGGCTTCCATTTGAACCCACGCTAGTTAGCAGTGCAGTGAATGTTTTTTATCACTTTCTCTTTCCTGGGTAATAAATGAATGGATTTGTCCTGTGGCCTCCCTCCTGGCCAGAATAGCTCTGACGCCTGCTTCTTTGTTACAGACATGTTTGCTGTGTCTCCTCTGGGAAGTCCCATGTCCCCCCATTCCCTATCCTCAGACCCGTCTTCCTCCCGGGACTCCTCGCCCAGCCGAGATTCATCAGCGGCTTCGGCCAGCCCACATCAGCCCATCGTGATCCACAGCTTGGGGAAGAACTATGGCTTCACCATCCGGGCCATCCGGGTCTATGTGGGGGACAGTGACATCTACACCGTGCACCATATCGTCTGGGTAGGACCCACCCGCTCTTGTCTTCCTCTCTCCTTCCCAGCCAAACTGAGCGTGGAGAAGTGGGCTCAGGTGTAGGGGGCAGGCAACGTATTTCCTGTTAGGCCAACATTTGGGATCATTTCATTTTCCTTTGGATATTTTTTTCCCTTTATGTGGTAAAACTGCAGTGAGCAAAAATGAGTGCGCTCTTAACCCTCTCCGGGCTTTCTGCTTGTCCACATTTGCGTACAGACTGGTAACAGCAAGTAAGAGACACTTTATTTTTATCTCTCAGTATGTTTTTTTTCCACAGTATTTTTCTGGGCTTTCATTTATTTATTTCTCCTACTATTAATTGGGAAGAGCTTGTTGGATCAGGACTGTCAGGTCACATGCTTCTCCCTATCCAAGTCTTTGTTTGTTTTCAGTTTGTTTATTTGTTCGGGAGGCAGGTGGCCTGGTAGTGCTCCAGGCTTATTTCTGACTATGTGCTCAGTGATCACTCCTGGAGGTGCAGAGAATTGAACCTGAGTTTGCCACTTGCAAGGCAAATGCCCTACCCTTTACATTGTCAATCTGCCCTCTCTTAATTTATGTATTGCGGGGACACACCTAGTGGATCTCAGGGCTTTTTTCTTGCTCTGTGCTCAGGGACCTCTCCACTCAGGGGGTTGGGGGCCCATATGTAGTGCCAGGAATCAAACCCAGGTCTCCATGGACAAGGCAAGCACCATACCCATTGTAGTATCTCTCTTGCCCTTCTTAAAAAAAAAAACTGCCCTTCTCATCATGGTCCTCCTGTTGTTCATCGATTTGCTCAAGCAGGCCCAGTAACGTCTCCATCGTGAGACTTGTTGTTACTGTGTTTGGCATATTGAATTCGTCATGGGTAGCTTGCCAGGCATCTCCGGTGTGACCCAAAAAGCAAAAAAAAAAAAAAGTTAATAATGGCCATGTGTAGCACTGTAGCACTGTCTTCCCGTTGATCATCGATTTGCTCGAGCGGGCCCAGTAACGTCTCCATTGGAGACTTTGTTGTTACTGTGTTTGGCATATTGAACACGTCACGGGCGGCTTGCCAGGCTCTGCCGTGCGGGCGAGATACTCTCGGTAGCTTGCCGGGCTCTCCGAGAGGGGCGGAGGAATCGAACTCGGGTCGGCCATGTTGGCCGCTTGTAAGACAAATGCCCTACCGCTGTGCTATCGTTCCAGCCCACCCTTCTCATATCACCTGATTTTTTTTAATGTGGACATGAGAATGATCCTTTATTAAATGACAGAATCAGAATAGCAATTGTGCCTTTTTAATTTCTTTTTCGGAGCTTAGCATCATGGTTTGACTGGGGTAGAAGAAATGGTATGCGTTGTAGTTGTGTGTTTTTCTTGCAATCATGTGCTCTCCTTTTGACTTCAGAATGTGGAAGAAGGCAGCCCGGCATGCCAGGCGGGACTGAAGGCTGGGGATCTCATCACGCACATCAACGGAGAGCCAGTACACGGGCTTGTGCACACAGAAGTCATAGAGCTCCTGCTAAAGGTACCAGCTACTTCTTTATGGCATGTTGCACATGTCAGGCAGACCAGACAGACAGACAGACAGACCAGCCAAAGTCCAACTTCTAGAGATTTTTGTGTCACTGGCACATCTACCCTTAGTCTCACTGCTGAGCCATATTCAGTCTTCCAATGTCATGGAAGAAGGTACCAAGAGTTTTCTCATTCCGTACTATGGAAAACGTTCCCCTTTACACATGTAAAGTCTTCCTAATTTAAATATCTGCTGCTGCTTCTGAATTATAAGTACTAACACCTCTGTATACTTCACATTGTAAGATCTGTTTGGTATTCAGCTATCCTAAAGGTCATTTTCTTCAAGAATATTCAAAAGGGCTTATTCTAGTAGAGCAGAAGACTGCATGGAATAAACTGGGGTCCAATCTGAACATTCAATCTGAGATTTGGGTTCCTATTTGTTTTTCTATTTGTTTTTTGCTTTGTTTGGGGGCCACCCCCAGCTATGCTCAAGGCTTGCTCCTGGAGGGATCACTCCTGTGGTGCTGAAAGACTATTCTGTGGTGCCAGGAATCAAACCCAGTTTCGCCACATGCAAGGCAAACATCCTCCTGTTGTACTATCTCTCCAACCCAGGTTGCGTTTCGTTTGAAAGAACTGTGAATATTTGCACATGTACTTTAAATTATAGAATGAGGCATTAATGATGGAGGGTTTCTAGTACTGTGAGTCCTCCCACTCTTTACAAGCAAATTACAAGTGAGTCAAGCTCATGGAGAGAGAAGTCCCAGGAGGCATGAACAAGGGAGAGAGACTCTGCATTGATCCTTCCTGTTCTGTTGAGTTACTTGCTTTGGTTTCCATCAACTCTGTAGTCTAACACTAGAGTTGCAAATGTCCATAAGGATTGAATAAGGACAGATGTGAATTTGATTTTACTTCTTTCCCTTCAAAATAAGACCATTTTGGGGTCGGAGCCATAGTACAGTGAGTTGCACACTTGATCTCCAGCGTCTCATAGCGTTCCCTGAGCACAGCTAGGAGTAATTCCTGAGCGTGAACCAAGAGTAACCTCTGAGCATCACCAGGTTTGGCCCAAAAACCAAAACCCGAAATAAGAATAGTTTATCTGTGGCCAGAAATTCAATCTTGAGTTGTTGGTGAAAGAGGGATCAGCCTGGATACTGAGAGAGCATGACAGAGATGTGGAAATGGGTGGGCCACACTCGGTATGGTACGTGCTAAACTCCCAGCTGTCTGCAGGAGCATTATGGAAGTATGAACAATGGAGCTTCTGATGTAGTCCCTGCATTTCCCTAGCATTCAGGATGTAGGTGATCCCCCCCATAAACGTACAGCTTTTGGGATGAGTCTGGGACTCCAAAATGATCACTGGGACAGCCAAGTGCCATGCAACTTTTGTTGTTTCTTTTTCAAAATATCTTATATGAATGCTCTTGATTTTTCCCTCTTCCCCTCCTTTTGTCGTATGATGGAGCTCATAGGTCAGGGTGCCTATGGAGGGCATGCAGTTGGGGTTCCCATGCCCACTTGGTTGGGGTGCACTGGAGATTTATATATTTGATTTTGGCATGGGGCATCCTAAAAGAGCTGCTGTGAGTCAGGGATTCAATTCATGGCCTTATAGCCCATTGGGAAGGTGCTATGCTTTGAGCTAGTCCTGAAACCCCCTTTTGCAATGTTGTGACTGATTCCTGGAGGGGGGAGTCTGTGCCATTCTATCAGTAGTCACTCTCTTCTGAAGGCTGGAGTTGTGCATGTCTGAAGAGAGGGCACTGAGCGGAAACATGGCACCACCGTGTGTGAGACCTTAGGTTTTCTCATCCATCTTGATCATCACCTGCGTCTAAATGGGCATGGGACAACTGTTTGAGTCAGTGTCCAGGATGTGGGAGAGGCAGCATAGCATTGCTGACTCTGAGAACACTGGGCTGTGAAAGTCCAACCTAAAATGCCCTCTGACTGTCCAGGCCAAAAGTCATGGAGAGGGGCCAGAGTGATAGTACGGTGGGTAGGGCATTTGTTTTGCATGTGGCCAACCTGGGTTTGATCCTAGGCATCCCATATCGTCCCCGAAGCACCGCCAGAAGTAATTCCTGAGTGCAGAGCCAGGAGTAGCCCCTGAGCATCGCTGGATGTGACCCAAAATGAAGAAAGAAAAAAAAAGTCATGGAGCGAGACATAATCTTGAGCCCGACAAGCTGCTCTGCAGGACCCTGCAGTGTATGCAGTGGGGTATGGGGGAATGAGCCTTGCCCCCCCCTTGCCAGTCAGAGCTCAGGGAAATTTGGGTTTTGTTTCCCCATTTCTTCTATGTAATTCATCAGCCTTTGCTGTGGGTTAGGAGCTTCCGAGGCAGGCAGAAAGTTTTGGTCGCTGTTTCAAAGGCCCCTTGAGCTCTTCTGGGCGTGCATCGTGACTGGGATAACAAGTCTGTGTCTTATAGGTGAGCTTCTCTTCGTTGTTATTCACTGCACTCTAGCTCTTCCAGATCTTGGCATCAGCAATTAATAGAAGGTCAAGGAGATTTTAAATGGTAGCATATGTTTGGCTGTCTGCATTTTTTTTAGAATAGTGTTTTGTTACCATGTAGCATAGCTCCTGCCATAGAATACCCTTATTTCTTCCATCTGCTTATAAAATCAAAAGAAATTATAGCTAGAATATATATCCGTGTATATGTATTTGAGAAATCTCTATATGCATTTGCTTATTTTGCTGAGGCATAATTTATCATTTTCATGATTTATTTTATAAAATGTTCTAATAAGACCCTAGAATGTCAAGCCTCTCTCCGCTTCAGTGGCACTTGGAAGTAGATTCCCTCTAAAAGCAGCTGGCCCGGCCTCCTGGCAAAATCAAATGATCCCGTTTATAACATTTTGCCCTCGTCTGGTTATGGAGCGTCTTGGTTCTTGGATCTAGCCGATGTGTGTCTGAAATTACGTAAACAGGCTGTAATCCGAGCTTTTGGCACCCCGGGCAGCCATGGCATGTGCTGTCACCAATCCAAGCAGAGAATCTGGCCTCTGGTCCTATAAAGGAAGCGCTCAAGAGAGGAACCAGCGTCATGAAACAAAGCGGCTACAAGGGATTTAATTATCTTCCTAGTGAACTGTGTCATCAGGCAGCTTTCTTCCAAGTTGAACCAGCGATTCTTGGACAATGTGGAGAGTGAGGCATGTCAAGAGTGGGCCTCTGTGAGCCATCCCCGGCAGAGCGCCAGGGCAGTCACTTGTGCTTGGTGGCCATGGATGCTGGTTACAGGGTGTTTCCTACTCCAAAACCATAGGGTGTCCAGAGCAAAATCGGGAAGAGCCAAGGCCCTGGCAGTGTGAATGTGTAGAAATGCCATCATATCAGATGCATGACTGTGTAGAAACACACAGACAGTTCTTTCTGATCTTTCTGGTCACACACATCGTGTTTTCCGTGTTCTGTGGTTTTACCTGTGCTCGCACTAACCCTCACAGCATCCAAGTGCTTGCACTGTAGAAGCAGCATTGTTCATGCCCAGGGAAACTGAGTCCCGAGTCTCTCAGCATCCAGCAGCACCGGGGAATCCCAGCCCCACAGGGCATTTCCAAGCAACTTCCCAGGGGGTCTGCAAATCAGTGGAAATGTGCAGTTCCTTCTGCCACAAACCATCCTGGCAGGAGGCATTCACTACCTTCCCAGAGCTCAGTCCTTCCAGAAAAGCTCAGGGGAAGCAGAGGCCTGGCTCGTCCCCTGTTAATGGGGGAAGGGGACATTTGGACATTTGGGTGGGCCTCTACCCTGGCATCGCTCAGAAAACCTGCAGATTTCCCCAGATGGGCAGTGATTCAATGGAGAGCGGTGGCCAGGGGTTCTGCCAGTGGCAAACAGATGATCAATCGGCCAGAGTTTGTAGGACAGATGATGTTCCACCGGTATGGGCATAGAGGGAGAGAAAGTCATGGGGTTCTGCAAGGAAGTGGATGATGCTGGAGATTCATCAGACACAGGAGCTTTGGCAAGGCAGCCAGGCACAGGAGGTCCCGGTACTAAGGGTGCAAAAGACAGGTGGTGGGGCTGCTAGAAAGTGCAGAGCAGGACGGGCCAGATCATGTAACCAGTGCATGGGAGAATCCTGTTCTCCGAGTGCCTTTCGCTCTAAAGGAAAGCAGGGAACATTCTAGCTCGGTGATACCCTGAGGCTCGCTGCGAGTGATCCCAGGGAGCCCGATTGAGAGAAGAGAGCGAGAGCCCGACTTCTGCTCTTGTGTTCAGTTCAGCTTAAAATAATTTCCCTCCCACCGTGCACTAATCACACAGATAGCTTAGAGAGCAAGTGAGCTAATTGAACATTGAACAGTCTGTTGGCCCTGTTATTTTTCTTTGGTCCTTGTTATTTCTGCACCAGTGCTGTTCTCTCTCTCTCTCTCTCTCTCTCTCTCTCTCTCTCTCTCTCTCTCTCTCTCTCTCTGTCTCCCCCCTCTGTCTCCCTCTCTGTCCCTCTCCATCTCTCACCCTCTCCCTCTCTCTCCATCTCGGTCCCTTTCTCTCCCTCTCCCACTCCCTCTCTCCCTCTCTTTCCCCTTATCTCTCCCCCACTCTCTCCCTCTCTTCTTCTCTCACCCCCCTCCTTCTCCTCCTCTCTCCTCCCTCTTTCTTTCTCTCGCTCTCTCTCACTCTTGCTCCCTCTCGCTCCCTCTCACTCTCCTCGCTCTCCTCTCTCCTTTCTCTCTCTGCAGTGCTCAGTGTTACTGAAGTGACCACCAGGTGGCAGGCTTCTCAATTCTTAGCCTAGTCCCTTGAAAGCTGCTTTTCTAGTCATCTGCCATTTTCATACTGTTTTCAACCAGACATTTGCACTCCACATCCTTTGTTTTATATTTATCCCTAGTGAAGTTATCTCTTGGGTACGTGCATATATCAAGTGGATAATCATCTGGACTAGCCATATCGTGTATAGGAGCAAGAAGGGTAAAGCCGGATTTGTAAGGGAAGGGCTGTTGGATCAGAACCGAATGATGCACCCTGATTTACAAGCACTGCTCAAAAACTGTTCCCCGTGGGGAAATGGTCTGCATGGATGTCACGTTTCCTATAGGCAGTGTTTATGGCATTTTCATATCTCCAGAATTTCTTCTTGACAGTCAGGTGCCTTGGTTTTCACCCCTGGCCATCTGGGGCCTGGTTTCCTTACCAGCAGGCATCCTGGAGTATCCAGGGACCGCCTTGCCCACAGACACTGGGCCTTGAAGGGATGGGGCAGAAGGGACCCTTCATCCTTAGAAGAGAAGAATCTCGGTGTCTCTTAACCTGTGTACCGGCTGCAGGATCACCATCGCTTCTCACTGCATGGGCATGAGTTGGGGAAAGGAGATGCAGAAGGACCCATAGGGTTTGGATATGAAAGTAAAGTCAGAGCGCCTTGGTGGGAAGGGCCCGGATCACCCAAAGGTTCTTTGCAAAGGTTGGACAGCATGGGCGGCTTCCATGGAGAGTGACACAGCAGATCAGACGTGAGCTCGGAATGGGTCAGGTTTGGCCCATGGGAAATGAGTCGATAATGATGATGATGATGATGACGACGACGACGATGATGATGATGATGATGATGATGATGATGATGATGATGGGACTGCCCTGGGCCCACTTGGTTTGTGAGTGTGGAAGGGACATGGAGAGAGTGTCCGGGAAAGGGGAGTCCAGTCGCCTACGCTGCCCTTTTGCTGTGCCAAGGCAAGCCACAGTGGCACCCAGGCATTGTACAGTATCCAGGCATTGTACATTGTACATTCACCTTTCCCCGCATGGTTGGCTTACTGTATGTACACACAGTTCTGTTTACACAACCCACAGACCACCCACTACCACTCATAGATAAAGGTTCCTTTTTAAAAGTTAACATAGAACATTTAGAACATAGAATGTTTTCTTTCATGTCATTCCCATTTCCCCCAAATTGGTTCTTGCTATTATTACATTAGGTATGGGATTAATCAGTCATAACGTACTAAGCCTTTCTGATTCTAAGTTGGATGTCAGACGTGAACAAATCTATCACTAAAGAAATATGATTGGGGGGCCGGAGCAGTGGCATAGTGGGAAGGGCATTTGCCTTGCACATGGCCGACTCAAGTTCAATCCCCGGCATCTCATTTGGTCCCTCAAGCACCACCAGGAGTAATTCCTGAGTTACTATAGTAACTAATTCACAACTATATACATATATAGTTATGTATATATATACAAGTCCAAAAAGATGATCCACGCTTGAGGGTTTGCATGTGGCTGATCATGCTTCGATCCCCATCACCACTTGGCAACAAATGCATGTGCTGCTGGCGGCAGTGTGAACTTTCTGGAAGACTTTGTATAGGTACATCCACAAAGTAGGTGGTGCCTTTGAAATGCTGAGGTGGATGCTGGATTCAGTGTTTGAAATCCAACTACACATGCTAATGACACAGATTAGCATAGTGATTTACAGCTAGAGACATTCATTTTAATGCTGATGAGAATGAAAACAGAAAACAATAGCTATAGGAAATACTTGGAGATGTTTTGATTCACCTATTTGATGGACTGCATTATACAGCCCATAAAAATCGTGTTCTGAAGGAATATTTAATATGAAGGGAAAGCTTTTCAATGTTATAGGATGTGAAATGAACAAATGTGTTTCCACCTATACCTATAAATATAATAAGATTACAATTATTTATGAAGTCTATCTATGTGCACATTTCTCCACGGAAAACAGCAACAGTGAGGAATACACTGAATTAATACCCATGTTAGCAGGATGTGTGACTTCCGGATGACTTGTTTTTGTTTTTTTTTTATTTACATCTTCCTAGTCTCATTTTATTCTGGTCTGTGTGATTTCCCACGCTGGGAATGGAAAGTGATGGAAAGTGGAAGCTGACTTTCCAGCTGTGGTCCCTGTTCGTCCAGACCTCCCCCAGGATCTCTGTCACCTCCAGGTCCCTCAGTGTCCCCAGGCTCCACTTCTGGTTACTCAGGGTTGTGTGTGACTTTGACAACACATGGTCCTCACGAGAGGAGGACAAAATTCAAAAAGAAGAGGCCATTGATACCAGAAAGTGGGTGATGTGTCTGGCCCCTGCCCTGGGCACCCTTCAACTAACTTCATACTCTGCTCAGGTCCTACTCAGGGTGCGCCTGGCACCCACTGTCCCTGAACTGAAGGGCATCCTCACCACATGTGACAGGCTCGGCAGGCCCTTTCAGGGTCACCACCAGCAGCTACCCAAGTCATAAAAGGAAGGTTTTGTGGTGAGAGGAAAAGAACCTTTTGAACTGATTTATAAAGTTAGAGTCTCAAAAATAAAAAGTTAGAGTCTCACCAAAAATAAGAATGGGGCCAGAGAGATGGTAGAATGGATACATACTTGTCCTGCATCCAGTCAATCCTTGGCATAACCCCATATGGTCCCCAGAGCCCTGACAGTAGTAAATTCTGACTACTATCAGATCTGGCCCCCAAATCAGATTTTAAAAAAAACATTAAAACCTTCGGATCAGAGAGCTAGAACAAGGATTAAGGATCATATCTTACACACAACTAACCCCAGTTTGATTCCCAGCACCACATCTGGTCACCTCCAGGGTGATCCTTGAGTGCAGAGTTAGAAGTAAGCTCTGAGCACCACCTGATATGGTCCCACCCCCAACAACAATAACAAAACTCTTCCCAAATAATTAAAAAAAATTTAATCTCTTTCAGTTTGTCTACTCTCCCGTTCTTAAATCAAAGGAATAATGACACAAAAGGAGGTAGAAAAACAAATTAACTGCAAGCCAAGAGCCCTGACACCTTTACGCTTTATGCGTACAAGAAAGATGACTTTCTTACCTTCACATGTGTCACCCTGGGTGCTATGAAGGCGTTTGAACTCTCATTTAACCCTCAAGAAGTCCCAAGGAATGACTGGGTCTCTGTGGCCACCCTCCATTGCATTAGCAGCTGGGGTGGAGGGAGAAGCTCAGAGCTAAAAGCCCGAGCTGGGATTTGAGCCTAGAACTTACCCTTGGGTGGAAGTATCTTGCTTCGCCTGCACTTATTTCTGTTCCGTCAGGACTCCTGCTGCAGGGCAGGTTCCCAGTGCGTAGGGTCCTTTGTATCTCTGTCTGGGTCTCTCCTATTTCTGTTCTGATCTTGTTTCATTTTGTCAGCTCCCTTTTTTTCTTTTAATTTTATTTTCATAAGATAGTTCACGTAAACCGATTACATTCAATATTTCAACACCAATCCCACCACCATTACACCTTCCCCCCATCATCACACCTTCCCATCACCTTTATTTCAAATTTTCCCACCACTGTTCAAGCCTGCCAGCCACAGGCAGATTCTAGATAATTTATTTTCTGTTGCTTATTGTGAATATCATGAGAAGGCCTCGCGGTCCTGGAAATTAAAATATGTAAATAATTGGGCTCCAGAAACATCTCTGTAGGGAGCGAATCCATTTTGAGATTCATTTGTGAGTCTCTGGATCAAGGCCAATGGCCCACTTAAATATGGTCCAGAGGCAGTTCGTGGGTGTGACAGCCAGGACTCTGAAGGGGCAGACAGACGGGAAGGGACAAACCATCTCAGCTGCCATATGGCCTGGCGTCTTCAGACCCTGTTTCCACATACCTGGATTTTTCTTCTGACAGTTTGTGGCCACTGGGGTTTTATCTGGAATGGGCCAAGAGGGGCCGCCCGCTTCCTCTGAGGAGCCCTGGTGAAATCCACTACACAGGGGGTCCGGAGAGATCTCTGGCGAGCTGCTGTCTTCTGGGATTCAAGATGTTGTGTCTCTTTGTCAGCTCCCTTTCATACTGCCTGTTTGCTCTTGGGTTCTAACAGAGTGGGAACAAGGTGTCCATCACGACCACCCCATTTGAAAACACATCCATCAAAACGGGACCAGCCAGGAGAAACAGCTATAAAAGCAGGATGGTGCGACGGAGCAAGAAATCGAAGAAGAAAGAAAGTCTGGAGAGGTAAGTGAAGGCAGTGTTTCATGGTGCATACCCAGGTTGGAAGAAGTCCACTCCTCCAGTAATAGAAATGCTTTCACAGGAAAAGAGCCATTTGCTTGAGAATCCTAAGCAATGGTGCGCACATTTATACATTAAACTCTTGTTCATGCTAGCATTGTTTTTCATAGCAAAAGAATTGGCATCGTTGTCGGATTTCGCTGGCATTTTCCCAGGAGCTGGCATCTCTCCCTGTGTGCCGTGAGAAAAGCTCACTAACACCACACACACACACACACACACACACACACACACACACACAGATACACACACATTATATATATATGTTTACGTTTTTGGTCACACCTTGTGATGCTCAGAAATTACTCCTGGCTCTGCACTCGGGAATTCAGAAATTACTCCTGGTGCTGCTCAGGGGACTGTATGGGATGCTGGAGATAGAACGGGGGTCAGCTATGTGAAGGCAAACACTCTACCCACTATTCTATCACTCTGGCCTGAAGCTCACTACATTTGAAACTCTTTATTCCATTGCAGTTGAGTTGCATTTTGAGGAACTGGACCTTGAGAGAGATTTAACTGGCAATCTCTGTTCCATGATGTCCTTTTCATCGCCTAAACACAAACAGTTGGTGTATTTGATTTAGATCTTCTGAAGTCATTTTTTTAAAGGTATCCTAATAAGATAAAATGGTTTTGTTTACCGACTAAAAATCTGGCTTGATTCTTTATATGTGTTCTGCATCCTGGTAAACTCTGGGATCATTTTTCGGTCTCTGCAGATGCTGGCAGTATGTCTCTGTCTTGCCTCCAGGAGGGCCATTACTTGCCAGACAGCTACCTGGAGGACACCCTGCATGAGGTCTTAGCATCCCTCCTGAACCCACTTAGATGCTTAGATGCAGTGCTTCTGATCCTATTCAAAAGAAGTTTTGATAGAAGCATAAAATTAAATCAGCCAATAAAATTGAATGCTTACTGACTCTATAAAAGATGTCAGGAAGGAATAAGTGTTATATTTTTGCATGGCCCAGCTGTGAACACTATTTACAATGTAAAATGAAACAGCCTTTTTCTCATCAAATTTTTTCATTCAGCTCTATTGGAAGAAAGAGAAAATGGGAAGTCTTTTTGGTGAGAAGGTGAAAAAAGTTTAATACTCTGTGGTAGTACATTAAACAGATAAGTTGCAAAACTGCAAACTTAAAAATATAGCAACATTGGGCCAGAGAAATAGAACAGGAGTTGGAGAATTTGCCTTATAAGCAGCCAACCCTGGTTAAAACCCCAACACAGCATACGGTTTCCTGAGCTGTCCAGGAGACCATATGAGCTATACCTGAACACATAGCTGGGTGTGGCCCAAACCTCCACCACAGCCACCAGAAAAAATTATGTGCACATAATTTGTCAATATGCAGCTAAATGATAAAAGAAATGACTAAGAAAATAGGAAGCTTCTCTGCAAAATGTGCAGAAAGCAGAATAGGGGATCTCTTCATTATCTGCTTATAAAACTCTTTGACTCCTCAGGGCCGGAAAGATCGCCCAGCAGCTAAGTTGCTTGCCTTGCATGTAGCCAACATCAGTCTGATTTCAGGCATTCCGTATTGTCCCTTGAACCCCACCAGAAGAGACTTCTAAGTGCTGAGTTAGGAGGAAGCCCTGAAACACAGCAGGATGTTGCCCTCCCAAAAACCAGCAACCACCACCACCAACAACAACAACAACAAAACCAGCACTAGTGTTTAACTTTTCAACCTAACTTCATTTTTACCTAGATTAATAGCAGCGCACATGCAGAGATCTTTGATTTTCTGCTGTGCTTCATGTTTCTGCTCGTCCCTCCCAGACACAAGCTTCAAGGGTAGCAGCATTTGTTTCAAGACGGTGCCTGCTCTCAGCTGGGGCAGAACCTCCGTGGCCACCTGCACTTGGAACCATCTGCAGCTGCGCCTTCTGCTTTCCGATGTGCTCACTGAACTCTAAATACACATTTGCTTCTCTTGCTGGGGCCTGCACCCTGCCGATAGGCTAAGCTTCAGTTCACCTTTCTCGAGTTTGCTATGTAAATGCACAGCCTCCACTGTCATTAGGAATATTTCAGAGCCGTAATAGAATAAGCACAGCAGACAGAGTCGTGGAGATAAATCCTTCGCCCTGTGTATCACGGTTTTAGAATTCTCTATCTGAGATGTCGATTTTTTTCCTTCTTGAGTTCTTCTGTATTTTCATTAAATGGTGTCTAGAGATTCGAGGGAACACACTCGGGAACTCTCGGACAGGGAGCACCTTCATAAACCTGACAGCTGCACAAATGCACTGCATGTTGTTTCATTTATTTCCTTTGCCTCGTCCTTGAACATGCTTGGAGTAAAGACATCTCCTTTGCACACCATCAAAGACTTAGCACTGTAGCACTGTCCTCCCGTTGTTCATCGATTTGCTCGATTGGGCACCAGTAATGTCGCACAACAAATTGGGAGACTTGTTGTTACTGTGTTTAGAATGTCAAATGTGTCACAAATAGCTTGCCAGGCTTTGCCATGCAGGCGAGATACTCTTGGTAGCTTGCCAGGCTCTCTGAGAGGGGCGGAGGAATCGAACCCAGGTCAGCCGCGTGCAAGGCAAATGCCCTACCCACTGTGCTATTGTTCCAGCCCCTCAAAGACTTCAGTCAGACAAAACGCTTGACTTATTTTTCATTCTTGTTGTGGCAGAGGAGCCAAACCTGGTGGTCTCTGTGGTGGGTTGGTGTCCAGGCCGCTGGACACGCACTTGACTCTCAGAGCACTCTCATGATAAAGTGGGATCCCAGGGGCCATAACCATAGCTCTCTGAGCTGCAGCCCAGTTTCAACAACCCTCCCCCCCCCCCGCCCCCGCACCACATGGTCCCTCAAGCACCACCAGGATTGACCTCTAAACAAAGAGCTAGGAATAGCCCTGGAGCACCACTAGATGTGGCCCTCCCCCCAAATACTTATTAATTAAAAATCAGTCCATTTGAGGCCTGGAGCAATAGCACAGTTGGTAGGATGTTTGCCTTGCAAGTGGCTGACCCGGGTTTGATTCCCAGCATCCTATATGGTCCCCTGAGCACCACCAGAGGTAAGTCCTGAGTGCAGAACGAGGAGTAACCCCTGTGCATCACCGGGTGTGACCCTCCCCCAAAAAAAGCTTAAGAAAACTGTGTGTCCCTGAGAGGCTCTGCATACTAGGCGCTGCTCCCAAACACTGCGTCTCATCACCTCCTTCTCTTCCCTAGGAGGAGGTCTCTCTTCAAGAAACTCGCCAAGCAGCCTTCTCCTTTACTGCACACCAGCCGCAGTTTCTCCTGCTTGAACCGGTCCCTGTCCTCAGGGGAGAGCCTCCCAGGCTCCCCGACCCACAGCCTGTCACCCCGATCCCCAACGCCCAGCTACCGCTCCACGCCCGACTTCCCATCCGGTGAGTGCTGAGAGGACATCAGAGCAGAGGCTGGCGAGTGTGGGGCCCCTCCTCTCACATGGAATATGGCTGGGGCTGGGGAAGGGGCATCAGAGGGAGCCCCCAAGGTTTTCTCCAAGGTTGACCCTAAGTCCTGATGAGACAGAACCGTGATTCCTTCCAGAGTTGCCTGCATCCCAACTTGGGGCTTGTAATAACCTTCTGCTTTATGGGGTTCCCTTGTCTCTTTTCTCTCTCTTACCCTTCTCATATTTTCTAAGTAAACTATTTTACCATGGGGGCCAAAGAGATAGTATCGTAGGGAGAGCACTTGCCTCGCAAGTGGCTGTCCCAGGTTCAGTCCCACACACTCCATTTGGTCTTACCAGCCCGGCAAGGCATGATCCCTGAGTGTCGAGCCAGGAGTAAGCCCTGAGCATTGCTGGGCATAGCCCCCTAACTAAATAATGATAATAATAATAATCGTTGTATCACTGTCATCCCGTTGTTCATCACTTTCCTCGAGCAGGCACCAGCAACGTCTCCATTCATCCGTAGCCCTGAGATTTTAGCAAGTGCCACATTGGAGGCTCTTTCAGGGTCAGGAGAATGAAACCCATCATTGTTACTGGGTTTTGGCATATCAAATACACCACGGGGAGCTTGCCAGACTCTGCCATGTAGGCAGGATACTCTCGGTAGCCTGCCGGGTTCTCCAAGAGTGAGAGCTAGACAGTAAGAGCTTGGTTTTATAGTCTGGATCTTGGCCGTTGATGGGATTACATGGCGTGAGGGAGGCGGGATGGGGGGAGGGGCAGTTGGTGGGTGTAACTGCCTAGCTACTGGAAGATGGGGGATCTGGATGGAGGAGGCCCAGTCCCTATCCAACCAGGTTGGAGATCCCAGCTCTGGGTCCCACACACCTGGGTTCCTCTGCCGGTTCCTTCATGCCTGAGGTTCGAACAAGCATGTGGAGAGTGGTCTTAAGCATGGTGGTGGCTGGGTTCCGGAGGTCTTCAGCTGCCCGGGCTCTGCTCGGGGCAGGGAGAGAAACTCAGCCCTCCCCACTCCAAGGGGCCCTGGTGAGGACTGCCAGGCACAGGGTCAGGAGACTCTGCGTTGATCTCTTCCGCGAGCTTGGTTTTATAATAAGGCCATGCACTGGCTTAGACTTTGGTGGAGGCACTTATCTGGATGTAGTTGTCCTGTAGTTAGATGCCAAGTTAGATGCTTTTCTGATCTTTGCCTGACTTCACCTAAAGTCGTTCATCTGGAAGAGGGACAGAGAAGGGAACTGACCCCCGATGCTGACTGCACTTCTGTTTCCTCTCCGTAGGTACCAACTCCTCCCAGAGCAGCTCCCCGAGCTCCAGTGCCCCCAACTCCCCTGCAGGCTCAGGACACATCCGGCCCAGCACCCTGCACGGCCTGGCCCCCAAGCTCAGTGGACAGCGGTACCGCTCGGGCCGGCGCAAGTCCGCCGGCAGCATCCCGCTCTCCCCGCTGGCCCGCACACCCTCGCCCACCCCGCAGCCCACCTCCCCGCAGCGGTCCCCCTCCCCGCTGCTGGGACACTCACTGGGCAACACCAAGATGACCCAGGCCTTCCCGAGCAAGATGCACTCCCCGCCCACCATCGTCCGCCACATCGTGCGGCCCAAGAGCGCCGAACCGCCGCGCTCCCCGCTGCTCAAGCGCGTGCAGTCCGAGGAGAAGCTCTCGCCCGCCTATGGGGGCGACAAGAAGCACCTGTGCGCCCGCAAGCACAGCCTGGAGGTGACGCAGGAGGAGGTGCCGCGGGAGCAGCTGCCCCGGGAGGCCGCGGTGGCCACCCTGGAGGAGGTGGTGTGCGAGGCGCCCTCGCTGAGCCGCGCTCGGCCAGTGGAGCAGGGCTGCCTCAAGCGCCCCGCCGCGCGCAAGCTGGGCCGCCAGGAGTCCACCGACGACCCGGACCGCGAGAAGCTCAAGGGCAAGGGGGTGGCCAGGAAACCCGAGGGTCTCCCGGACAGACTGGACTCGCAGCAGCCCAAAGCCCACAGTGCGGGCAGTGACCCTGAGAACCTCCCGCCCTTCCGGCTGGAAGACCGAGAGAAGGGGCATGGGAAGGCCCCTGAGAGGCCGCGCCCTTTCGAGAACAAGCCCACCATGCAGGAGCCCGCGGGCCCAGGCAGCCTGCTGAAGGACGCCCTGCACAAGCAGGCCAGCGCGCGGGCCAGCGAAGCGGGTGCTGGGGACAGGGCAGCACCCCCCGAGTCCGGCCAAGCCACCAGCGACCTCAAGCGAGCCTCCGTGCCCGGGCCCCTCGGGGACAGCCTCTGCCCGGCCGCCAACAGGGCCAGCCAGGGGAAGGCGGGGGATGCCCCCGAGAAGGGCCCCCAGGCCAAGGAGTGTCCCCGCTGTGAGAAGCTCGACAGCCGGCTGGCCAGCCTGGATTACCTGCGAAAGATGATGACCCTGGAGGACAAAGAGGACAGCCTGTGCCCTGGACTCAAGCCCAAGGTGGCATGCGGCACCCACGAGGGCCTGTCTGGGAGCCCCGGCCGCGCGGCCGGGACACAGCAAGAGGCCCTGACCGCTCCTGAGGGCCGAGCCTTCGTGGCCACGGCTCACGGGGCCCAGGTGGGTGCCGTCTCCTTTGTCCCCCTGAAGACCCTGAGCAGTCGGGTAGACGGTGGAGCTGAGAAGCCAGGCCTGGCACCCCCCGAGTCACCCGTCCGCAAAAGCCCCTCTGAGTACAAGCTGGAAGGAAGGTCGGTATCATGCCTGAAGCCCATCGAGGGCACACTAGACATCGCCCTTCTGTCGGGGCCCCAGAGCTGCAAGGCCGAGCTGTCTTCCCCAGAGCCTGCCCAGAGCCCCTGCCCAGGCAGTGACCCTGGCCCCCTGGGGCCCCCCACCCTGCCCAGCAGTGGGGCCAAGAAGTGCGAACCCACAGGCCAGAGGGAGCCGCCCGCCGCCAGCTTTAAGGTGACTAAATCCTACCTACTGGAGTCCCGCTTTCCGCCCCCTAGCCGCAGCCTCCACACGGCCCCAGCGGCTGCCCTGCCCGAGGCCGAGCTGCGGCGGGACAGGAGGGTCCCCCAGGCTGCCCGGAGCACCACTCCCCTCGCCGAGAACCCTGCCCCACGCAGAGAGGGAGGCTCTGACGCCAAGCTCCTGTCCTTCCCCGGGCAGAACCTGCACAGCACCTCAGAGCTAGCTAGGCCCCGGGGCTCACTGCCCCCCGCAGGGGCAGCCGTGAAGGAGAAGGGCAGCCCGAGAGACTCCTCCGAAAGAGGCTTGTCCATCCCCCGGAATGAGGGCCCTGTCCTGAGAGCCGATGGCCACCGAGACATCTCCGCAGACGCGTGTCCTCCAGATACCACCCGAGCCAGTGACAGCTCCAGAAACCTCCTCTCGGTGAGCCGGGCTCACCCCCCCGAGCCCCCCACACAGCGTCAGGTCTTGGAAAAGGCCTGCGGGCCTGGAGGGAAAGGACACCTCAAGGAGGGCCGCAGCGAAGATTCCAGGCCCCTGGCCAGGCAGGATCCAGCGGGAACCCCTGGGGAACGCGAGCTGGGCAAGGGCAGAAGCAGCCTGGACCCCAGACTGGATGCCCCAGGCCCTGCTGGTCGCTCCCCTCAGGGCCCGGTGCCGGGAGCAGGGAAGGGTGAGAAGCTCACCAGCATCTCCTCGCAGAAAGACGGTGCCAAGGAGCCCGAGAAGAAAGAGCAGCCGTTCCCAAAGCCGCTCAGCAGCAGCTCTCAGCCGCCACCCACCGTCACCAAAGAACCCCCTGGCCCGGCGGCGCGGCCACCCTGCAGCGCCCCGAGTCTGGCCGCCTCCAGCAGGGAGCCAAGCAGCAGGCCCCGCACTGCAGAGCCTAGCCCGAGCCCCCTCGACCCGCCCAGGCCCACGGCCATGCACCGCGAAAGCAGTGGCCACAAGCCTCAGCCCAGCCCTGATGCAGCAACCCCAAAGTTGAAGCACCCAGACAGGCCCATCTCCTCCCAGAAGCTGAGTGTGGGGGCCACGCCGGCGGGTAGGGAGCCTGGCACCCCGGGCCTCGAGGACAAGGGCAGCAGTCAGGGGGTGCAGGATGCCTCTGCCAGCCCAGCCTCTCAGAAAGCAGCCAGCAGTGCCCCTGGCCAGGGCGGATTCGGGTCATCGTCCCTTGCACAGCTCGCTGAGGGGGCTCCCCCGGACGCCAAGCTCAAACCCACAGCAGGTGGGCGCCCACTGGAGGTGCTGGAGAAACACCTGCCAAAGCCAGGACACCCAGTGGGGACTGAGTCCCCAGACCCTAAGGTCCCAGTTGCGGGTGAGAAGCAAACCTTGTCTCCAAAGCACCCCAAACCAGCCACTGTGAAAGATTGCACCCCTCTGTACAGACAGATGGACAGGAACCCCAGCCCCCAGACCGCTGCCACCGCAGACCGGAAATCTGAAGGGAAGAAAGGCACAGAAGCACTTTATGTCCTGGTCGAGGGCGGGAGGCCGGAGGCCAGCCCTTCCCAGGCACATGGTGAAGCCAGGCTGCCTGGTGTGGAGAGGCCATCGGCGGCTGGGCCCAAGGGTGTCCTGGAGGCCAGAGGGAAAGGCCTTGGGCCCCAGAAGGCCCTGACTGAGGCCGCCAAGCCTGGCAGCCTGAAACGGTCGCCCTCGGCCACTGGGCAGACTTCCTTCCGGTCTGCTGCCCTGCCTGAGAAGTCTCTGAGCTGCTCCTCTAGCTTTGGCGAAGCCAGAGCCAGTGCGGGGGAGGCCCCCTTGGCCAGCAGTGACCCCTCATCTGCCAAGGCCCAATGGGCCGAGGGTTCCAGCCCTAGGGACCCAAGGAAGTCTCTGCCTGGGGTCGACAGCAGAACCCAGATGACCAAGAGTGACTCTTTGCCGTCCTTCCGGAGCTCCCCGCTCTCCCTGGAGCCGACCCAGTGCACCTCTGCAGGGGCGGGGGGAGCCGGCCACCGGGACCGGGCCCTGTCAGTCACTGTCCCCCCAGGAGATACCAAAGGGAAGGACACAGCTTCGGCCCAGTCACTGCAGTCGAGAAAGCAGAGCGCGGGCCGAGAGGCAGCCAAGCCAGGCCCGGCACACACGCCCGCCACCGACCGTCCCTTCTCCCTTTCTTCCGAAAAGGACTTTGTGGTGCGACAGAGACGGGGGAAAGACAGCCTACGGAGCAGCCCTCACAAGAAGGCCTCCTCGTAACGCAGCAGGCCCCAGGAGGGCCGGGGGAGCCCCCTCCACCCACGCCCTTGAATGTGTAACTGTCTTCACTACCTGTTGAAACCAGCACTGTGGGTGCACAGTCCACCAGGCCAAGCCCGAGCGGGCGGGGGAGGGGACGAAGGACGGAGGCAAAGAGGATGAGGAATGAGAGAGAGGGCCTTCTTCCAGTGCCTCTCTGGCTGTACCTGGTAAACTGTTACCAGAGAGTGTGTGTACCAAGAAAAAAGGAGGGGAAAGAGGAGAAGACCCACAAGATCCCTTGACAGTTGAAGGTTGTTGAGGAGAAAGATTTCCTCTGTACATATCTAGCAATGTGTTTGGTTTGGGATATAGAGTGTAAACTTTGCTGCTGATTGAGTTGTTTACTGTCTCTCCTTTTCTTTCCCCCTTTTTTAAAAAAAGACTTTTTGCTTGACCACTTATCCTAGTAATGAAGTGAGAAGGTCAACGGGGTGTGTGGAAGGTAGAGACACACCCGCCTTTCTGTGTGAACACATCCACCCACATGTTTTGGTCTGCATGTGGTTCCAGAGACTGTTTCAAGGCTCCGTTTTTTTGTTTGTTTGTTTGTTTTTGTTTTTTAACCGGTTGAAACATTCTAAGTAGAGTTTAAGAGATGAAAGAAAGCCCTACCTAGGGTGGACAGTGAGTTTTAATTGTGTATTTATAACCAGACATTATGATAGCACAGTGTCAGGCCGCCTATGTTTTCAGATGAAAAGCAAGAGCTCTTCTGCTTGCTGCATGGAGAAACCACCTCCATTAGGCAGGGCTTGAGCAGATGGCATAGCCCACTTGTGTCCCGGTCATCCTAGTGGACATCTCAGTCCAGGGTTCCAGCTGTCTGTCAGACCAGCTGTCCTTGTCTGTGGGGTATCTGTCAGTCCTCACCTTGCGTCATGGGTTGAGCAGGGGTTGGGTTCCCAACAAGGTCAACTTTATTTCTGTTTTCTCCTTTTTCCCTTCTGTTTTTTGCTCTTACACTCGGGCCTTGATGCTCTGAACCGCTCCTCCAAGAAGCACACGTCTCCTGGTATAGTCCTGCACCAGCTTTGCTTCTGAACAAAAACAGAAAAATTGCTGGTCACACACAAATCCGCTAGTACTTAGGTTGAGTAATGAGCATTAGGCATTAGAAGAGGCTTTACGTTTTTGGTTTTTTTTGGGTTTTTTTCCCCGAAGAAAAGATGGGGGAGTGGATTTTTGGCATCATAGCATATATATTTAGGAATAATCAGGACATCAGATACATTTTAATACATAGCTGGGGCCTTATGTTGTAGATGAAGCTTGCTGTTTTTAGCAAGTTCCTGGGTTTCACATTCATTTCGGATGCATTGAGTAGCTCCATACTTTTCATGACATGATCTCTTTATTTGTATGCAAAAATTTTTACTGTATTAATAAAGAGCAGCATTTTTGTACAAAAAAAAAAGACTTGTTGGAGCTATTTGGTGCTTGAATGTGACTGTCCTTTTTACTTTTGCTAAGCCTTATTTAAACTTTGTATACCATAGACTATGTAGACTTTGTCAGATCATTTTAGTGCTGGGGAGGGAGGGGGTCTTTGTTTTTACATTGCAGTTTTTCTGGTGACTTGTTTTGTACTATAAGATGGCACTCACTGAAATAAGTACTAAGGCACTAAGAGAAAAAAATACGCACAGATAAGTATAAGATGCTTGGGATCCATAGAAGAATTTTTTGTTCATTTGTAGAGGAAAAAAATGACCAGTAAATATTAATCCCACACCCAAACCCCCTCAGGGATGACTTAGTATTTAGGCTATAAAATTATTCATCCAAGCACAGCATCATCTTGGAGCCCTGTGGATTGTAAATCATTTAACGTGGCTGTAAACTCGGCTCCAGAAACAAAGGCATAACTTAACCAAATGCTTGGTTGTCCTTTATTGTAAAATGAGTTGGCAGTAGCAAAAAAATAAAAAGCAAGTCTCCTCTTTGACCCCCAACATTTCTTTCCCTGTGTAGTATTAGCCATCCCCCCCACCCTACTCATCACTGTGTTGTGAAATGGTAGAAGAAATAAATCTTTTACAAGGACTTAAAGTGAGTTTCAAAAGTGGTCTCAACCATTATAATTCTATCTGTGTTGAACAGTTGTCATAACCCAGTCCGTCTGTATGCAGGCGTTGACACAGGACTTTTGGGGAGGTAGTTCATGGTTTACAGCCTTTGCTTTTTAACTGTCCAGTTTTCCTTTAAAGCACAACTAGCTGCTTGTTTACAGATGATATTTTTATGTATATTTTGTACAGTGTATTATCATTTTTTTCGCCAAATACGTTTTGCATTCTGGATGAATAAAGAGTACCTAAGGTTGCATTCATGTAATACTTGTTCGTTGTTGTAAACCTCTCCAGTCAGCTGGTAGAAATTCTCCTGTGTTCTCTTTGGTCAGTCTCCTGTGATTGTAAGACGTGCTTCTCCGTAGTAGTCCCAGCTGTAGACTTACCAGCTTAAACGTTCGTTAGGATCTGTGCAATAAAGTGTTTGCAGTCTTATTTTCTCTAAGAAATTCCCTATGGATGTCATAATTGTTGTATATTGAACAAATATTTATACTTATGCAGTTGCATAACATTGAAATAAAAATTTAGCATGAAAAGTTAACGACTAGTAAGTTTTTTCCCCCATATGCAGACACCCCCTAAGATGTGACTGAATATATTTCTGTATCAGGGAAAGTGTGGGGGTTAGAGGCTATTATTAAACTTAGACAAAACAACATGGTCATCCTTTGGAATTGTCTTCCAGTAACTCCTTCCGATATATTTTAGTTTGTTTGGGGGCCACACCCACACCTGGCAGTACTCAGGACTTATTCTTGGTCCTGTGTTCAGGGATCACTCCTAGTGGGCTCCGGGGTCCATATGTGGTGCCAGATGCTGAACTTTGTTTGGCTGCATGCAAGGCGAGTTCCCTACCCAGTGTACTACTGCTCTGCCCCCTCCTCCCTGTTTCTATCTCCCTTCCTTGGCTTCTTCCATACCTCCTCCGTGAGATCACCTCCCCCGCTCCTCCCTGTAATCCCAAACCTTGTCCCATTAGTTTATCATTATGTTCACTTCACCCTAGTTTCCTTTTTTTTTTCTAAAAAAAAAGGGATGGGTACTCGATCATTGTATAACTGAAACCCAAGCACAAAAATGTGTAAGTCTACAACTGTACCTCATGGTGTTTCACTGATAAAAGTTAAAAAAAAATTCTTAGATATAATAAAAAATGTTACTGATAAAATTTTAAAAAAAGTATGCCCTGTGTTACTCACTTTTTATTAAATTACCATGAGATACACAGCTACAAAGTTGTTCGTGACTGGGTTTCAGTCACACAATGTTCCAACACTGGTTCCTTCAACATAGTACATTTTCCACCACCAGTGTCCTCAGTTTCCCTCCTGCCACCCCCCATCCCTAGTTGGCCTATGTGGCAGGCACAATTCTTCTTGCTCTCTTGCTCTCTTTTTCTTTTTGGGCATTATGTTGTGCAATATAAATACTAAATGTTTATCATGTATATCCCTTTTATCTACTCTCAGCATTTCCAGCTATCAAGGGTTTCTTCTCTGTCCTAACTGCCCTCTCCCCGCAACTTGTGGCAAGCTTCCAACAGTGGACCAGTCCTCCTGGCCCTTGTGTCTACTGTCCCTAGGTATCAGCCTCATACTGTGATTTTTTATATCCCACAAATGGTTCACTTTAGTTTTCTTTCCTTTCTCCTTCCCCTTCTCAGAAAACCCTCGCTTCCAGTGTGGACTTTCCCTTCTTTCCTTCATTGCATAATTTCCCAGGGGTCAGTTCTTCATGTCTCCCCTCACACCTCTCACTATTGAAACCTGCCTTGCACACTGCTTCCCAAAGGTCACCAATGACACCGAGCTGCCACACATCTCCCTTTTAGGACTTGGTCACTTTAATCATCTTGAATGGCAGACTCTCACCTCTTCTTTCTCTTCAACATCCTCTCACCTGAGAGTTTGTCTCTCTAGAAGGTGTCCTCCCCTGTCCTCTCACATACTGGTGTTTCCCAGGATTCATTCCTGGACAATGGACCTTTCACTGTACTCTCCCTGGGCTTGTCATATTCACATGCCTTCTCTTCAGACACCTCAAAAATCAGTCTTCAGAAATGCACCCTATCTCCTTCTGCACCCATGCCCTCAAATAGCTCTATGTTCCCTCCAAGCCAGATGCTCAGCCTCTCCCTCAGTGCTCTTTTCTCCCTTCACATCTGAGTTCCCTAATCCATGTCCCCCTGTCAACTTCTTTCCTTCTGATCACAGTCTCTTACTCAATCCAAGATCCCTCTACCTTTTATGTTTCTATGTCTAGGACCAGATATGTAGGCAAAGGCAAAGTAAATAAATTTCCTGAGAAGAGTTGAATAGAAAAGGAAGTCTAAGTGAGTGTTCCTGTGGCATGTTTGCAGGAAGGTAAGCACCTCAGAACATGCTATAAGGGCATTATCTTGTGGTCAGTCTCCATGCCCTTTGAACCATGTGCTGCCTCTTCAGATGAATCCAGGATCTGGGACTCAGATGGGAGGTTAAGGTTAAGCTACTCTCATGATTGGTAGGACTGTAGCCTAACAGGAGACTCCCACATCCTCCACCTCTATTACCAAAGTAGACCTTGCCATCACCCTTTCGCTCTGCTACTCCGCTATAAGTTACAGATGAAAGGGTACTAGCTCATGGCCTGTCTTTCACTAGAAATGACCACAGATTGACTAAACTTCAATGTCCTTCCTTTCCACACTTGAAGTCAGTCAGGTCCAAGTTCAAGTTCCCTGATGGTTCAGACACCCTCAGCCCCCCTGACTGGAATCTTTAGCAACAGTGCCTGTAGAAAATGTGGAACTCCATGTATTATCAAATTAAAGATGGCCATCTATTACAAAGCCTCAGCTTAACTCACTGTGGGACTGTCGATCCCAGAACTCCAATGCAGACAAGCTCTTAGCAGGAGGAAATGCTTCAAAGGCATACTGTGACATGGCAGTTCCAATACTGGATGAAGATCTGGTGCATATGGTTGCGAATTATTGCCCCATACTATTTTACAAAAGCCTATTAATATTGTAAAGCTGAGAGCCTCAAGCATAAATGTTCATCAGCTGTTTCCCTAAGCACGGTTCGGGGATGACTCTCGCAGCCAGGAGGTAAGGAATGAAGATGTTTGTGAAGTGTAAAACAAGCATGTTGCAGCTACCATGTCTTCACGTATCAGGTTGGTATCACTCATTTCTCCAGCACTGTCGTCATTAAGCCCTTTTGAATGTCCTGGAAATAACATGTGCTTATTACACACAACTATGCTGAAGTGACCTTCCCAGACAGTTCAACTATTGCTGGGACCACCAGGTGCTGTTCCCAGGAGTGGCCATTTGCACCTCAGTACAGCGCCACCCAGTGGCTGGAGAAAGACCTGCTCTTCCAAGGTCTCCATGCAAGGAGGGGCATACTGGAACAATGATGATTCTGTGTCTAAGGAAAAGAAGAGTGTACCCCTGCCCCTCGCACCCCCTCCAAAGCTGAAGTTTGACCCTTTGCATTTGAAAACACAAAGCCTTAAGAAAAGTAAACTTCACTTTTATTTTTTGTCCTGCAAATTCTCAAAACCAATGACATCATTATTCTGCTCCAACTTTTGTAAAAATTAAAGACTTTCTTTATCATTTTCCTTATTTTGACTCTTTCAAGCCTACATTCTCCCTCGAACACCTGTTTTCTCTTTCTCCTTACACCTAAGTAAATTTCTTTCAATAAAACTATTATATACACACACACACACACACACACACACACACACACACACACACACACACATATATATATATCTTGGACCAGAGAAAAGGTTCATAGGTATGTGTTGATACTTTGCATGCAAGGGGCCCTAGGTTTGGCACCACATGGTCTAAGTACCACCAGGAGCTGTTCCCTGCAGTATTCTTGGAGTAGTCCCCAGTCCTCTCTCTGGGTATGGCCTCACCCCACCTCCCAATATTTGTTTGTTTGTTTGTTTTTTCTTTTTGGGTCACACACAGCAATGCTCAGGGGTTACTCCTGGCTTTGCACTCAGGAATTATTCTTGACGATTCTTGGGGGACCATATGGGATGCTGGGAATTGAACCCGGCTTGGCTGTGTGCAAGGCAAACATCCTACCCATTGTACTATCGCTCCAGCCCCTCCAATTTTTTAGTGCATGGTATCTGGTCATTTGAAATGGACACTGAAGGCAGGTTTGGAACATAGGACACAAAGAAAATATTTTGAGTCACTGCAGTCCACCAGCCACTCTACCATTCTTAGATTTCTAAGTATGTTTAATTTTTCCTAAAGCAAATTAATAGACATGATGTATAGGAGTTTACTCTTATTTCAGTGTCTCAAAATACATACATATATATGTACATATGTGTGTGTAGATATAGATAGATTTAAGGGGTGGACACAAAGTTCCTCAGGACTTAATCCTGTATTCAGGAATCACTTCTGCCAGGGCTCAGGGAAAACCATATCTGGTCTGCTGCACGCAAGACAAGTGCCCTACCCATTTTTTTAATGTCTCTCACACCTAAAAGTATATTTCCATGTTATCATTCAGTATGGTCCCCTGGCATTTTATTTTCAAGTGTACCATATGATTTTCTCAAGTGTTAGAAGCAGAGGATTGAGAGAATCCTACTCTTTAGTTCTTAGCACCATCAACCTTGGATTATGCCAGTGTTCGTTTATCTTCACCAGCCCCTTTCATTCCCTCCCTCGTTTCTGAGACTACTATGTTCATGGGTTTGTGTGTGTGTGTGTGTGTCATTTATACACGGTGGTCACATTAAGTCATTCTTCCCCAATTTAACCGTGTGTGTTTTAGAGTCTACAGTGTGGTTAATAGCTCTATCTCACTCATTGCTTTTAGTGGCTGTATAATACCCCATCATAGCCTGTATAATAGCCCCCAATTAGAGACTGTATAATTCCACATTTTACGTATACATTTTTTCTAGTAATAACCAATCAAGCCACTGTGAACTTCCTCTCATGTAAATAATGCGGTTGTGTGTATCTTCCTGTACAGATTAAAGTTTCTAGGGACAAACACCCAGAAAGGAATTTGTAGATCCATATTAATTTTATTAACTGTTGTCACATGTTCCTAGAATGTTTGCACCAATTCAATCCACCATAAGTAGAGCCTGAAATTCCTGTAATTTCACATCTACCTCTGCTATTTATCAGTTTTCTTTTTGATAGACTAATTGTGCGATTTATCTCGTTGAACTTATATTTCTCTAATTGATAGTAGATTGCCTATTGCTATTACCTCTTGTCAGGGCTCAGAGAACCATATGTGGTCTGCTGCATGCAAGGCAAGTGCCCTACCCACTTTATTATGTCTCTCATGCTTAAAAGTATATTTTCATGTTATCATTCAGAAGGACGCCCTGGCATTCTGAGAACTTAAAATGTCTCCCCATTTGTTTGAATCATCCTTAATTTAATCATCTATTGTTTAATATTCAAGCTATTTCCAAGGACAGCAGAAAGAGAAAAGGGGAACAACTCCCCCCTCCTTCATCCCTATCCCAGTTGTTTAGAACGTCCA